ATTTCAAGAGTAGCTTGGTCGAACACGCCATACAAGGACAACAACACACAACAGTTCAAGAAGGAGATAACGCTTGCAATCAAATAACACAAGGTGGTCGCCCCTGATGACGCCATTTTATGTTCATGTCTTAATAAAACCACCAGCGATAAGGGATCGGCATAAAATATGACCGGCCTAAAACTCGAGAGCTGCGACAAGAAATAAAAGTCACCGAGATAAAGCTCAAATACGCAATCACCCGGATAACAGTGACCTCACGGCTACTGTTTTAGGTCAAATAGATCTAAAAATAGATTTTGCACTCCCTACCCTTGTTGAGTTTTTTCAGTTAAGAGGGCAGAGGGCATGATGTTTGTAAGGTGGAGGAGGCAGACAGACACATACGGCTGTGCTTTCTTTAAAAAGTTATGTTTAAAGTGACTTATTTCAATCAATTAAAAATTAGATTTTGTAAACTCTTAAGGGATCCGCGTGGGCCTCCATCTTGCTCTGATACTAGACGCCATGCTTTAAACTGCAAATCGCAAGTTTGAAATAACTCAAGGTTTTTTTTACTGGCGACCGAAAACATGCAGCCTATCATTACTATCAAGAAATACAATCCCACCGATTACTTGCAAGTTAAGATCAAAACTTACAGTAATGTTACCCATCAAAGCTGGGTGGACTTTAAACTTTTTGCTCGGTAAAATGCTTACATTTTTTAGAACGAAATCACAATATAGTTTGACATCATTTAGATTCTACATTGCGCAATCGTAGAAACCGTGATTAGCTTATACGATATTACATCTCTCCCCCACCCCCTCAACACCTAGTTTTTCAGAACACATTTAAATGGCCACATCAGCAACAATGCTGAATCAAAATACCCGCCATTATGATAAGTTTTGTTAACAGAAGTTTTTGATTAAATACGAATTTTAAAACTTAGCCTAATTTTTTTTTTTTTAAAGCATTTTTTTAACTGACTGAAAATTCTAATGTCGAGTGTTTGTTTTTTAGATTTTCCACGGCACCCAAAATATTTTTTTTGTTTAATACTTACTTTGATATGCCTAATATGTTGATATGTTAAAATTTAAACAAAGTGCTATGATATTAAATACGAAGAAAACAACCACGTCGAATGTTCCCATACGCTGGAATACAAACGAACGAAACGATCGCGCCGCAAAGACCGTAGAAGTAAAAAAATGTCGCCCTGGCCAATACACACGTTTAAACAATCGCCGAGCAATTTGGCACATCCAATATTTTGGCCAATTAAAATTCTCGCCTCAAACCTATAGAAACGAGTGGGGTCTGGCGTCTGTTAAAACATGTGGCAACGATCTACATACACACCACATGTTATTGTATGGGTAAATTGGGGGTCGGGCTATAGAGAACTATATGGTGTATCTGGACGTCCATAATCCAGAGTTTCTCCGGAAGAAACACTGATATTCTTCTTCTTCTTCGCGTTCTTAATTGTTAGTGTTGGACTGGATCGAGCCTTATCTGCCAGAGGATTTGAACTCGAGACTTTTTCGAATTTATCAACCATGAGCTTTTGCCGACTCGACCACGCCTCCATCACAATTATGGATACGTGTCAACTGGTTATGTCTTATTTCAGCCTGCTTTTCTTTTTGGATTTGCTTCCATAGCCTTTGTCCAACCAAGAACAAACTAGAAGAGTTGCTGTCCCCAGCTAATGAGCCTCATCTGCCCGAGGGTTCAAACTCGAGACTTTTCGGTTTAGCAACCATGAGTTTTACCGACCCCCACACTGCCATTATCATTGAAGGTCCAGAGTGGGGTAGGACGTGGATGTCTAAACTGGCAGTCTAACAAACAAGGCGTTGTGTTAGAAGGCTTTGGATATAACAGTAGCAACAACCAGTTATATCAATTTACGTATTTTAATTAAATTTGTTTTAACTGAATGAATATTGAACTCCTGGTTTATTTTCAATTGATTGCAATACATAATTGGAAGCTTTGTAACCGAAAGAAAACATTTTTAAAAATCACTTTATTATAACACTGGATGCCAACAAAAAATAATAGTCTGACCGTTTCTCCCTCGCCTACATTGGACCCCCCCCCCCCCCCCATTCAGTCAATGTTAATGGTCGTCATATAAAATATATTGTTCTATGCAGAATTACCTCCAATTTCCTCTATAATAACATGTAGATCTAGTGTGTATGTAGATCGTTTACGATATCTATGACGAGAGCTGTATGCTTACTTTCTCGTATATACGAAGTATAGAGAAAGTCTTGTAATCGTGGGGAAAAAAAATCGAGATTTTTTAAAATCTCGACGTTTTACACCTCACTGATACGGAAAAACATAAATTTGCAATCTTGTCCGTATGTCTGTGCGTGTATCTGTGTGTGTGTGTGTGTGTGTAAATACGATAACTTGAGTACCATTACAGCTAGGTTGATGAAATTGTATATATAAGTATTTTATCAAAATCGTAGATCCCTATCAACTTTTGAGCGATATCCGATAACCGGAAGTGGTACTTTTTCTACTTTGAATTTTTCAAAAGCCTATACCTTGAGTACTATTTCGGATAGATAAATGAAATTTCACAAGTAAGTAAAAGATCGAATTTTCTACCTTCTGTCAAATTTTGAGTAATTTCCGTTAACCGGAAGTACTAATTTACTTTATTTCCGATTTCTCAAAAAACGCATGTAAATTTATAAAGTATTAATACTCTTGAGCACTATTATGAACATCTTTATTTGGCGTTCGCTTGGTGCGCAATTCTTTTTTTCTATGAGATTCTATTCTATTTTAAAAAGTTTAAGTATTTAAAATGGATTTAAAATCATAATTATATCCCGAGTTCCCATCCCCTGTTGTTTTATATAATTATAAGAATATTCGAGAAAGTTTAGGGGAGATCACTCCCGGTTTATTTACTTTGGAAGATAAATGTTAAAATAACTTAAAATGAGAGGTTTCCTGTATCTGAACGCATCATTGTTAGCATCGGTAGTCGTAGGGTCACTTGAGGTCACATCCGGTTCCTAACCCTTGTTTTGATTTCTTCATGGATTGCTTGGTCTATATAACAGTTTCGTTTTCATGAACATCCTAATTTATAAAAGCCCAATGTGCGCACATCTCTCTCTCTCTCTCTCTCTTTCTCTGTCCGCAAAAAATTTTCGCCGGACATCACGTCAGAATCGGCAGCGGTATATGGAGAACTTTTTACGGACTTTTGTTGAAAATAATATGTTAGATGTTTTAAATGTATAACCACAATTTTACTTAAAGAAGAAAAATAAAAATTAAAGGCGTATTCGAATGTAGAGAAACAGTATTATTTATGCAACCGGAAAAGCATTAATATATGTGAAAAAGAACGCATAAAACTGTGACGTCACTATTGCTTATACATTAACTAATGACGTCATCTGCCGTGTTAAGAATGAAAAGAAATGAACTATTTCATTCAAATTTGATTTAGATCTACGTACACTATGAAATGTATACAATACAATTTTTCCGGCCTAAACTCATAAAATTTATTTTATGTATTTGGATTCTAGATCTAGAGATTCTAGATCTAGACTAAATCTAAATCTAAATCTACGCAATAACTAGATCTAGACGTAGACGCTAAGATCTAGATTTAGACTCTAACTTCTCTAAAATCAATTCCAAAAATAAATTTCTATATTAGGACTAAACTATTTCAAGACTTATTTATTTTATACAAAATCTTTGTTTGGAACTGGCTAATTTGGGATAAAAAATTAATTTGAAAGAATAGGCATATTCGCGTAAGTTAAGATTTTAAAATACGTGTTTCATTCTCCGTATTTTATAAGGTGCCTAAATAGCGGAGATGTTAGTGTACATTAAACCACGCAGGTGGTGCGGGTTCGAGACACAGCAAGTCAACTTGGTTAATGTATTCTTTTTTATTATGCTCGGGCTAAACTTTAAAAAAAAATTCTTTTAGGAATCTAGATCTAGATTGTCGGGTGTCCGATAGGGCACTTCCCGGCGCCGCAGGCGCTTCAAATTTGGCATGATCTTGCCTTGGTGCGACAGAACACGGGGGCCGGTTGGCCGAAAAGTCTACGATGTGGGGGTCAAAACTGACCTCGACTGACCGGTACCTTATATGAGCTATAAATCGAAAAAAAATGTCCACGGAGGAACCTCTTCATAACTCTTGAGGTCGTAGACCGACCTTCGGGCGAATTAATTAAGCATTCAAATTCTCAATGTTTTCGAAAGCCTAAGCGAAGCTGGGCAGCATGCCTAGTATTATTATAAACGTAGTGGATAAGTATAACGTGTGGAAGTAAATAGTATAGAGTCTCTGTCATTGCCTAGGATTCTTAATCTTACGCGCTGTAATGAATTGAGAGGCGAGCTAGATCTATAACTTCAGAGTAAAACTTTTTTATTAAAAACGGTAGGCTAAAGTTAAAGCTTTAACATACTCGTTATGAAAATGGGTTGCCTAGCAACGCTTGGATTTATTTACTGTCAATCTCTGTATGTGGACACTGGCACGTGTAAACTTTTTGCACTAGCTGGATAGCCGTTCCCATCTTCTCTCCTCCAGTCGTCTGCTGTGAACTAGGCCCAGAAATCTTACGCCGCCCAGCGTGTTGACCTATTGAATTTTTGCCGTCCTGGCGATTTGTTACCTTGACCTTTATGAGCACACTAGTCATACAAGCAACTCAAATCCTTGATCCATAATTGGGCACATTGGAAAATCATGAGAGCATAAATCTTAAAATTGTTTTAAATATAAATCTGACGAAACGTTTTCATTCACCACTCCCATTCACTGGGCCGTGTTCAAAGTATTCGCCGAATTTGTAGTCGCTGTAAAATATTCCCCTCTCGTTTCCAGTATTACTTGGCTGTCGAGATATATTTTAAGAAATATCGATTTCCCTCGTAGCGGTATCGATACTGCGTGTACTCAGGTATGCACTATAGGCCAGCACGCGGGTGGGTCCCTGCCGGTTCAGTATATGTAACTGCCGCGAATAAAAAAATCGGATCTGGGTGACGCAAAGCGTAGCAGAACTTCAGTTGTGTTTTTAATCGTGGAGTGTACGGTTCGGCTTTGGTGATTGTACAATATGGCTGAACTTCGAAATTATTCACCAAAATCGACAGATAACGGTAATCATTTTAGTTATGTTTTGTTAATGTAGATCTAGAATCTAGTCTAGATCTTATAAAAACTAATAAATGTGTATTTTTTATTTTAATTAATAAAAGATTTTTGGCCTATCTAGCGGAGTAAAAAAAGATGGGCCAGTGTGTAAACTTCAAGAGGATGCGTGTTTTTAAAAAGACATTCTCTAGGCCTACACTAGTAAACACAAATACAAATGAAATACATGGACGATTTTAGAATGAATGACAGATATAGATTATAGATTCTAGATCTATTACTTCATTATCATAGTTTAGATAACGTCTGGCTAGATCCTCTAGATCTATATCTGAGTATGTAGATCTATGTATATCTAGTTCGAGAATCTAGAATTTAATTTATAATATAATTAATCTAGATTTCTAGATCTAGAATTAGTATCAAGTATTTAGTATTTATTTAATATTTATTATTATTATTTAGTACTCACTAGTCAGTATTATTATTATTAATTTAATATTATTGAATAATTATTAATTGTTATTAGACTCTAGATCTAGTATTATTATTAGCTACTAGATTCTAGATCTAGTCTAGCTAGATGTCTAAAAACTAAAATACTAATCTACAAAGTAGATCTAGTGTAGTTAGTAGTAGTAGGAGGCCTTTGGTCTAAGTCGCTTCTAGACTCTATACTCTATGATAGTGTACAGTGTACTCAGATCTAGTTCCAGGCCAGTTATGTTTAATCTTAAATCTGTAGGGTACCCTACTTATTTACTAGATTCTAGATCTGCTTGCGTCATAAATATTAAATAAAATAGACAAATAGGCCTATAGGCTATATATTGAATATATTGTCACTAGAGACTATATATACTACTATATTTATTATTTAACTATATAGTTTATAGATCAAGGCCTAGATCTATATATACTAGATATAGATTCTATATATATAGAATAGATTACATGTAAAAAAAAATTGAAAACAGTATGCTTATTGGATTGAAGTTTTCTACTAATTTGTTAATGTTTTTTATGTTAACCGTAGATCTAATTATATTCCTTATCAACTTATACTTATAGTCTTATTGATGTAGGCTTATAATTAAACATGTGTTTATAAGTATTTTACATTCCAGAGTATCAAAATGGAAAAGATCATATAACAAATTATACCAATGGAAATCTCTCTGATGTACCTAATGGGAAAGAAAATAAGGTCACAGATGAGGATGAAAAAAAGAAGAAGAAGGAAACTACTCCTATGGTTGGGCCTTTGGATGTGGTAAGTTTCGTTATCTGTTGATAAGGAAATTTAGTGTGTGTGTGTTGTTTTTTGTAAATTTTTGACATTAATCTTTGACCCATACTTTCTTGTGTTTTAATTTTTTCATTGAATCTTTGACATTTATCTTTTACCTATACTTTCTGTGTTGTTGTTATTTTCATAACATCTTTGACATTAATCTTTTACCCATACTCTCTTTTGTTGTTTTGTTATTTTGTAAATTTTTGACATTAATCTTTTCCTGTACTTTCCTGTTTACAGTTCAGGTTTTCAGATTCAGTTGACAAGTTGATGATGGTGATTGGAACAATAGCTGCCGCAGTTGCAGGCGCTGCTCTCCCTGTCATGATTATTGTTTTTGGGGACATGATTGACACTTTTGTAGACACAGGAAACATTGAGTTGCTGGTCAAGGAATTAAAAGAATATGTACAATATAAAGGACTCAATGAATCCCAAGTGATTAAAAACCCATCTCTTTTACTGTAAGTTCATATTAAACAATATATATCAGATATGGCAGTTTATTATTGTCTATATTGTTTGTTTACATTTTTTTTTTAAATTATTGGCTTTTTATGTTTCCCCTAGAGGTATGTCAAATATGAAATTGTACTTTTGTGTATATTTTTAGTAAAATATTTACACTAACCTATGTTTGTGTTTAAGGGTTCAAATGTTAATTTATTTACATTTTTAGTCAAATAATTACACTAATCTAATGTTTTTTAATTTACATTGTTAATCAAATATTTACACTAATCTAATGTTTTGTGTTGAAGGAATAACTGTGATGATATTAAAAAATACTACAACAACAGCAAAGACTGTGACATTCTTTTAGAAGGCATTCTTGATGACATGCAGGAATTTGCCATCTACTATTGCAGTAAGTAGACATTGTGCTTACAATATCATGAAAGATAACATATAAGAATGTATGTCTTAACTCTATTATGTGTAACTCTTGAATCTGATGATGTGTGCATTACATAAATGGGATGGTATAGTAGAACCTTAGAGTGCATGACTGCTAACCCAAAATTCTTGAGTCAGTAGGACGTTCACCCAGTTCTGATGGATACCTGACTCAGAGAAAGTAAATGTAGTTGAGCATAGTGCTGATTACACTATCCCTTCCTTTGCCACTGTGACTAAAACAGGTGAACTTTACTTCACCAGCACCACAGACCAAAAGGTTCAAAAGGGTACTCCCATATCACAAACAATAGTTTCTACATGTTTTTTATTCAATCACATAAACTTTTTTCTAAACCAAACTAGTTCTTGTTATTAAAAAAAGCGTGGTCAAACTAGTGTATAGAAGAGTATGGTTCTAAACTCAATCCATTTGCTTACAGTTATTGGAGCAGGTGTACTCATTGCCTCCTATCTACAAGTGGCGTTGTGGATGACTGCGGCTGAGCGTCAGGCACATCGCATCCGGCAGGAATTTCTCAAGAATGTCATGAGACAAGACATTGGTTGGTTTGATACACATGAAGCTGCTGAACTCAACACAAGATTGGCGGAGTGAGTTGAAATTAACACAAATGTTAAGACTAGCTGAGGACAGTGACTTGACTTTACACAAAAGTTTACACAAGATGAGTTGACATGCCAAAGCTAGACACCACATATTTTAAGAAACACCATATAGCCTAAAACATGGGATGGCATGGTCAAATGGTAGAGCAAAAGACTGCTAACCGTTTGAATCTGGGTTCAAGTCTGGATAACGTCTCTGAGTCCACCCAGCCCTGATGTATACCAGATGCATTTTACCGGTAGGTGGCTGGGCATAGTGCTCACCACATTATTCCTTCGTATGCCGATGTCACAGAAACAGATAAACTCTGCTTCATATGCCACATTGACCGTCAAAAGGGAAGTTTTAAACACCATATATCCTAAAACTAAACACCATGTAGCCTAAAAGAAAACACCACACATATTAAAACTAAACACCATGTAGCCTAAAAGAAAACACCACACATATTAAAACTAAACATCATGTGGCCTAAAAGAAAACACCAAATATTCCAAAATTAAGCACTAGATTTACAGAGTAATAGTATGGAATCGGAATTTCTATTTTCAGTGATGTGGCGAAAATCCAAGACGGAATAGGAGATAAAATGGGCACCTTCATGCAGTGGTTTGCAGCGTTTATTGCTGGTTTTGCCATTGGCTTTGCGTATGGTTGGAAGTTAACTCTTGTGATTCTGGCAGTCAGTCCATTGTTGGTTGGTGCAGCTGGACTGTTCGGCAAGGTTAGTTGACAAAATGTTAACATTATACTGCTGATACAAGGTCAGGTTCAATTGTTAAGTCATGCAGGTAGGCCTATTTAAAATATATATGAAAAAAAATCATTTTAAAATACTTCAGTCTAATTAAAAAAAATTTTTTTAATAAATTGCTACTCTTAGTTGGCCTCTTCAATGACATCGAAAGAGTTAGAGTCTTATGCTAAGGCTGGTGCTATAGCCGAGGAAGTTTTTGGGGCTATCAGGACTGTTGTAGCTTTTGGTGGCCAGGAGAAAGAGGCTAAGAGGTAAGGAAGTTCTGCAATAGAAGTATGTTATCTGCCAGTTCACTGAAGTTGTTGGTTGTGTGAGTTATACAAAATGCAGTAGTGTATTGATGCAAGTTGCTGCAATTTGCTTGTTGTGTGTTTGCTACACATATTGCTATAGTGCAATAATGCAAGTTGCTCAAATTTGTTTTGTTGCAAATGATCATTTTAATTGTTATAGATTGTTTTCCTTTGAATTATCTCCCTTATTTGTGTATCAGTTACAAGCTAGATGATAGTCGATATAGTTTTTTACCAGTTAAAATAGAATGCCCATCATTTTGATATAGTTTTTTACCAGTTAAAATAGAATGCCATCATTTTTATCAGGTTACGTGGACAGGTAAATGAAATTTTCTTGCATGATATAGAGATATATATAAGGCCTGTTACAACCCTAATTTAAACTCCTGTTTGGTGCTGATCAAGTTAAATTATTAAATGTGTTGAAAACCACTTCCCTCAGCTTTAAAATGCATGAAGCCCAATTAGGCTTATTAAATGTTGGCCTTGAATTAATAATCTATCCAGGATGTCTCATACTTCTTGCATGAATGAATTGGAATTTGGTTTTAAGTTTTTTGTTTAAGAATGTCTACTGTTTTTGTTAATAAACATGTTGGTATTGATAAAATATGACTTACAATTAATCCAGCTTATAAAAGTACAGTAATAAATCAGTTTTAATTGATTTGATTGTGTGAGCTAACATATTGAAATTATACCCAGATTATCATTACAGAATAGTTGTGGGGTGGGCTCGTGTTTCAAAAAATAAATACCTTCAATTAAAATGTTAATCAACTTAATGTCTTATGTTTTGTAGTTAAATGTATGAAATATTTTGTCTTGCTAGTAATACTTGTGAAATTCATAATAAGGCCAATACATTTAATGGTTAAAAAAAACAATGTATGTGTATTTTCTATCGCTTCTTATACATTTTTTTGTTGACATGGAATCTATCTTTTTTATGCCTGTTTGGTAGTATTCACTTTAATATTCTATGTGAGAAATTCATTTTTAAATGGTTTGATCATTATTATAGAGTCAGTTTTCTTAGGATTCAGACCTTTTGTTGGTTAATAAAGATTTTAAAACATTTTTTTACTGAACATTATTCATTGAGTATTGTTACTTGGTTGCTTTATTTTAAATTTACAGAGTTTCTTTTTCCCATCCTTACTGATATGATCCTTGTTTGAACAGATACACTGTAAACTTAAAAGATGCTCATGAATTTGGTATCAAGAAAGGACTGACCATTGGAATTTCAATGGGATTTATTTGGCTTGTTATTTTTGGCTGTTATGCTTTAGGCTTTTGGTACGGTGGAAAACTGGTCAGAGAAGATGAGCACTACACTGTTGGGAAAATGATTGTAGTAAGTTTTTTATAAGCCATAGAAGATTGATGTTTAGGTATACTTGGGTTTATAAACTTAACTGTAATCTAAGAATGCTCTAAAGCATAATAAGTGAACAGCTATGGAAAATGCTCATTGAGATTAAAATTTTGTAAGTTTTGTCATCCTTCTTATCAAACAATATTTCCTGGACTAAATGTTACAACTAGATCTAACTTAAACATTAAATTCTTTTCAGGTGTTCTTTTCTGTCCTAATTGGAGCATTTTCATTGGGTAATGCTGCTCCCAGTTTACAGTCGCTAGCTACAGCCCGTGGCGCCGCCTATATCATCTTTCAAATTATTGACTTGGTAAGTTGGGTAGTCTACATCATATTTCAGATTGTTTTCTGGGTAAATCTCAACTCAAATTTTTTTAATGGTCTGCCAGCTCAATGTTTTCCAGTGTTATTTATTTAATTGTTTTATTATATTAAACTTTTCTAACAGAAATCAGCCATAGATAGTAGTTCAAAAGAAGGCAAGACTCTCGCAAATATGCATGGTACTATCTGTTTTAAGAATATTCATTTCAGCTACCCATCTCGTCCAAGTGTCAAGGTAAATTTGATATTAAAATTTTGTTTAAAATGCCTTTGAAACTTTAGTGTTTTATATCCAGGTTTTTTTTTTAATTTTGTCTCAAATTAAATATTAACTTAATTTAGTAAAATGCTTTTGTTTAATTTATTGTCCAGATTTTGAATGGCTTGAATTTGGAGGCTAAACCTGGCCAGACTGTTGCTTTAGTGGGCTCCAGTGGTTGCGGTAAAAGTACAACAGTTCAGCTCTTGTTAAGATTTTATGATCCTCATGATGGAGAGGTAAACATACATTTAAATATTGGACCTCATTAATAGTTCTAATATATGATTAGTAAAACTTTAAAAAATACTATTCTAAGTGCTAGAAGCATTATGTTGTAGGCTTGTTTAGAATTTGTCATGTAAGTGTGTTTTAAAAAGAAACCTACATTTAGCCCAAATATTCTGATCTAAACTTTTCAAGAACCTTAATATTTGTTGCAACTTAAGAACTGACACAAAAATATTGAGACAATGAACATACAGAACTCTAGTTCCTTACTTCTTGTGATAATTAGGTACAACTAGATGGAACAAATATTAAAGAGCTGAACATCAAATGGCTGCGTAGCAATATTGGGCTTGTTAGCCAGGAGCCAGTGCTGTTTGCTACAACAATTAAGGAAAATATTCGCTATGGTAGAGATGATGTGACTGAAGATCAGATCATTCAAGCCACCAAAAATGCTAATGCTTACGACTTTATTATGAAACTACCTGATGTAAGTAGCCATGCCATGTGATGCTAACTTAAATTAAGAGTCTGGAGTTCTTTTTTGTTGTTGCTTTTTTTTTGTCTTTCTGAGTTTTGATGAGATAAACATCCTTAGATTTTGAATGTATTTTGAGTCACCATTGGTATGGACTGTAGACAGAGTGCTTGTAAACTTCAGACACAGGTCTGGACAATTGATAGTGGGAGTCTGAAAAATAATTCAAGTCTATTGTATCTACTCTACAGCACTGTCTGATTTTGTTGTTTTATAATCTGTTTATAGCATGTTACTTAGTTTGATTATTTTTTAAATATGCTTGAAAAACAATTATGTTCCTTTTGTTTAGATTTGAAGAAACATTAAATTTCCTTAAGAAAAATTCTTGCCTGTCTGTTTAAGGTTTGATGTTTTTTTACCTCCTCCCCAGAAATTTGAAACGCTGGTTGGTGAGAGAGGAGCTCAGCTTAGTGGTGGTCAGAAACAGAGAATAGCCATAGCTCGAGCACTGGTCAGAGATCCAAAGATTCTGTTACTTGATGAAGCTACTTCAGCCCTTGACACAGAGAGTGAATCAATAGTGCAGGATGCCCTCGATAAGGTTGGGGGACATTTTTTAAATTGATTAAATAGCACTGTATCTATTGAAAGAAAAAGTAATATAATATTGCAAACTTGAAAATTTTTTAATTAACACTTAAGTCACTTGTTAGTCCAATGTTCAATTTTCTAAAGTTTAGTTTGACTAATTATTGAACTCATTCTTAATTTATATAAGCTATTTTCAAACATTTTTTTATTTTAGGTTTTTATGCTAAAAAAACTTTTTTTATATGTGCTGATTTAAAACAATATTCAAATTTGAAACTACTGTACAATTAAAGTTATATAAATAGAGCTTAGATTTTACCTTATGGAACACATTACAATTAATTTGAACTTAAATTATATTAAAATAAACTGAATGTTTTTGTTCAGGCAAGACAAGGAAGAACAACTCTTGTGATTGCACATCGCCTTTCAACTATTAAAAATGCAGACATTATTGTTGGCTTTAACAAAGGAGTTGTAGCAGAAAAAGGCACACACGATGAACTGATGGCCATTAATGGGATTTACCATCAACTTGTCACTAATCAGGTACTTTTAGAATTCACCAAATTTATAGATAAATCATTTATCATCTGGATGGTAAAGTCATGTTAGAAATACTAAAATAGTTGAATTTTTTATAAGTATAAGTAGTTAATAAAATTTTAAAAATAACAAGTGATACTGTATAATTAGAAATTAAATGATTTTTACAATTTTATTTTGCATTTACAGAGTCAGAAAGAGGCAGAAGGTATTGTTTACTACTTTATTTTTACTATTGTTATTTGTAATGTTTGTTTTTCTATCTTAATAAAGGCTGAACATATACAAAATACTATTTTTTCAATCTTAAACTAGGCTTAACATAGTTTTTAACAATGTTTTTAAATATAAAAGAACAAGAAGAAAACGCCATTGATCTTGGCGAAGTCAAGCACAAACCATCTTCAGCAGGACAAAAGGATCTTATGAGGCAGGCTTCTCGTGTTGATCCTAAAGCTGATGAGGTAATAGCTCTTATTTTTTCGAATTATTTTTCCTTTTAATTAAATTAGTAAATAACAATTTATTTACCTAATCTTTAAAATATTTGAAATAAAATGTATCAAGCTTTGTTTGTTATTATTTCTCTTCAATTGCTGCAAAAACAAAAGGATTTTGAATATAAAGAGGTATGAATTATTGCATGATTGTTTCCTAGTTGTTCTATGAAATAATGACATTGTTTTGTTTGAAGTAATTGGTTTTAAATTATTACAATTTAATTCTTTAATCACAATTAATACTCTATTGTGGAAGGGGGATGAACATTTAAAATGCCTATTATTTTTTTAACAAATACTTCCTTGGAAAAAACTACAACTTGAAAAATTATTTTATTGTCTAGCCTACATACTAACATAGTTTTATTTTGTTGCATGTTTTTATTTTAAAATTCAATTTTTGTTGCATCTTAAGAATTGATTTCACTTTAAATAATTTTACCATTTATTTAAACAATCTAGAAAAACACAAGTGCACAATATAAAAGCCTTAAGCTCACTATATTATAGGAAGAATTTCTTTGATTAAAAGACTTAATTTAGTCAGGGATGACATGGCTGGGTAGTAGAGCACTTGACTGCTTAACCTAAGGTCTGGAGTTTGGATCTTGTTCTAGACTCAAGACTGAAGGATATCCCTGAGTCCACCCAGCTCTAATGTGTACTTGACTCACATTAGAAATCAAGAAACATGAACTCTACTTTATCTGCCCCACGGATTGTTAGGAGAATATGACTTAAGTCATTTTATATTTGATCTTGGTGTCTATAGAAACCTGTGTTTGGTGGTATATTGGGTTCTGTAATATGTACCATTTTTAACCCTTAAAAGTTTGATTGTTGACAGGAGTAGTGTATTGGTTTCTATCTATATTATGTATAATTTCTTATTTTAACCCTATAAATGTCATCTTGACTGGAATAAGAATGGCTAACAAATGCCTCTTTCATACTTCTTATTTTAACCCTTCAACTGTTGGCTTGTTGACAGGAAGAAGAAAAGTTAACAAACGCCCCTTTCACAAGACTGATGGCCCTAAATTCACCAGAGTGGTACTTTATTATTCTTGGATGTTTTGGAAGTATTGTCAATGGTGGAGTTCAGCCAGCATTTGCTGTTATTTTTAGCAAAATCCTTGCTGTAAGTCAATTGATATAAGCAATTAAAATTAGAAAATATGTAGCCACACCCACACTGAATGGAACAGATGGCACTGACCCATGTTATTTTATTTGGTCTCCAGGTGTTTGCCAAACCCAAAGATGAACAAGAAGATGACATCCGCGATTACAGTTTGCTCTTGTTTGGCCTTGGCCTCATAAGCTTTGTTACAATGTTTTTACAGGTAATTTGTTAAACTTTTTTTTACAGGTAATTTGTAACACTTTTTTTTACAGGTAATTTGTTTTTGTTGTTGTAAGCTTGCTATACAGGGAGGAAAACTCTTCTTATTGATGAACTAATTGCTCAAAAAGACTAGTGTTTTTGAAGATGTAAATTTAAATAATGATTATGATGTAATGAAATGTATGTAATATTTATAAAATTTAAATAATGATTATAATGTAATGAAATGTATGTAATATTAATAAGATGTAAATTCTAAGACTAGAAATTTGATTCACTTGTAGGGCTACATGTTTGGCCGCTCAGGTGAAGCACTCACAATGAGGCTACGTAATCTAACCTTCAGATCCATGTTGAGACAGGTAACTTCAACATTTTTACACAAAAATATATGTCCGACTTAACATGGCTCAATTGATTATTTTCTCTATTGTCCAGATTTTATAGTCACATGTCAAAGATAATTTTAAAGTTTTTAACAAGTCCTGTTGCGTTGTCAGACATAGGCTGGTATTATCTAATACTATTGGAGCCATCTTTTATGTCTTAAGTTATGTGAAAGTATATTTTGTATTACAGGACATAGGCTGGTATGATGATCATAAGAACAGTGTGGGAGCACTCACTACAAGATTAGCTACTGATGCTTCACTTGTCCAGGGGGTAGGGAATCATCTGTTATTATGTCATCTTCATTGTCATTTGTAGTGTCATCTTCAGTGTCATTTGTTATGTTCTCTTTTGTGTCTTGTCATCTGTATTCTCATATCATCTTCAGTGTCCATCTGTTTTGTCATTTGTCATCTTCAGTGTCATCTGTTTTGTCATTTGTCATGCCATCTTCAGTGTCATTTGTCATGCCATCTTCAGTGTCATTTGTCATGCTATCTTCATTTGTCATTATGTCAACAACTCTGTAATTTATATCATCTTTGGTGTCATTATTCATGTCAACCTTCACTTGTCAATTGTCATGTCAACAATGTCATATCTGTCATGTTTTCCCTGCCTTAGGTAACAGGTATCAGACTGGGCACCGCCCTTATGGCCTTTGCCAACATGGGTGTGGCTATCATAATCTCCTTTGTGTACGGCTGGCAGCTGACCCTACTTATTCTGGCCTTCATGCCATTTATTGCTCTGGGTGGGATGATGCAGGTCAAACTTTTGGCTGGGCAAGCTGGCAAGAATAAAAAAGCTTTGGAAGGAGCTGGCAAGGTAAAACGTTATGGGGTTTTCTAGTGGAACTCGTTAGATTGTTTGTATGAGTAGGTCATTTGCTGAATTATGTTGCTTACATTATTCCATTTTGTCTAATATTTGACATGCAAGATGTTTGCCTAATTATGTATTATTATAATACCAATTGCTAAGTTATGATTTTTTTCTACATAATGTTTGTTGAGCAATGTAGTCCACATTACAATGTTACATTTCAATATTTCATGTCTAATACAAATTTCAATTTTAAAGGTTGCTGTGGAGAGTATTGAAAATATTCGTACAGTTGCCTCCTTGTCCAAGGAAGAACTGTTCTTCAAGCAGTATATGGAGAAGGTGGAGCCACCGTACAAGGAAGCACTGAAGAGAGCTCATTTGGTGGGCTTTACCTACGCTTTTTCACAGGCCATCATCTACTTCGCCTACGCTGCAGCTTTTGTTTTGGGGGCTTATCTTATTGAAGAGAAAGAAATGGATTTTGAAGATGTCTTTTTGTAAGTAAACTTGTTTTATAAAAAATTTTAATATCAGTTTTTAGATTTAGTTTTCTATTATTATTTAACTACTAATGCTAATACATGTAGTGTTTTTAAAAAACAAGTTTAAATTATTATTTTTTTCAAGTTTTAATAAATAACATTCTAATTTTTAATTGAGAAAATTGTTTTTAAAAAAGTCAAGTTTTCCCTTTTGTAGTTACCATCCAGTTTGCCAATTTTGGAAAGAGTGAATTGCCTTTACTTTAATTTAGCTTTACTTTTGGTAAATTAAAAATGCCAATCATGAATAGATAAGAACACATTTGATCTGAAGATGCTTTTACATTAAAACTGCTGAACTCTAGACTCCATTTTGAAAAATCTTTTACCCATAAAATAGCACTAATTTACTCTAAATCCACATGACTTGGAGGCAAAGCAGTTTATTTCTTGTAGGATAATTGTCCATACATAAATTTATGCATTAACAGAAGAATGATATTGCCAGTAAATTTAATTTTAGTTTACATTTCTGGCCAGGGTTTTTGGTGCTATTGTGTTTGGAGCCATGGGCATGGGGAATGCAACTGCTTTTGCCCCAGATGTTGGCAAGGCTCAGAACGCTGCTAAACACATCATATATTTACTGGACTCTAAGCCCACTCTTGATTACACATCCACTGAAGGACAGAAGCTGCCTGTAAGTTGGCTTGTATTTTAGTTATCTGTATCAAAGTGGGACATTTTAGAAACAAACAAATTAATAAGTTATTTAACATATTATTGGATTTTACAAAATAGCTGACAATAGGTTGAAGATATAAATTTTTAAAAATCTTTTTTGTAAATGATTCAAACATTTTGAAATCTGTTTGTAGGAAAGTTACAAGGCAGAAATAAAGTTTGAAAATGTGACCTTCCGATATCCAACACGCCCCACGGTTCAAGTTGCCCAAGGGCTGACGTTTTCTGTTTCCCCTGGTCAAACCCTAGCACTGGTGGGCAGCAGTGGCTGTGGTAAAAGTACCTCAGTCCAGCTCATTGAGAGGTTCTATGATGTGGAGAGTGGAAGTGTGGTGAGTTTGTTTAGCTCATTGAGAGGTTCTATGATGTTGAGAGTGGAAGTGTGGTGAGTTTGTTTAGCTCATTGAGAGGTTCTATGATGTGGAAGTGTGGTGAGTTTGTTTAGCTCATTGAGAGGTTCTATGATGTGGAAGTGTGGTGAGTTTATTTAGCTCATTGAGAGGTACTATGATGTGGAGAGTGGAAGTGTGGTGAGTTTGTTTAGCTCATTGAGAGGTTCTATGATGTTGAGAGTGGAAGTGTGGTGAGTTTGTTTAGCTCATTGAGAGGTTCTATGATGTGGAGTTGGTTTAGCTCATTGAGAGGTTCTATGATGTTGAGTGGAAGTGTGGTGAGTTTATTTAGCTCATTGAGAGGTTCTATGATGTGGGGAGTGTGGTGAGTTTATTTAGCTCATTGAGAGGTTCTATGATGTGGAGAGTGGAAGTGTGGTGAGTTTGTTTAGCTCATTGAGAGGTTCTATGATGTGGGGAGTGTGGTGAGTTTATTTAGCTCATTGAGAGGTTCTATGATGTTGAGAGTGGAAGTGTGGTGAGTTTGTTTAGCTCATTGAGAGGTTCTATGATGTGGAAGTGTGGTGAGTTTGTTTAGCTCATTGAGAGGTTCTATGATGTGGGGAGTGTGGTGAGTTTATTTAGCTCATTGAGAGGTTCTATGATGTTGAGAGTGGAAGTGTGGTGAGTTTGTTTAGCTCATTGAGAGGTTCTATGATGTGGAGTTGGTTTAGCTCATTGAGAGGTTCTACGATGTTGAGTGGAAGTGTGGTGAGTTTATTTAGCTCATTGAGAGGTTCTATGATGTGGAGAGTGTGGTGAGTTTATTTAGCTCATTGAGAGGTTCTATGATGTTGAGAGTGGAAGTGTGGTGAGTTTGTTTAGCTCATTGAGAGGTGCTATGATGTGGAAGTGTGGTCAGTTTATTTAGCTCATTGAGAGGTTCTATGATGTTGAGAGTGGAAGTGTGGTGAGTTTGTTTAGCTCATTGAGAGGTTCTATGATGTTGAGAGTGGAAGTGTGGTGAGTTTGTTTAGCTCATTGAGAGGTTCTATGATGTGGAAGTGTGTTGAGTGTTAAGATTAGCTCTAATTGAAAAGCCCTGTGTTTGGTAGTGTTGTGAGTGTTAAGAATCACTCTCATAGGTAAATGCACTTGTAAACTCTAAAAGCTAATATTTTAAAATTGTTTATAGCTCCTTGACAACAGTGAAATAAAGGCACTGAATCTTCAGTGGTTGAGGGCCCAGATTGGGATAGTATCCCAGGAGCCCATTTTGTTTGACCGGAGTATAGCTGAGAACATTGCCTATGGGGACAACTCACGTGAAGTCTCAATGGATGAAATCATCAAAGCTGCTCGTGGTGCTAACATTCATGACTTTATTTCAAACTTACCTGAGGTGAGTGGTTTGGTTATACAATTATTTTAAAACAGAAGGCCCTTTTAGACCTGCAACAAAATGTCAGATCTTGAGACTGTAACAGAACATCAGTAACCAAACACCAGCCCATCTACATACAAACACAACACCAATTTCTTGTTCTTAGAACATTTCCAAATTATGTTGGTATACATTTAGCACCAGATCCTATTGATAGAATGTTCTCCAAATTCTTCTACCCAGGGCTATGATACAAATGTTGGCTCCAAGGGGACACAACTCAGTGGTGGTCAGAAACAGAGAGTGGCTATAGCTAGAGCACTGGTTCGTCATCCCAAGGTTCTTCTTTTGGATGAAGCTACATCAGCATTAGACACAGAAAGTGAAAAGGTCAGATTTTTTAATGTTTTTTTTTTTTTTTGTTGTTGTTTAAGGCTTTTCATTTAAAAAAATAAAATTTTTAAAATAGTTCTTTGTTGAAGTCAGTTTTTACTGCTCCTAACCAATATATATTAAAATATTTAAAAAGTGCTATAATATTCATAAACATTGTATTTTGTAAAAAGTATAGAATTCTAAGCGGAGTTGCATTTTATTTCAATTTTAATGATTTAAAAAAAAAAACTTTTGTCAATTAAAATAAAATCTAATGGAGTCAAATGCAAACATGAAATTTACCCAAACATGGCCAGTTGTCCTTATGGAGAATTAGCTGTTCTAAATAAGGCCTCTATTGCTGAATGTATTTATCTAAAAATAGCTCTGTAGTTTGTAATGGTGCTTCTATTTTCTTGTGCTGCAGATTGTCCAAGAAGCATTAGATAAAGCAAGGGAGGGCAGGACGTGTGTGGTCATAGCTCACAGGCTGTCCACCATCAAGAATGCTGACAAGATTTGTGTGGTCAGCCACGGGAAGATTGCCGAGTCTGGCACACACACGGAGCTGTTGAACAAACAGGGCTTGTATTATAAGCTGGTCAAGAGCTCAATGCGGCACTGATGTGTTTCCATCTCGTTATATTTCAGGTCCTTTGAAAATAATCATATACAAACTAACAGGCTTTAACATGTACAAAAATGTTTTTTTTACACTAGTTTATACTTCTGTCATATTTACTTTTTGTCATACTTGCAATATTTATTTAAATGCCAGTTTGTTATTTTGTCATTGAAATATTTATATTTAACCTCTTCACTGTACCCAGTGACCTCAACACCTGTGGAAGTTTATCCACCTGGGCTTGTAATTGGATGATATTTGTGGCAACAATGTGTAACCAGAGTTACCAGTTAGTTTACAAACATTGTCTTTTTTTTTTAATGTCCAGATTTTATTTGCTAAAGTTGTTGTGCTAAATCTGATAACATGAGTTAACAATGACGTTATGACTTTGTTTTTTTTATCAACCTATTTAATTTAATTATACCGACATAAATTATTTTTTACAAATTTAGAAATCCATTTGTACAACCAATTTACAACCAACTGAAGTGATATATTTTACTTCTGGCTAAGTGTATAGCTGATTTTCTAAGATCTGTTTTCTGTAAATAGATAATTCTGTGATTCTATGTTATCAATACATTTTATTGTTAAATGATGTTGAAATCAAATTAATTTATGTCAGTTTTTTACAATCTTTTTATTCCTTGCAATAATTGTGTGTGTTTTTCAGTTTCTGTTTAAAATAAAACAGATTTATGCATGGCGTGACATCTTTAGGTTTTGTATCTCATAGCTAAAGTTAAAATAGTTAGTGATGCTAGTCATTTTCAAACTTAGTCGTGTTTTATGAGCTTTATTCCTTATGTGAGGAACTTTAAAAATCATTGTTTTAAAAGTGTTGAATTTAGTTGTTAAAAATGAAGCTAAATTGTTGTTTTTTTTGTTGTTATGTGCACAATGTTATATGAAAGATATGAGAAATCTGTGTTAATGATATAATCAGGATTTTAAAAACTTGAATCTTTAAAACCTGGTGAACTGGCATTTACTTGTTGTCCAATGTTACATAGTTCAAGTTCTCAATGAACTTGCCATGCTGTATGTGTATAATGCCAGTAGGTTAGACCAAACCCCCTCCACCTGTTTCTTTCAACTCCTCCACTTGACCAGGCAGTTTTTGCCCATCTGCGTGTTGCTTCTAAATGTAACTGTTAAAAATTAATATACATATCCAGGTGAATTTGTATTGTGATATCATTGACCTTTTAATATGATTGATTTGATATTGTTCTAATTTACCTCTTATTATAGTAGGTAATTTTTTAATGCTTTTTTTCTGTCAAAAGTCTGGTTTTTTTATTTCATGTAAATTTCAGCTTTACTTCCTATGAATGTGTTCTTGAAACATCAGTTTAAAAGATAAGATATCTAGACCAGGTGTGAATCAATGAGTTTGAGAATATGACCAATATTGTTTCTGACTGTTGCCGTTTTCATATGACTTTCTTTCCTTGCATTGACTTGCTAGTTGAGGAGTACATTTGGGAATGAAATAAAAAAAATTTCTTCAGGCCATACATATTTTTCTTAAGCATAATAGTAGTGTTTCTAACAGCTTAAAATTACTTATCATTTGTACTTAAATACACAAGTTTAATTTATTGTACATGTTAATTGACTTAAAGTAGTTTATTACAATTAGTTTACCAGTTTCATTCATGTAAATTTCAAAATATGTGGAGTGTTAAATTTGTTCATGATATAAGAATTTGGTGCCTATTATCTACAGCACAAATTTATCATTGTATTGTGATTAAAGAGAAAATGTGAATAGAGCATTGTGTTATTTTTTATGTAGCAATTTTTAAAGGGCTACTGTAATTTAGTCATTTCTGTTGAAGTTGGAGAGTAATTTTAGACTGTTATCTTTACATTATTGAAATGTTCCAAAAGCTTTCACCTCTGTTTCGCTCAATAGTGGACTCTTCTAAAAGCCTTCTACCCTTCAGAGTCCAGATGGAACAGTCTCAAAACAATTAGAATAGACAAAGTACAATAAAAACATTAATTTCTCTTGCAGAAACACCCCAAATTTAAGTGGTTCATAAGCTTAGGATAATCTGGATTTGTTGCCAAGTTCAGCCTGATTACATATGGGGGGCCTCAACAAACCTGGGTCTGATTACATATGGGGGCCTCAACAAACCTGGGTCTGATTAAATATGGGGCCTCAACAAACCTACACCTGATTACATATGGGGCCTCAACAAACCTAGGCCTGATTACATATGGGGCCTCAACAAACCTACACCTGATTACATATGGGGCCTCAACAAACCTACACCTGATTACATATGGGGCCTCAACAAACCTAGGCCTGATTACATATGGGGCCTCAACAAACCCACACCTGATTACATATGGGGTCTCAACAAACCTAGGCCTGATTACATATGGGGCCTCAAAAAACCCACACCTGATTACATATGGGGCCTCAACAAACCTACACCTGATTACATATGGGGCCTCAACAAACCTAGGCCTGATTACATATGGGGCCTCAACAAACCTGGGTCTGATTACATATGGGGCCTCAACAAACCTGGGTCTGATTACATATGGGGCCTCAACAAACCTAGGCCTGATTACATATGGGGCCTCAACAAACCTAGGCCTAATTACATATGGGGCCTCAACAAACCTGGGCCTGATTACATATGGGGCTTCAACAAACCTGGGTCTGATTACATATGGGGCCTCAACAAACCTGGGTCTGATTACATATGGGGCCTCAACAAACCTAGGCCTGATCACTTATGGGGCCCCAACAAACCTGGGTCTGATTACATATGGGGCCTCAACAAACCTGGGTCTGATTACATATGGGGCCTCAACAAACCTAGGCCTGATTACTTATGGGGCCCCAACCAACCTGGGTCTGATTACATATGGGGCCTCAACAAACCTAGGCCTAATTACATATGGGGCCTCAACAAACTGCCTGATTACATATGGGGCCTCAACAAACCTATGCTTGATTACATAAGAGGCCTAAACAAACCTAGGCCTGATTACATATGGGGCCTCAACAAGAATGGGCATGATTTCAATATACAAAAATGGAAAAACAAATGCAATTTTAAAAGCAGAAAGACGTCGGAACAGCTGAAAAGATCGTGTACAAAAAATTTAGAAAACCAGGCAGTGTCAACCTTGATCAAAGTCGCAAGCAAAGTCTATTGCGTCATGCACGTCCTGTTGTGAACCAGAGGTCGTGACCTGTGGGGTCATCTGGTGAACGTTCTCCACCACATGAAAAAAAGACTGCCGCTTCAGCAGGCGGGGTAGGGTGTGGTTACGGAAAAATGTCCGCGTCCCCCGTTGGTCGTCCTGAACGTTTCTCTCTGACGAGAAACTCCGGTTGTAGGGCGACTGCTGCAGCGTGGAGCAGAACGGGTCTGGGTTCTCGTCTGCTCTGGTCTCGTCTGCTCTGGTCTCCTCTGTTGTGTCGTCTGCTGGGTTTTGTGGTTTCAAGCTGAGAGCGTCGTCCAGGAGGTCGACGCTGATGTAGGAAATGACGTCACCGGCATCTGAGGAGGCCACTGTGTCAGACGTTTGGTGGGCGTGGTCCTCCGCTGATGACGGTTGGGTCGTCTGCTCGAGCTGGAGTCTTTCAGCCAACGACTTGGGGCGAGACCCTGCAACGGGGTGGGGTAGTGGGGGGGGGGGTAATTAGTTACAGTGGTAGTTCTGAGTATTTGTTACGCTAGCGTCTTATAATGCCCGCCACTATTTTATCACCCGCTTGATTTTACGACTTAAGATTATTCAAGAGCAGGGGTCGGCAACCTGCGGCTCGCGAGCCGCATGCGGCTCTTTTGATATCAAGATGCGGCTCACCAGCTCCTTGAACAAATACTAATAATCTAAATAAAAAAAAAATATTTGAAATAAAAAATATGTTAGTGGCTCTTTAAAACCAGGGAAATTTTGAAAATTGTAACTTTTGGCTCTTCCGCTTTAAAAGGTTGCCGACCCCTGTTCTAGAGCCCATCAATGAAAATATGCCTAGATATGTCAGTGGGACATAAAAAAACGCTTAGGGTAGCCTGCTTAAGGACTCTCCATGACAACGCCGGCCATCTTGAAAAAAATTGTGAGGGCTCAATGTTCAAAAACTAACATATATCCTGTATTGTTCATATAATCATTGATCCTTCTTATACTAGTTCTAATAGAATCAGCTGGCTAGTTGTTTTTTGTTGTTGTTTTTTTTTGTTGTTTTTTTTTTTGTAACAGAAAGCACCATAGAAATACATTTGTTTTTCACATTTTCAGAATTTTATATGGTGAAATACCATTAATTTTAATGTTATTATTGTTAGTCCACACACAATATCAAATTTTGAAAATGCGAAAAAAAAACTATTTCTTGAGTGTTTTCTGTGTGTGTAGTGAGATGTACTCACCAAACACGATGTTCGGCTTTATGTGTTGCTTGTATTTGTGCGCCTTTGGCTTCTGGCAGCCCTTGCAGTATCGAAGGAACGTGACGATGTCCAGTATGATGACGGCAGCGATGATAGATGTAAGGATGATGAGGGTGATGCCGCCGATGTAGATGGACGAGGGTCTGTCGTCTGGGATGCTGATCTTTGTGGCCTCTCGGGACTTTTCCTTGGCTTTGGTCCCCATGTCCTGGGCGAGGTGTACACAGACATAATGTTGGTAGGTGGGTTTAGTGTGGTTGGTGGGTTTGGTGTGGTGGGTGGGTTTGGTGTGGTGGGGGGGGGGTTTGGTGTGGTGGGGGGGTTTGGTGTGGTGGGTGGGTTTAGTGTGGTGGGTGGGTTTAGTGTGGTGGGTGGGTTTGGTGTGGTGGGTGGGTTTGGTGTGGTGGATGGGCTTAGTGTGGTGGGTAGGTTTGGGCTTAGTGTGGTGGGTGGGTTTAGTGTGGTGGGTGGGTTTGGTGTGGTGGGTGGGTTTGGTGTGGTGGGTGGGTTTGGTGTGGTGGGTGGGTTTGGTGTGGTGGGTGGGTTTGGTGTGGTGGGTGGGTTTGCTGTGGTGGATGGGCTTAGTGTGGTGGGTGGGTTTGGTGTGGTGGGTGGGTTTAGTGTGGTGGGTGGGTTTGGTGGGTGGGTGGGTTTAGTGTGGTGGGTGGGTTTGGTGTGGTGGGTGGGTTTGGTGTGGTGGGTGGGTTTGGTGTGGTGGGTGGGTTTGGTGTGGTGGGTGGGTTTAGTGTGGTGGGTGGGTTTGGTGTGGTGGGTGGGTGGGTTTGGTGGGTGGGTGGGTTTAGTGTGGTGGGTGGGTTTAGTGTGGTGGGTGGGTTTGCTGTGGTGGGGGGGGGGTTTGGTGTGGTGGGGGGGTTTGGTGTGGTGGGTGGGTTTAGTGTGGTTGGTGGGTTTGGTGTGGTGGGTGGGCTTAGTGTGGTGGGTGGGTTTGGTGTGGTGGGTGGGTTTGGTGTGGTGGGTGGGTTTGGTGTGGTGGGGGGGTTTGGTGTGGTGGATGGGCTTAGTGTGGTGGGTGGGTTTGCTGAGGTGGATGGGCTTAGTGTGGTGGGTAGGTTTGGGCTTAGTGTGGTGGGTGGGTTTAGTGTGGTGGGTGGGCTTAGTGTGGTGGGTGGGTTTGGTGTGGTGGGTGGGTTTGATGTGGTGGGTGGGTTTGGTGGGTGGGTTTGGTGTGGTGGGTGGGTTTGGTGTGGTGGGTGGGTGGGTTTGGTGGGTGGGTTTAGTGTGGTGGGTGGGTTTGATGTGGTGGGTGGGTTTGGTGGGTGGGTTTGGTGTGGTGGGTGGGTGGGTTTGGTGGGTGGGTGGGTTTAGTGTGGTGGGTGGGTTTAGTGTGGTGGGTGGGTTTAGTGTGGTGGGTGGGTTTGGTGTGGTGGGTGGGTTTAGTGTGGTGGGTGGGTTTGGTGTGGTGGGTGGGTTTAGTGTGGTGGGTGGGTTTAGTGTGGTGGGTGGGTTTAGTGTGGTGGGTGGGTTTAGTGTGGTGGGTGGGTTTGGTGGGTGGGTGGGTTTAGTGTGGTGGGTGGGTTTAGTGTGGTGGGTGGGTTTAGTGTGGTGGGTGGGTTTGATGTGGTGGGTGGGTTTAGTGTGGTGGGTGGGTTTGGTGTGGTGGGTGGGTTTGGTGTGGTGGGTGGGTGGGTTTGGTGGGTGGGTTTAGTGTGGTGGGTGGGTGGGTTTGGTGGGTGGGTTTAGTGTGGTGGGTGGGTTTGATGTGGTGGGTGGGTTTGGTGGGTGGGTTTGGTGTGGTGGGTGGGTTTGGTGTGGTGGGTGGGTGGGTTTGGTGGGTGGGTTTAGTGTGGTGGGTGGGTTTGATGTGGTGGGTGGGTTTGGTGGGTGGGTTTGGTGTGGTGGGTGGGTTTGGTGTGGTGGGTGGGTGGGTTTGGTGGGTGGGTTTAGTGTGGTGGGTGGGTTTAGTGTGGTGGGTGGGTGGGTTTGGTGGGTGGGTTTAGTGTGGTGGGTGGGTTTGGTGTGGTGGGTGGGTTTAGTGTGGTGGGTGGGTGGGTTTGGTGGGTGGGTTTAGTGTGGTGGGTGGGTTTGGTGTGGTGGGTGGGTTTGGTGTGGAGGGTGGGTTTGGTGTGGTGGGTGGGTTTGGTGTGGAGGGTGGGTTTGGTGTGGTGGGTGGGTTTGGTGTGGTGGGTGGGTGGGTTTGGTGTGGTGGGTGGGTGGGCTTAGTGTGGTGGGTGGGTGGGCTTAGTGTGGTGGGTGGGTGGGCTTAGTGTGGTGGGTGGGTGGGCTTAGTGTGGTGGGTGGGTTTGGTGTGGTGGGTGGGCTTAGTGTGGTGGGTGGGTTTGGTGTGGTGGGTGGGTGGGTTTGGTGTGGTGGGTGGGTGGGCTTAGTGTGGTGGGTGGGTGGGCTTAGTGTGGTGGGTGGGTTTGGTGTGGTGGGTGGGTTTAGTATGGTGGGTGGGTTTGGTGTGGTGGGAGGGCTTAGTGTGGTGGGTGGGCTTGGTGTGGTGGGTGGGCTTGGTGTGGTGGGTGGGCTTAGTGTGGTGGGTGGGCTTAGTGTGGTGGGTGGGCTTAGTGTGGTGGGTGGGCTTGGTGTGGTGGGTGGGTTTGGTGTGGTGGATGGGCTTAGTGTGGTGGGTGGGCTTAGTGTGGTGGGTGGGTTTGGTGTGGTGGGTGGGCTTAGTGTGGTGTGTGAGATTATTGCCGATGATGAATTTATAGTGTGGATGATGGGCTACCACAAAACCACAAAACATTTTCACTAACCACATAAACGCAGACCACAATGATTGTTTACCCCAAGTTCTTGAACTTGTTCTTGTACTTCCTTTGTTTGGTTTTGAAGGGTTTCCATAGAAACCAGAGGGCGACACAGGTACTCGCCGATGACTTTGTAGCCAGAATCAACGTCCCGGACATCTAAGACGAGTAGCCATTTTAGAAGGCTATTTATAGAGTGATAGTGACGACTGAGATTAAGGTGGGCGTTTTAGGCTACATTTTGTGTAAAGTTGATGGGATTATCAAGGGCGGATTAAACGTGAGTGACGCATAGTGGGCCGGGGCCCCAGATAATGACACTGTTGTGACGCATGAGTTAATGGCACCCTAGCGGGAAAAATCTCAAGAGGCCCTTTAATATTTTAAAAAATTGTGAGCGGTGTTGTTAGAGAGAATTTATTTTTTTAAAAACTTTTTCTGTTTGTTGTTAAAATAAATAGAAAAGGGGCCTTAAAAATATTTTCACGTTCTCTGCATTAGAAACTTTTATAACATTAATCCTTAAAATATCAAAATTCTGAAATTGTTTCAGGTTTTTTTTTCCTTTTTGCCAATGTGCAAGCAAGTTTTAAAATTATGTTTTTTTTTTTGTTATCCAATTATGAGTGGGGTAATAAACCCGTCAGATATTGTTTTCTTATGTGTAAAGATTTTGTTTGTGTACTGTAAAGATTTTGTTTGTGTTCTGGGTTCACTGATTGGATTAGCTAGAGGATATGGGTACAAATCCGGGACAGCGCCAGCTTGTTTTACCTGAGGTGGATGTGTTGTGGTTTAGCTCCGTTGTCTGACGCTCTGTAGACATGATAAATACAAAGTTACAGGAACCTTACACGGTCAACACGATGGTGTTCAAAACATTTTAAAGCATTTTATTAATAGAGCATTTATCGCGCGATGGCAACCATCTTGGAGACATATTGGCAGTATTTGTGTGTGTGTGTGTGTGTGTCTGTGTGTGTGTGTGTTCAATTTGTCCGATATTATTAGTGATCTAACGGTCATCCCGTCATATAATGTTTTGGGTTCTTTTGTAAACACAGATCAAAGTATCTTAACGATTGACAATATTGAAAAAGAAAGAATTTAATCGACAAAAAAAAAACGGTATGAGAGATGTTGAACAAAAATCTCTACATAAAGAAAAAAATCCATAAATTAAAGAAAAAAAAGATTTTTTTTCTGGATCTTTAGCTGTAAATGTAAATCCCCACGATGTTAAGGAGGCATTTTAGAAAATAAAATAAAATGTAAAATACAATTATTTTTGCTTAGAGTTTTTAATAATTTTTTAAAGAAGCGAATAATGTTAGATAGCATGGCATTCATGTTGTAGAACACATTTTACAAGAACGCAAACAACCCAGTGTTTACATGTATCTACTCGCTTACCTTTTTCTGATCTATCTGTGGTTTGTATGGCTGTAGCCGTTGTTTGTGTGGGCGTGTTCGTCCATTGGGTGGGCTTTTCCGTGTTTGTTGTGGGCGTGTCCGTGGTTTGTGTGGGCGTGTCCGTGGTTTGTGTGGAAGTGTGTGTGGTTTGTGTGGGCGTGTCCGTGGTTTGTGTGGGCGTGTCTGTGGTTTGTGTGGGCGTGTCTGTGGTTTGAATGGGCGTGTCTGTTGTTTGCGTGGGCGTATCCGTGGTTGGTAAAGCTCCGTTTGTGGTTTCTTCCAGTCCATCTGTCATCATGTTATCTATATGCATTTCAAAAATATATTGGTAAATTATATCGCATAGCGTTGACTTCTATACACGTAGTTTACAATACAGTGCATGACAAAATTGTGTTGTAAATGTATTGACCAAAGAGTAAAGTTGCTGTCAAAATAAAACCTTACCATTTGGCGTTGTAGTATCGTACTGGGAGCTTAGAGAACCTTGGAATAAATAGCAGGGAAGGGAGGGAATCAATTATTTTTAATCAGGATATTGCTTTAAGGTTTAATTATTAAAATGAATAAAACGTGTGTTCATTTTTAAGTAAGAAACTTGTTATTTTCAAGTTTTAACTTTAAAAAAAACTTTTTTAAAATTCCTTGTTTATTTTAATACGACAAGTAGACAAGTATAATTTGTCGTCATCGCACAGCATGTGCCTGGATTTAAGAGAACCCCACCCCCACCCCATCCCCCACCTTTACATGTAGCACTGCAGCAAAAATTGTTGAGATCGCCATGCTCCACAGCGCCTTACCACAGCGGGTAGGCTACAACCGCAACATGAATTAGAATCGATTCTAATTAGACTAAAACCTAGGGATAATGAAACCACCTTTAAAACAAACTTTGCCGTAGTAGTCCCACTCTGGGTCGTATGTGGTGAACAGGGCTGGATTGATCCACCTGTGGATGACAACATTATGGTTAACCAATAGGATGACAACATTATTTTTAACCAATGTGGAGGACAACATTATGTTTAACCAATGTGGATGACAAAAATTATGTTTAACATTATGTCAAACCAATGTGGATGACAACATTATAATTATGTTTAACCAATGTGGATGACAACATTATGTTTATCCAATGTAGATGACAACATTATGTTCAACCAATGTAGATGACAACATTATGGTTAATTAATGTGAATGACAACATTATGTTTAACATTATGTTTAACCAATGTGGATGACAACATAATGTTTAACCAATGTGGATGACAACATTATGGTTAATTAATGTGAATGACAACATTATGTTTAACATTATGTTTAACCAATGTGGATGACAACATAATGTTTAACCAATGTGGATGACAACATTATGTTTAACATTATGTTTAACCAATGTGATGACAACATTATGTTTAACATTATGTTTAACCAATGTGGATGACAACATAATGTTTAACCAATGTGGATGACAACATTATGTTTAACATTATGTTTAACCAATGTGGATGACAACATTATGTTTAACATTATGTTTAACCAATGTGGATGACAACATTATGTTTAACATTATGTTTAACCAATGTGGATGACAACATTATGTTTAACATTATGTTTAACCAATGTGGATGACAACATTATGTTTAACATTATGTTTAACCAATGTGGATGACAACATTATGTTTAACATTATGTTTAACCAATGTGGATGACAACATTATGTTTAACATTATGTTTAACCAATGTGATGACAACATTATGTTTAACATTATGTTTAACCAATGTGGATGACAACATAATGTTTAACCAATGTGGATGACAACATTATGTTTAACATTATGTTTAACCAATGTGGATGACAACATTATGTTTAACATTATGTTTAACCAATGTGGATGACAACATTATGTTTAACATTATGTTTAACCAATGTGGATGACAACATTATGTTTAACATTATGTTTAACCAATGTGGATGACAACATTATGTTTAACATTATGTTTAACCAATGTGGATGACAACATTATTTTTTCTGATCATTAAATGAACCCTTGGGTTAAGGTCTTTGATTAAAGAAAGATGCGAGTCTTACACAAACTATAATAATAAAAATAAATGTCGCATCAAAGAATTGTTTGAAATTTGGTTCTATTCTGTTACAAGCTTCACTCAACGACTGTAACTACAGGAAATAATTATTAGATCAGGTGTTATTAGTAATCGATCAATTATGACAGCTAAAAATAATTGGATCAATTTATATTTTTAGATGGGTGGTCGCCCAGCCAGTTAGTTGGAGATTATATATAGTTGTTTGTCACTATTGGAAGGGAAGTAACGAGTGGTGAAACAAGGGAAGTAACGAGTGGAGAAACAAGGGAAGTAACGAGTGGAGAAACAAGGGAAGTAACGAGTGGAGAAACAAGGGTAGTAACGAGTGGAGAAACAAGGGAAGTAACGAGAAAAAAAATAGCATCAGTGGGATAACAAGCGACAACGGCACACAGAGCCAAAAGGACGACATTGTCTGCCTAGCAGAAGTCGCAATGTTCAGCAAAGGTCGGCGGTTTATGCTGCATTTCTTTGCAATCTGTCACAAGATACCATCCTTGGGTATCTGGTTATCTAATTCTACCCGACACCATTCTTATCTGGTTATCTAATTCTACCAGACACCATTCTTATCTGGTTATCTAATTCTACCAGACACCGTTCTTATCTGGCTATCTAATTCTACCAGACACCATTCTTATCTGGCTATCTAATTCTACCAGACACCATTCTTAGATATCTGGTTATCTAATTCTACCAGACACCATTCTTATCTGGCTATCTAATTCTACCAGACACCATTCTTATCTGGTTATCTAATTCTACCAGACACCATTCTTAGGTATCTGGTTATCTAATTCTACCAGACACCATTCTTAGATATCTGGTTATCAAATTCTATCAGACACCATTCTTATCTGGTTATCTAATTCTACCAGACACCATTCTTATCTGGCTATCTAATTCTACCAGACACCATTCTTATCTGGCTATCTAATTCTACCAGACACCATTCTTATCTGGTTATCTAATTCTACCAGACACCATTCTTATCTGGTTATCTAATTCTACCAGACACCATTCTTAGGTATCTGGTTATCTAATTCTACCAGACACCATTCTTAGGTATCTGGTTATCTAATTCTACCAGACACCATTCTTATCTGGTTATCTAATTCTACCAGACACCATTCTTATCTGGTTATCTAATTCTACCAGACACCATTCTTAGGTATCTGGTTATCTAATTCTACCAGACACCATTCTTATCTGGTTATCTAATTCTACCAGACACCATTCTTATCTGGTTATCTAATTCTACCAGACACCATTCTTAGGTATCTGGTTATCTAATTCTACCAGACACCATTCTTATCTGGTTATCTAATTCTACCAGACACCATTCTTATCTGGTTATCTAATTCTACCAGACACCATTCTTAGATATCTGGTTATCTAATTCTATCAGACACCATTCTTATTTGGTTATCTAATTCTACCAGACACCATTCTTATCTGGTTATCTAATTCTACCAGACACCATTCTTATCTGGTTATCTAATTCTACCAGACACCATTCTTAGATATCTGGTTATCTAATTCTATCAGACACCATTCTTAGATATCTGGTTATCTAATTCTACCAGACACCATTATTAGATATCTGGTTATCTAGCTAATTCTACCAGACACCATTCTTAGATATCTGGTTATCTAATTCTACCAGACACCATTCTTAGATATCTGGTTATCTAATTCTACCAGACACCATTCTTAGATATCTGGTTATCTAATTCTATCAGACACCATTCTTAGATATCTGGTTATCTAATTCTACCAGACACCATTCTTAGATATCTGGTTATCTAATTCTACCCGACACCATTCTTATCTGGTTATCTAATTCTACCAGACACCATTCTTATCTGGTTATCTAACTAATTCTACCCGACACCATTCTTATCTGGTTATCTAATTCTACCAGACACCATTCTTATCTGGTTATCTAACTAATTCTACTCGACACCATTCTTATCTGGTTATCTAGTTCTACCCGACACCATTCTTATCTGGTTATCTAATTCTATCAGACACCATTCTTAGGTATCTGGTTATCTAACTAATTCTACAAGACACTATCCGTATGTGTCTAGAATAGTCTAGATGTAAAATTCCACCAGACCCCCATTTTGAATTTACCACCATGGATCTAAACAATGGTTTCCGCCATTTTTCAATGGATTTGGCAGACGTGTAACAGAAGTGTGGCGGGTACTTCCGGTTAAATGCCACGTGTGTTGACAAAGAAAATAAATCCTGACAAGGTGCCGATCTGTGTTTGTTCAAAGCAATTCAAACAATTGATACATGGGTAATGTCTGAGTGGCTTAAGGTGTAAGACGTAACATGTAAGATTATTTGATTATTGATTTTCTTTAAGCGTAAAGTTCAAAGGTTGTCATTGAATGGTTATTTATAGATCAGTCTATGCATGTTGAACACCTTCCCCTTCTCCTACGCTGTATTCTCGTAGCGGCTAATTCAGAGTTTCATTCAGGCATCTGGACGGGGGGAGGCATATGATCGAGTACAGACCCCCCCCCCCCCCCCATCTCCACCGCCCGACTAAATAGAAAAAATATTAAATAGTATAAAAAATATTAAATTTAATAAAAAATTTCAAGTGCTCCCACCCCCGAGCAAAACGCCTGAAAGAAACACATGACATGTTTAGCGCCATCATTTGAGTGGAAGTGGTTCAGGTTTAGATCTAAATAAAGTGTCGCGTTAGACACAGAGTCACTGGCGGATGTTAAAAGTGGTACTCAACTCAACCGACTGTTGTGTGTAGGTCGAGTTCCGTTTCGAACATGGCGGTCCATGGGGGCAGAGGAAGTAGAGCTCACCTGTTTCCGTGACCTCGGCATGTGAAGGGATATTATGCCTGTCGTGTGTACTTGACCCAAACTTTCAGGTTGAGTTGGAACTTAACAACACATACTCGTGCGCGCACACATACACACACACTCACACACACAAACTCTACGCATACACAGAGACATACACACGCGCACACTCACACACGAAACCAAACACTCACACACGCGCGCACATACACACACGCACATATACAAACACAAACATATACACACGCAGGCACACACACAAATACAAACACTCACACACACGCGCACACACACATACACACACTAATGCATACACGCACACAAACACTCACACACGCGCGCACATATACAAACACAAACATACATACAAGCATGCACACAAATATAAACACTCACACACATACGCGCACACATACACTCACTAATGCATCATGCACACAAACACTCCCGCACACGCACATATACACACAAAAGCACACACAAACACACACATAAACACACACACAAACACGCACACAAAAGTACTCATACACACACACACTCCCACATGTGTTGCGTGCCCACCTGTTAGACTCCGAGAACTGACAGTAGCGCCTCTTGACGTTGTAGCCGAACGAGCGGCAGACCAGACGATAGTTCTGCAGACAGTACCTCTGGCACTCCTCCAGCTCGATCTCAGTCAGTGAGAAGCTGTTCATTGACGTCAGACTGCTGCCTACGATGACGTCAAATCGGCACGGTTCGTCTGAAACAACGGGTGGTTAGCCTTAACTTCGGCGCAATCCTTACAGATACTTATCATTATCAATGGCGGAATAATATATATATATATATATATATATATATATATATATATATATATATATATATATATATATATATAGCTTATATATATATATAGGCCATATATATAAGCTATATATAGGCTATATATATAGGCTATACCAGTGGCGTAGGTCGGGTGTCACCCGGTGCGGCACTTAATGGTGTTACCCCCCAGAGGCGTAGCGACCCTTCCCGGGGACAAACTTTCAAGTTGTCGATTTGCACCCCCCCCCCCCTCAAACTTTCGATTTGCACCCCCCCCCCCCTCAAGTTTTTCTCTATAAATTTTGCTATTTTTTGCCTTGGTGTCACCCCCCTAAATGGTGTCACCCGGTGCGGTCCGCACCCCCCGCTCCCCCCCCCCCTCGCTACGCCCCTGGGCTATACATATATATATATATATAGCCTACATATAAAGATAGCAAGGTTCAGCGGCGTATGCGGCCCATTACGGCGCCCGTGGCGAACTCTTTATTTTTACCACTTAAGGGTTTTATGTCTGTGTCACATAATAGCATTAGAAAGCAGTTGTTAAATCAAACTGTAAAGCTAAATACCGGTCTATTTTCTCACATTTAACTGTGTATAATTTAGTAATTCAGCCCAGAATGAGCTTTTTACTTTTTTGTTTTACCCCTTAGCTAGGCCTCTGGCAAGGCTAAGTAAATCTAAAAAAAAATTTCATTGATTCTAACGAGTTGTAGGCCTAGTTTTAATTCTTTGAAAAGCGTATTGTCTAATTCGAATGATCAGAAATAGCGTTAAGTGAACTCAACCATTACATCTAATGGAGGAAAGTATCTTAAATGGACACTAAAAAAACGAATCTTGTGTGGATGAATGGTTTTAGAAAGTGTCGCTAGCTCTTTTAAACTTCATCACGAGAGAGTGGTTCTATCAAACTCGTGTCTCCATGCACTGGTGAGCGATGATAGTTGGGAATAATGGCTGATATTGGAAACTGATCTTGAACTTTTGTGACGTTTTTTTTTTTTGATACATGAATGATGCATCAACATGGTCATATAAAACAATGCGAGTAAAGTCTCTTGCATATTTAAACAAAGGCGAATTAATGATAAAAACGATATGTTAAACCTTGAACAGGATCAAACGACTCCTTTGGTCTGGTGACTACCAGTTCTAGCAGTACAAAAAATGTGGAGTGGTCTGAAAGTGGTTTGAATTCAAGCAACAGAACACTGCCATTCTGTTACATAAACGTCTTGCCTCTTATCACCTGTTTCTACCTGCGTATCTGCTCACCTGTTAATACCCATCTTAGTATCTACTCACCTGTTTCTACCTAAGTATCTACTCACCTGTTTCTACCTAAGCATCTGCTCACCTGTTTCTTAGTATCTACTCACCTGTTTCTTAGTATCTACTCACTTGTTTCTACCTAAGTATCTACTCACCTGTTTCTACCTAAGCATCTACTCGCCTGTTTCTACCTAAGTATCTACTCATCTGTTTCTACCTAAGTATCTACTCACCTGTTTCTACCTAAGTATCTGCTCACCTGTTTCTACCTATCTACTCACCTGTTTCTTAGTATCTACTCACCTGTTTCTTAGTATCTACTCACTTGTTTCTACCTAAGTATCTACTCACCTGTTTCTACCTAAGCATCTACTCGCCTGTTTCTACCTAAGTATCTACTCATCTGTTTCTACCTAAGTATCTACTCACCTGTTTCTACCTAAGCATCTACTCACCTGTTTCTACCTAAGTATCTGCTCACCTGTTTCTACTTATCTACTCACCTGTTTCTACCTAAGCATCTACTCACCTGTTTCTAAGTATCTACTCACCTGTTTCTACCTAAGTATCTACTCACCTGTATCTACCTAAGTATCTACTCACCTGTTTCTACCTAAGTATCTGCTCACCTGTTTCTAAGTATCTACTCCCTGTTTTTAATATCTACTCACCTGTTTCTAAGTATCTACTCACCTGTTTCTACCTAAGTATCTACTCACCTATTTCTACCTAAGTATCTCCTCACCTGTTTCTACCTAAGTATCTACTCACCTGTTTCTACCTAAGTATCTACTCACCTGTTTCTACCTAAGTATCTCCTCACCTGTTTCTACCTAAGTATCTACTCATATGTTTCTACCTAAGTATCTGCTCACCTGTTTCTACCTATCTACTCACCTGTTTCTACCTAAGCATCTACTCACCTGTTTCTACCTATCTACTCACCTGTTTCTACTTATCTACTCACCTGTTTCTACCTAAGCATCTACTCAACTGTTTCTAAGTATCTACTCAGCTGTTTCTACCTAAGTATCTACTCACCTGTTTCTACCTAAGTATCTCCTTACCTGTTTCTACCTAAGTATCTACTCACCTGTCTCTACCTATCTACTCACTTGTTTCTAAGTATCTACTCACCTGTTTCTACCTGGCATAAAAACGGATTAGTCGCTGAACAGTCGAGCATGGACCAGAAGAAGGGGACCATCGTCTCGACCGCTGTACACACGACGTCAGGCGACCATCGGGTGTCGAGCCAGTTGTCGTAGGTCACGTGACTCCCGTCCACCCACGTCAGCGGGGACACCTCGACGTTACGGTTAAACGTGAGACCCACCCAGACCTGGGCTTGTCTGTGGTCAGACAACAGACAAATATAAGACAACAGACATAAGACAACAGACAAAAGACATCAGACATGTGACAACAGACAAATATAAGACAACAGACATCAGGGTTTGGTAAGACAACAGACATAAGACAACAGACATCAGGGTTTGGTAAGACAACAGACATAAGACAACAGACATTAAGGTTTGATAAGACAACAGACATAAGACAACAGACATAAGACAACAGACAAATATAAGACAACAGACATCAGGGTTTGGTAAGACAACAGACACAAGACAACAGACATAAGAAAACAGACATCATGGGTTGATAAGACAACAGACATAAGACAACAGACATAAGACAACATACATCCATGTTTGATAAGACAACAGACATAAGACAACATACATGTGACAACAGACAAACATAAGACAACAGACCTCAATTTTTTATAAGACAACAGACAACAAGGTTTGATAAGACAACAGACATCAATCTTTGATAAGACAACAGACATCAAGGTTTGATAAGACAACAGACATCAATCTTTGATAAGACAACAGACATCAAGGTTTGATAAGACAACATACATAAGACAACAGACATAAGATAACAGACATAATACAGACATCAAGGTTTGATAAGACAAAAGACATAAGACAACAGACATAGACAACAGACATAAGACAACAGACATAAGACAACAGACATAAGACAACAGACATAAGACAACAGACATAAGACAGCAGACATAAGACAGCAGACATAAGACAACAGACATAAGACAACAGACATAAGACAACAGACAAATATAAGACAACAGACATCAGGGTTTGGTAAGACAACAGACACAAGACAACAGACATAAGAAAACAGACATCATGGGTTGATAAGACAACAGACATAAGACAACAGACATAAGACAACAGACAAATATAAGACAACAGACATCAGGGTTTGGTAAGACAACAGACACAAGACAACAGACATAAGAAAACAGACATCATGGGTTGATAAGACAACAGACATAAGACAACAGACATAAGACAACATACATCCATGTTTGATAAGACAACAGACATAAGACAACATACATGTGACAACAGACAAACATAAGACAACAGACCTCAATTTTTTATAAGACAACAGACAACAAGGTTTGATAAGACAACAGACATCAATCTTTGATAAGACAACAGACATCAAGGTTTGATAAGACAACAGACATCAATCTTTGATAAGACAACAGACATCAAGGTTTGATAAGACAACATACATAAGACAACAGACATAAGATAACAGACATAATACAGACATCAAGGTTTGATAAGACAAAAGACATAAGACAACAGACATAAGACAACAGACATAAGACAACAGACATAAGACAACAGACATAAGACAACAGACATAAGACAGCAGACATAAGACAGCAGACATAAGACAGCAGACATAAGACAACAGACATAAGACAACAGACATAAGACAACAGACATAAGACAGCAGACATTAAAACCCCAATTATGATCCTATCACTAGCCCTAACCTAAACTCCAAAAACAATGACCGCAATTAAACAATTTCGATACGGTCTGTCGACAATTATAGATTGTTATACAGAGTAAAGAAAAGGTAAAAAATATTCACTTGAAAGATCGTCATAAATTAATCGATAGCCAATAGTTATGGTTTCATTTTTCCGTTAAAAGTTATTACAATGTTATAATAATGCTCAAATTGTTGTAATAAACTCTGAATAGAAATATCCAATAATTGACCACCATGTTAATTCAAAGGTGTTCTTATCATCATTGTGGGATAGCTGGGTGTTTAGACGCATCAGTGGACAGGGTTTCTTTCAGATATTTTTCTAGGGGGGGGGGGGCAGGTCGCTTTATATATATATATATATATATATATATATATATATATATATATATATATATATATATATATATATATATTCTATATGAAGTATAAATTTCATATTTCGAGAGAGTTGACATGCTTTGGGAGAAGGGGGGGGGGGGAAGGTGAAGAAGAGATGTCTGAAAGAAACACTGCCGGCTTTGTATAAAAAAAACCATGACTAGCTCACGCGAACACGCGAGCTGTAATAAAAGAACGATTAATATAGGTTACGGTTTTGGTTATGGTTATGGCTGAGATTATGGATATGTATAAGGATAATAAGATAGCTAGGGATATGTATTAAAGGAGGGAATTACCCTAGGGATATGGATAAGGATAGAGTTATGGATATGTATTAAGAGAGGGGATTACCCTAGGGTCTACAGGTGGGTAATAAAAATAGATTACGAGTTATGTTGCTATGTTAATTTAATATAAATGTGTTTTAAAAAGCTCGGGCGCTAACAAAAAAATATTAAGGTGTGTGTGTGTGGGGATGGGGGGGGGGGACTGACCACTACAACATGAGGACCACTGTAAGGCGTGGAACTTGATTTTGTCCATGAGAACTCAAATAAGTTCTAGTCTGCTCACACCCAAGGGCGATAACGCTGTTTAGCTCTAGTACAAATGTGAGTTGAGTGAAACAAGTTAGATAACGCTGTTTAGATCTAGTACAAATGTTATCTGACTGAAACAAGGGAGGTAACGTTGTTTAGATCTAGTACAAATGTCAGGTTGCTGTACAAGGGAGATAACGCTGTTTAGATCTAGTACAAATGTGACTGGAACAAGGGAAGTAACACTACTTACATGTTCAGGTTGAGTTCCCTCATAGTGCCAGCATCGTCTATTGTGGCCAGAGTTCCATTCATGGCCTGGCACTCTGCCTCCGCCTCTGACCACGTGACCAGGGTCTGGTTGTAGTAGAACCGTTTCTGGTGGCTGTAATCTGGCGAGAGTGTCATATCGTTACACGGTGGGTGGATGGCGTTGGTTGAGATCAGTGGTGCTTAACCTTTTGGTGGGGGGGGGGGGGGGAGGGGTCGAACCCCATCAGTTTCATATGCGCATTCGCCAAACCATTCTTAAGAGTTCTATCGTCCACACTGATAAAATCCAGTTGTAAGTCGGGTGTGTGTTTTGACCTCCACCGAACCCCTGGGGTTCGATCGAACCCCGGTTAAGAACCACTGGTTTAGACATTTTCATAACTGGTATTAGTTTTTGCCTTTAGATAGCGTTACGGTGGGGTGTATTTTTTTTACAATCCCCCCCCCCCATTCCATCGTCACACATGCTAACATAAAAATAGACACACACACACACACACACACACCTATAATGACGTCACGCCTCCGTTTACCATTATTTATATGTCAAAATTGCAAGTTTTTTTTATTTTTTAAATTCGCTTTAAAAATGACTTTTTGGGGTCGTGGATAAATGACGTCACACTTGAAGGGGGAGGGGGTGCGTAATTGTGTGGCGGTGTGTGATTAGGGGAGTGCGATGTCGCATCTTTTGCATTATAAAATAAATAATGTTAGGAAACGAATTTCAGCCGTTTAAATTTCAAATTTTAGGAAACTGTTTAAATAAAATGTAAGAGAAATTATTGACCGAGCTCAGTCAAAATTTTAGAGAAAAATAATTCGATATTTAAGAAAATTTCAACAGCAATTTTAAGGGGGGGGGATAGGTCATAGGCTGAGGTTTGACGTCAATTTAGGAGGGGGGGGTGGCATTTTTGTGACGTTATGTGACAGAGGGGAGGGGGAGGTAAAAACCGTCACAAACGCATACGTCATTTATGGTTGACTCCTTAGAAAGAAAAAGTGTAATTATTCGACATTCTTCCCAGAGTGTGACGTCATTTATGGACGACCCCATAAAAGATATGAAATCTGATCTATAACTGAGCAGAGTTTCTTCCAGGCATCTCTTCGGGGGGGGGGGGGGGGGCTACCGAAGAAAGTCTACCGCCCCCCCCCCCCCCCCCGAACGAAATGAAAAATATATATAGAAAATATATACTATTAACAGTGTCCGCCCCCCGAAGAGTCTACCCCCCCCTCCCCGAAAATTTCAAGTGCCCCCCCCCCCGGAGAAAAAAGTCTGGAAGTAACACTGTAACTGAGAAGGCTGTGGTTGAAATATCGAAGCCACATACCATAAACGTACAAACCCGACGTAGACTTTGGCTTCTAAATAGGTTAGTCGACGTGTTTCTGGGGAAGATAATGTGTATACATTCTGGGGGGGGATAAGGGGGGCTCTTGAAACTTCCAGGAGGGTAACTTGAAACTTCGGGGAGACGGATACTGGTTAAAAAAAAATATACTTTGTATATAAATTATACTTTTTTAATTATATTTCGTCCGGGGAAGGGGGCGATGGACATGCTTCTCCCCCCCCCCCCCCCCCCCTCTCCCTCTCGACTGAGCTCGGTCAACATATAAAGTATATTAATCAGTATCCACTACAGTTTGAAAATAAAGAGTTTCTAAAACGAAATAGCGGCTACATTCAGTTTGTTATATTACTTTTTTTAAATGAAAAAAAAAGTGTGACGTTTCACTGTTTGAGACTCCTCCCCCTCCCTCTTATCACACATCATCACAAAATTACAAACCCCAGCTCTCCGTAGGAGTGGGACGTCATATTTTATTAACGACCCCTTACAATAAAATTGTCTTTATCTCTAAAAAATTATGCAGCTTAACAGAATGAATCGTATCAAAAGGCTATTTTTACTCGAGTCTTCAGCTTACAATCAATAGGAATTAATCCTGTTTAAATCTGTTAAATGGGGAATATTGCGGAAACTAACTCACAGACACATACAGCCGGCAGACTGTGGTAGTGTAGGAGGTAACAGGTCGTTTGCTTTGTTTGGTTCTTGAATAGGTCTGGTAGAACTGAGATAAGTGTAGAATGTAAAGCTGTAAAGATGTAAATTTGTGTGGGTGTAATCAGACTTTCTTCTAGGCATCTCTTCGGGGGGGGGGGGGGATAGTCCTTACCTTTCTTCTCCCCCCCCCGCCCCCCCCCCCCCCCCCCCCAACAACGTAATCGATTTTATATAGAAAACATATACCAGCATGAATTCTGTTATTGGAAAATTGTATGTAAAACGGAATTAATTTTCCTGATCTTGTCTGCCAATTAGGGAGTGATATTTCAAAGTTTTAAATGTCTAACAAACAATTTTACTGTTATAAAATCGTCATGGAGTACATAACTCTTGTCTACCAACTGAATGATACAACACTGATAATTAGACCAAATAAATTCCTCTTGTATTTATAAATATCCGTAAACTACAAAAAAAAGGTTTCGGTCTTGACAGTCAGATGAAGTAGATTACATATGTACATATGACCACGGCGTATGAAAAGATAGTATGTTTAGCACTTTACTTTTCCCAACGTGAGTCAGGTACCCATTAGAGCTGGGTGGACTCAGGGACGTCCTACAGACTTCGAGATCGGAACGACCACGTCGTCTGATATAATTGCCCGTGGGTTGTCTTTAAAAAAAAAAAGACGTGTATACACTTTTGGAGTCGACCTCTCATTCAGAACACAATCAATGACGAGTCCATACGACGTCCCTGAGTCCACCCAGCTCTTATGGGTACCCGACTCACGTTAGGGAAAGTAAAGGCGGCTGGGCATAATGCTGAGTGCTACCACACTATCTCTTCATATGCCGAGATCACTGAAACAGGTAAACTTTACTTCTCCTGCCCCATGGGCCGTAAGGTTTGAAAGGGTACTTGACTTTTAACGAAGAAAGGAAATTCTCGACCCAAGCCCACGACTGTGTGTCGAGAAAGAAATGCCCAATCAAGATTATTGCTAGATAAAGACGGTTGACTTCTACTGGTCAAAACTTTGGTCACGTGAAAGATAAGATACGACGGCGACAAACTCAGGTAAAAAAAATATAATCTGACCAACTCTACAACTCACACAAGTAAAACTGACCAACTCAACAACTCACACCCTCAAAAAAAACTGACCAACTCTACAACACACTCAAGTCAAACTGACCAACTCACCCACTCAAGTCAAACTGACCAACTCTACAACACACTCAAGTAAAACTGACCAACTCTACAACTCGCACACTAAAACTGACCAACTCAACAACTCACACACTCAAGTAAAACTGACCAACTCTACAACTCGCACACTAAAACTGACCAACTCTACAACTCACACACTAAAACTGACCAACTCTACAACTCACACACTCAAGTAAAACTGACCAACTCTACAACTCACACAAGTAAAACTGACCAACTCTACAACTCACACACTAAAACTGACCAACTCTACAACTCACACACTCAAGTCTCAAGTAAAACTGACCAACTCTACAACTCACACAAGTAAAACTGACCAACTCTACAACTCACACACTAAAACTGACCAACTCTACAACTCACACACTCAAGTCTCAAGTAAAACTGACCAACTCTACAACTCACACACTAAAACTGACCAACTCTACAACTCACACACTAAAACTGACCAACTCTACAACTCACACACTCAAGTAAAACTGACCAACTCTACAACTCACACAAGTAAAACTGACCAACTCTACAACACACTCAAGTCAAACTGACCAACTCACCAAATGTCCCTCCACAGACTAAGAAAGTCCAGTAAATAAAACAAGCCCAGCCTGTGAAGCTTAAGTCCAGCATTTAGAGACCTCCACATTTATCCTGTCTCTCACAAAATCCCACACAGTGGTTTATCTAATAATGAAACAATTGCACGTTCGAATTTACAGTCCGCATGAGATAATTACACGTTCTAATTAACAGCCACGGTGAAATCGTTAAATGTGCCAATCAACAAACAAGCTGGATGAGATAATTAATTAAATGTCCCAATCAACGTGCAACACATTTGGCTCCGCAGCGGTCACTGGGAATAAATCAATGTCCAATCATTGGAGACGTAATGAATACACAATTTCTTACGGCGCCGGCTGCCAGAGGGTGGGAGGGGGTGGGGCGACGCCTGCCATGGGTGGTGGGGGCGCCGGCTATCAGGGGGGTGGGGGACGCGGCAACAGCCTGAACATGGAAAACCCCTTTTAGCGTCCTTTCAATGACGCGGATAAAGAAGAAAATGTTGACTCAAGTAGTTTGACAATCTTGAACGGCGATTGGTTGGCGCGTTGTGTATCGATAGAAAGTTGGGGGGGGGGGGGGGTGGGGGGGGGGTGCTGTGGCGGGTAAATGGCTGGTATATGCGTTACGCTGAATTCGGTACAATGGAGATTGGTTTTAAAGAGTTTAAAAGTTCGTTACAGACACGAGGGCTGGTGGAGCTTAATTAAGTTAATTGGGTGGTAATTAGCCGTGATGTTAAATAGTGGGAGACAAATAGGTAAATATACTTTAGCACCAGTAGATCAATGGCTTGTTTTTATGATTTAGTGATGGCTCAATAGTTGACTTCAAAGTGCTGTTTTTCATGAGTTAGTTTTGGTTCGATAGTTGACTTCAAAGTGCTGTTTTTATTACTTTGTTATGGTTCTAAAGTAGACTTCAAAGTGCTGTTATGTGTTAGTTATGGCTCAATAGTTGACTTTAAAGTGCTGTATTTATGTGTTAGTTATAGTTCAATAGTAGGCTTCAAAGTGCTGTTTTTACGAGTTAGTTATGGTTCAATAGTTGATTTTAAAGTGGTTTTTATGACTTTGTTGTGGCTCAATAGTTGACTTCAAACTGCTGTTTTTATGACTGTTATTTCTCAATATTTGACTTCATAAGTGCTATTTTTATGACTGTGTGTCATGACTGATTTGTTGACTTCCTTGTTTTATTTTCATGACATTATTTCATTTCGCATGGTGTTTTTTTTTTTAAAATTTGCTGTTAGTTATGACTGAGTTGATTTTAAAGTCAAAAGGGGGACTTAAAACCTAAATTGTATTGGTTTTTAGTTGTTTATTAGCTAAGGTTATTGAAAGGTGATGGTTAACATTACAAATAATACATCTGAGTATTCAGTCTGAATTTTTAAGGAAAAAAGTTGCGTTGTTTTCATCTACCTTTAGAATAAACTAGACTACCCGTTATCTAGTTAGATAACTGTGGGTTTCGGGGGGGTCATCCATAAATGTCATCACGTCTGCCAGCACTTTTTATCCCAAAATAACCAGACCCCCACATTCAAAAAGACGTTTTTTATATTTTAAAAACTCTACTAAACTCTACTTCACCTGCCCAGTGCCCCGCCAAGTCTCAGACATGTTTGTATTTTAAAAAAAAACGATTCCGGCCGAGCATGGCTCCGACCACAGTATCGCTTCATATGCTGAGAACATAGAAACAGGTGAACTCTACTTCACCTGCCCTGTGCCCCGCGAGGTCCTGATGGTCAACCTTATCATTCACATATAGGCCTTAAGAATAAATAATTGAAAACGTTGTAAAAAAAATATTCTTTTTACTATTACTATACTCATTGTTCTAAACTTTTATAATTAATGTGGTTAATCTACCAATGAATATATCAATAAATTAATTAACGGCTTTAAATTAGTTTGTAATTAACAGTGTGTTTAAGAAGGAACAATATTTAACACCCAAAATCCTATTTTACAGCTCTACACATAATGCAGATTCTCCCCAATAACAAATAAAAAAAAACAAACAAACAAAAAAATGAGTTATCAAACGTCACTATTCAAAGTTAAGCTATTGTTCTAAAACTTTAAAATTAATGTGGTTAATCTACTTATGAATAAATCAATAAATTAAATTAACGTCTTTAAATAAATGTGTGATTATTAACAGTCTATCTGCAATCAAAAATTGTTCTCTACCTACATACTATTTTACAGCCTCCCCCCCCCCCCTTATAGAGCAGTTTCCATACAGTACCAAATCAGACAAACAAACAAATATTCAAACATGTAAACAAACTTCAGTTTTAGTAATGTATAGATATGGTGTTTAAAAATAAATGCGAGAAAGATCTGTGATTAAACAACACATTTTTATGTGTTCTGAAATCAAGGTCATCAACTTGAATCAACTATTGTATAGGTACTTCATGTCTGACACACATCCACTCACAATGAAGAAAAACATCATTATGAAAATAAATTTTATTAATGCTTCCAACTTAGCTATTGAACTAAACAAGTGAAAAGCACCAATCTGTTAACACAAAATTATGCATTCATAGATTAATGTTGGGTGCTAATGTGAAAAAAACTATTCATACCAAACACGAACCCAAACCATTAAATCCTGGACACTAAAAAATTAACTCTAGAATTTCTTTTCCTTTACATTTCTTTACAACTCTACATTAAAAAATATTACAGAAAATCCCACATTACAAAAAATTTGTTGACCTCTGTACTGACCCACCAACAAAATTTGTTGACCTCTGTACTGACCCACCAACAAAATTTGTTGACCTCTGTACTGACCCACCAACAAAATTTGTTGACCTCTGTACTGACCCACCAACAAAATTTGTTGACCTCTGTACTGACCCACCAACAAAATTTGTTGACCTCTGTACTGACCCACCAACAAAATTTGTTGACCTCTGTACTGACCCACCAACAAAATTTGTTGACAAAGTGACAGACCAAAGCATGGGTCAACTAGTGACTAGACTAACACGGCCAAAAAGTACAGTTTTTATCCATCAACCAGGAATATGAAAAAAATCTACTTAGATATGTCTGGTTGGTTTGAACTGTAACACACACTCATACAGAATTAATTATAAAGGAAGGTGAAAGCTTCACATATCAGTAACTCCACAGCACAACCAACATTATAATCCCAAGAAAGTTTTTAAAAGTCCTTAGAACACTTCCAAGGCTGGATGAAAAATGTGCGGATTGCCAGTCAGGTGACTGAAGCAACTGGTTATTATAAAAACAGTTGAAAGAAAATCTTAGTATCAAAGTAGTAAAATACTGCACAGGTGGGAAACGAGAAATGCAACTAGACCAACTGAGGTAGAAGGCTACCCCGCACTGTACCATGTTAATAGTCAGCTGGTTAAATATCCCAACAGTTGACCTAAGTTACGCACAATAAAAATTCAGTGTTAAAAATACCCAGGGAAGCACCTTATGATTTTGTGATATTCCAATTGTTCACATCTAACTCAACACCTAAAACAACCCCCAAAACAAGCTGCGTGGACACCTTTCCCAGGTGCAAATTAAAAATTTAAGGAAATATTAGATATTTATAAAAATGTTCTCTAAAATCAAAATGTATGGGAGAAAATTGTTATCAAAGGAGAAAAAAATGGGATCTCAAAGCGAAAAAAATATGGTAAAAGTTAGATCTCAGCATTTAAATTTTTTTCCCAAGATAGTAAAAAAAGAATCTTGGTTAACTCTTAAAACCCTGAGATACATTGATCTAGTTGCAGCGAGATAAAAATGACAATATTAAAATTAAAAAAAGTTAAAAACTGCTTGTTTAAGAGGTACCAAGGATATTTTAAAGGCATTAGATGAAGCTAATGTTGTGCATATTTTGAAATGCTCAGTAGTAACAAATGTTTAGCTTTAGTAGATAAAACAGCATGAGAATAAAAAGCTAATGCCAGACTGGACAAGAATCTTTAACGTAGTACAGCTCCAGATAAAGATAACATCAACAAAGAAAACATTTCTCTCATTACTTGCCAATTACAAAAAATAGAAAAGCTTGTAAAAGATGTTTAAAAGGTAACCATCGTAGAAATACAAACTTTAAAACACTTGATTCATTTCTATTTAACAAGATATAATGGAATTTTTGTCCATAATGCTGTGCATAACCATGTTTGCTAATTTTATTAGTTAAAAACTTTAGCTGCCATGTTCTCCTTTGATGGCAACAATGGAAAAAGCTTCAGCAACTTGCTTATAATATACTTCTCACTTAGCTTCCATTTTCTTTTCTCTGCCAATTGCGAACAAATAATCTAAACCAACTTGTTAATTAAATACTTCCATCCCTGTTAGTTACCATTATATCCTAAACTGGCTAGGATAAAATAACCTTAACTAACCAATTGATTAGTAAAACCTTTAATTAAGCTGGCCACCATTTTCTCCCTAGCTGTCTGTCTACCATGAAACAAGCTTCATCCATTCATGAAAAACTTATTCAGCTGGCTATCATTTTTTCCTCTGCTGACTACTGTGTTGTTTGAGTAGAGCAGCATAATCTAGTTCATCTGTTCTCTTAGGCATGGGAGCATATTCCTCCTCTATTTCCTGGTTGCCATCTACAATTATAAAACAACTTAAACTAAAAACAAAGATCTTCTTGTAATAAAAATATGCATTATGAAAACAATTCTCCTCTCTTATCTTTAAAATATAATCTGCATTATGAAAGTTCTGAACATTTAGCCAATGTTTACTTTTGAATTTGACTCTGAAAATGGATACCATTTATTTTACAAAACCTTGTGCTCAGGACAGAAAAACTTTGAACCAAAGAAATGAACCCACCTAAATCAGCATACTGATCTGGACAAAAGCGCCGCCTTCCTCCAAAGCAGAGATCAAACTTGACAGCATCTTGGGTGTTGTTACCCCCTGTAAACAATTTTACCAAGATGTAATCATTTTGTAATCAGAAATTTGGTTAGACTTATCTTTATATGCTTTTATTTATCATGGTTCCACATAATGTCACAGGTGAAATCTATTAAACTAAATTTTAACCCATTTTTATTTGACAGAATTGTTTTGAACTTACTTTCTTTAGCTGCAATAGCATCACAGGCATAAGCAAATGTCACAAAACCATAGTTGTCACTGAAATTTAAAAAAAAAAAACTTTGGTATAAAACAAACTACTAGCAATAAACAAGTGTTGTCATACTGGGCAATTGACTTGTTTTTAGGATATTTTGAAGATGAATATCTTTAAAAACAAATTGTAAGATATCAATGTTTAGAATTAGACTTAAAGAACACAATGATTACATAATTGATCCCCTCCCCACCAATGAATGAAGCAATCAAGAAACATTTACCCATGTTCTCTGAAGTTCAGCTTGACTTCTTTTATCTCCCCAAAGCACTGGAATCTCTGGTACAATTGTCTTTTAGAGTAGTCATTTGGAATTTTACCCACATACACTATACGCCTCTCTTCCTGGAATTTTAACATTTTTTTTTTAGTTCAATGATCGTTACGGCAAATAAATTCTTGGAAGAATGTAATTTTATACACTTGTTAAATTAAATTTTAATTGTCCTTACCATAGCCTTCACCCTTTCCTTTTCTTTAGCTTTTTTCTTTTCTGACATATGGGCAGAAGAATGCTGTCTACTATGATGGCCAGTTCTTGACCTAAAATATTGTGTATACGTGAAAAACACATGTCACAGAATTTACGAAGTGATCGTTGTAAACAAAAACCCAAGGATCTGAATGTATGTGTTTATGTCCTGTGAAGATTTCTTTAGTGAAAAACTAGCAGCTAATAGGTAGAAATTCAATACACAAGTATACATTACATTAGGAATGTATTGAAGTAGCAGTAAGCTTTGTTTTTGTACATCAGTTAAAAGGTTAGTCTTTATGGCACTAAGTATTGCTAAGTATTCCTTTAGAGCCTATCTTGTAGATGCAACTGCTGCACATAAGTTAAATAAAGCAGGTGCCTGAACTAGATGTGCCAGGCTTAGTGTAGAGTTTCCAAGCTGATTTACAACAACCTGCTTCTTAAAAATGAATGCTAAACTTTCAAAATGGAAGTTCTTGTTGGAGACAATTTAAAACTGAAATTCATTACAAACATAAGGCAGCTTAAAAAAATCAATGAGGAAAAATGCGCATTATTTTAAATACTTTACCTGGATCGTTCTCTATCATAGCGACTGCGAGACCTGGATCTAGACCTTGAAGGTGTAAAGCGACTTCTAGTTCTTTTGCTTCTAAACCTTCTATCACGACGACGTTGTGGGGATGGTGACCTAAACAAATTATCGTTTTCTGATTTATAGATTTGAATTGATTGTGTTTAAAGTTCAAAGCAAAAAAGAAAAATTCTAAAAGTGTCACTGTAAATATTTTAAAGTTAAATTACATTAACCAATATAATGATGGCTATCATAAGTTATTGTTATAACTATCAAAAAATTAAATGCATCATAATATATATTCAAACAAAGATTTCCACATTACCTGGATCTGCTGTAACGTGAAGAAGTGCTTCTACTACTACATGCACTGACAGACCTGGACCTTGATGAACATGTGGAACAGTAAGATAAGCTACTGCACGTTGAACAGGTGGAGCAGTTGGAAGATGACGAGCCAGAACGACAGGAAGCTCTGGAGGAGTGTCTTGACACTGACCGGGATCTGTGGTAAGGGGAGCGTAGAGCAGCATTACACGGCTCAGAGAGAGAGTTATCTGACTCCAAGTCAAACTGAATATTTTCATCCAGCAGAAGTTCCGGGATCCTTTCTATATCCTTGGTAGTGTTAGTAAAACAGCGTCTGTGGGCAGGCACTTTGTCGTAGTGACTTTCATTTGTATCCTCACCCTTATCTAGCAAGTCCAAATGATCTGTGCTGCCAATGGCGCTAGTGGCACTGGCAAATATACTGGTTTTGGTTGGTTTAGTTGGTATTGAAAGAGCAGTGTAGAAGGATGGAATTTTATCATAAAAGTTTCCGCTATCTTCTCTGATAGGGCTAGTACTCAATTCTCTCTGTTTATTGTTATTAGTTTCTGCATGATGGCGGTATCTCCTACTATGCTTTCTAGTAGATCCCCTGGAAGAGGAATTAAATTTCACTGTTGCACTTCCCTCTTCTGTCTGTGGCACATTCACTGGAAAAGCATCATTGCCATTGGCATCTATAAAAATCTCACTTTCCTCTACAACCACTTCCTCTACAGTGGGCACATCATCCTGGGGGAGGGTTGTTTCCTCTAGGGGAACAGAGGCCTCTTCTGTCAGTTTTGTGCCTATTTTCAAAGGTTTTATATCTTGCTTAGTTTTGAGCATTGAAATGTTTGCAGAGTCTTTCCAATGAGTTTTAAAGAAACAATAGTCATGATCAGAGCTCTCTGAGCTGACAACAGGAGCTGGTGATGGCTTAACACATGTGGGCGATATTTCTGGTTTGATTATAGAGATATTCAATGGGAGAGGATTCTGAGCATTGTTTTGTATCACTGGGGTGGTAACAGCAATGTTTACTACTGGCACAAAAAGTGAATTACCAGTTGTTGGTATAACTTGTTTGTTAGTAGATGTTATGTGTGGTGTGCTCACAGGCTGAGAAGTTACGCTGACTACCTGAGAAGTTGTGTTGGCTGGCTGAGAAACTATACTGATTGACTGAGACGCAGGCAGTGGACCAGCAAGTGTTTTGAACTGAGGAGGTGAAGCTACTGCCTGGACACAATCTAAAGGTTCAGGCTTGATAACCACTGAACTCTTCTGTAACGACTGGATTGTTTTATTTTGAAGAATAACCTGAATACATGGCTGTGTCCTGGCCGATGACGCTCCTGGAGTGGGTAGCTTTAATATCTTGAAGGTTTTTTTGCCTTTTCCTAAAAGTGAGGCGCTCAGCTCCACATTATTCACTGAAGGAAACACAACATTAGATGCTGCTGATTTGAAATTGTCTACACCAGAAAGAAAGCTTTTTGGGTGTGGCACTTTCTTGATGGTAATATTTGGTGGAGGAGTAGCTGGTGGTGTGATGGCTAAAAAAAAAGAAAAAAAAAATTATAATAAAGCGACAAAACTTGTCTTAATTGATATGTTATGTAAAACTCAGCCCAACAAACAAGAAAATATTAGGTTTTATTAATGATAATTTAATCCAATCTTTGCAAATTCTTATTTAAAAAGTGACAAGTTTGTAAATGAAAAAAATAAATTGTGAGTAGTTATACAAGCTAGAGAGTGAATGCATACCAGGACTGTTTCCAGCACTTCTTGCTTTTAACATCATTTTCCTGAAGTAATTGACAGTAACACTAGTAAGTCATGGTCTCATTTATATTGTTAAAATAAAATGTCAAATATCACTAATGTAAGTTATAAGTTAAAATAAAAGCATACTAATTGTTAAAAAACTATGATAATTAGTGTTTAAAACGTTTTCATGGGTAACAAATCTTACTGTTTTTTAATAAAGTGCTTGTCTGATGAGATGCTCAAGTCATCTGCTGGTCTGGTCGCTGGGAAAAAAAAAGTTGTGAGGGTACATTTGATCTTGTTGAAAATCAAAGCAGGTCCCAAAAAGGCATGATACAAACAAATGTGTATGACATCCAACATAGTCATTCAAAACTACAAAGTAAATGAGACGACAAGAATTACCTTCTTCAAACCTGCAGAGCAAACTCACAAGATCTTGAGCTTCAATTCCTTGATTAAAAAATGTTAAAGTTATTGAAATAAATTTTACAAAAATTAGCATAAGCTGCTATTTTTATAAAAACTTTACAAAATTTAGTATTTTAACTTAGTTGAAAAACTTAAAGTGATTGCTAGGATGAACAGATACTATTGCAGAAATGTTATAATAAAATTAAAATGTGAGAATTATTTAGAATGTTTTTGCCAAAGGCTACAAAAAAAAAAAAGAAGTAAAAGCCTAATAGTTTCTTTTAAAACAAGGATATAGGGCATAGGGCAATATAGGGCCCTATGGTAGGGACTATATTAATATTCCTAAAACTAATCACTTAGGCCTACTTTTATACATTTTACATGGAACCAATCATAACAAAATTTCAAATTAAATCAAATGAAAATAGTTACCACTTTCATCCATGTTGATTGCAGAAAATGCTTTGTCAAAAGATGCCATTTTTTTTTACTAAATCTAGAAAATAAAAGTATAGGCCTAAATAAAACAACAAAATTATCTTCCAAATTTACATTTTATGTAGGCCTAGTTGTTAAAGCCAGCAAAAATATGTTGATGTTCCATTGATGGATACATGGATATGTACAATATGGATTTACATGGGAGTCAGTGTAGATCTACTAACTGCATGATTTGCAATTCCAAGTTGAGCAATTCTAGTCTACCCAATGCAAAACTAAGTGAACACTTTCTTAAGTCACTAAAGTGTAAAGTGGCATGGAAATGGAAAATACAAGAACACAATGTTCGCTGTGTACCAGCAAAAAAAGACCTTCAGGATTTGAAAAAACAAAACATTTTATTTTTCCAATTGACTTGAAGGTTCTTAAGTGAGAATGATGAATGTGCTTACTGCTTACAAAGTTGGTGGGGTTCTGTACCTCCAAAAAAAGCTAAAAAAAAACACCACTGACCAAGAATCAAGATAACTAGACTAGAATCTAGATCTGAAGAACGTGAAAGTAAATAATCTGAACTCTCTAGATCTAGATAGATCTAGAGGAATAGATTAAACTAATAACTAGATCTAGATCCAGTATAGTCATAAAACATCTGAGATCTAGATCTAGATCTAGATCTAGATTCTAAAATGATCTACAAACGTGGTTGGTGCTTCGTGAAAGAGTCCAGTCAACGTGACATGACAAACACGTTGTTGTAACAAGAAAAAGATTTGTGATTCATTCATTGCGATTAAAAAAAAACAACTTACAGATATTAAATCAAATAATGTGCATATGCATGGCATTATCTTTTAAAATCATGTGTTTTGTTTGTGTAAACTATCCTTGTCAATGAATGACTTGTGTTGACTAGGCACTTACAGTGCAGACAACACTGAAAGATAAAAGAGTTCTTACGATCATTCGACACGTTTTGCAATGTGTCAGCATTCGGGGTAGTCTAGTAGTCTAGTCGATCTCTATATCACCACACGTTGTGATCATTAGATCTAGACTAAATATTAATATCAGTGTTGCACATTTTTTTAATGCATAGGGCCCTGATTTCAAATAAGAAAACAACTAAATTTTCCACTGATAATCAAAATATTCCGTTGATAAGATAGAATAAGCAGTTTTTAGACTTTTTAATAGATAACTTGACGACACAGCACCATATGGAAAATTGAACCAAGTAGGACTTGTGTGAACAGTCATGTGACATTTTAGGATATTTTTAGGCAAGACCTAGATTCTAGCAGAGTGCGTGGCAACTGACTTAAATTGTAAAAAAGTATAGTCCTAAATGGTACTGTAAATAGATTTTAATCCACAATGTAAAGACTTTTACGATTGAAAAAATAAAAAAGCGAATAACCCTTAATATATTTATCCACGAAAACAGTGCGTTAAATTTATTATTAATCATAGGCGAATGGGAAGGGCTCTGGATCACCTTTTTGTTAAGGGGAGAGTATAATCAAGATGAATAAGATGTTCCACTTAGTTTTATTCCACCGTTCCGGGCAAGAGTATATACCTATACCCAATATATATATATATATATATATATATATATATATATATATATATATATATATATATATATATATATATATATATATATATATATATATATATATATATATATATATAGGCCTATATATATATATATATATATAGAGAGAGAGAGAGAGAGCTGTATATAAATATACAGAGGCGTCGCGAGGCGGGGTGGGGGGGGGGGGTGCGAAACGCACGCGATGAAACCATTTAAGGGGACGGGGACGGGGGGGGGGGGAACGGGACACATTATAGAATAAAAATGTTTTTTGCCAGTTCAATGAATAGTTAATTAGTCTAGAGTTTAAACGTATTTTAAGTACATAATGATGCCCCAGACAGGGAGAGGGTGGTGTGACACCATGACGTAAACATCCAAACTATAGCCATAACAATACTACACCCAGCTGTATTAACAACTTGCTATAGATAAACATCGTTAGTATTAAATATGAAAACTTTAAAGCTTTTACCTGGTGGGGGGGGGGGGGGGATATGTGACACCAACTGCAATATTTGCATGGAAGAAAAGAAAATTGGGGGGGGGGGGGAGTGCCGCACCGAGTGATACCCAACCTAGCGACGCCACTGTATATATATATATATATATATATATATATATATATATATATATATATATATATATATATATATATATATATATATATATATATATACACTTATATACCGGTGGGTTCTAAACATAATAGTCGTAAAACCTACATATCGAGACCTATTTAAAATCAAGTCGGCGAAGTTAGTGGGTGTTACAAGGTCGGGTGTCACCCGATGCGGCAACTCATGGTGTCGGTCCACAGACCCATCCACTCAAGTGGCGCAATAAGGCGAGGTAAAAATTTGATGGTGAACAAGTATGTCAAATCTCACCTGGGCCAAGAGCGATGGGCTATGGTCAAATGAGGTGGGTATTTATCTCAAAGCTGTTGCCGCTGAGACGTGAGGACTTATTTCAACTCACATGGACACTGACTGAGGTCAGCTAGGGTCAAAGATGTATTGGTCAATGTAGCCAATCAGAGCGTAGCGACCTATTCGGAACGATATATAAATCACTACCCCGGAATTAGGAATTATGTACAATCCAATACCCCTGCTAAGAATGAGCTTTTTTATTTTTTCCCTTTCCTTTTTGGCGCTTCCTTAGGGTCGGCGCCTGAGGCGGCGGCCGCAGCCATTCCATGTTTTCTTCCAGGAATCTTTTCGGAGGGGGGGGGGGGGGCTCCGTCCCACCGAAGAAAGTCCATCGCCCCCCCCCCCGAACGAAATGGAATTTATATAGAAAATATATACTTTTAACAGTGTCCGCCCTCCGGAAATTTTAGTCCGCCCCCCCCAACGAAATTTTCAGGTGCCCCCCCCCCCCGGAGAAAAAGTCTGGAAGAAACACTAGCTGCGCCTATGTAGCCAATGGATTGGTCAATATGTCGTAACTGAATAAAACTCAACTAGGGTCAAGCCTCAGATGGGAACCGAGCAGAGTTTCTAACTTTCTTTCAAGCATCTCTTTGGGGGGGGGGGCCTAAAAAAAGTCTACCGCCCCCCCCCCCCCGAACGAATTGGAAATGATATAGAAAATATATACTTTTAACAGTGTCCGCCCCCTCCCGAAAATTTCAAGTGCCCCCCCCCCCCCCCCCCCCCCGCAGAAAAAAGTCTGGAAGAAACACTGGAACCGAGCCTAAGAGATTTGACATCGATATCATGTGTTATTAGGGTTGGTCAGTACGTCTATACTAATTTCAATCCACTTGAAGCTAAACTGAATCAATTGAGTACCGACAGAGGCGTAGCGAGGGGGTACATAGGTCCCTGGGCGCCGACCCTAGATGGCGCCAAAATGGGTTGAAAAAAAATTAAAAGCTCATTTTAGCTGCAGTTTTGGATTCTAAATATAATAAATATTTGAGGGGGGGGGGGGCAATTGAAAGTTTGTCCCCGGGTACCGGGTAGGGTCGCTACGCCTCTGCTCACCGGAATTAAAACTGTGGTCAGCTAAGGTCAAAATAGTGTAGTCATGAAGGCTTAATTCAAATCATACCAGCTCGTTCTTGGCGGTATTGAAATTGAATCACCTTACTAAACTATTTGTCTTGTGTTGTTTTATGTGGAAATGTGTGTCGCATATCTTTGGTAGGGGGCGGGATGATACAATATTTACGATAGGCTTGTGAACGTGCACATTACGTCACGATACGCGCGTGTCATCAATTTTGAGCTGTAGGCCGAGTACACAACGTTTTAAAGAGTGACTCACGGCGTTTATGTTAATGCATTAACGTCATGGGTAACCCAACATGACTCGAATAATTAGGGTAGTTGAATTTTACGCCGCAGTCGATAAAATATCCCATGGACCTGAAACCTTATCCGTTAAGTAATGAAGTAATTTGAAATTCGTTATACGAAACATAGGAATATGATATTACCATTATCTAACAATTCTCTTTTTTTAGTTATTATTTTATGTCACTTAATCAATGGATCATCTCGGTAAAAATAGGTCAAGGCCGTTAGTTTAGTCAAGTTTGTCATTGTCAAAATCAAAGTCGTCCGGATTCTGAATGTGGTCAGCTGTGGTCAAAACTGGGGTTATAGTTGTTGTTCCGTATGTCGAATTAACTTAATGAAACACCCATGAGACAGGGGTCAGTTAGGGTCAGTTAGGGTCAGCTTGAGCTAAGAACGCTAAAATCAACCTAGTCATTGTTGTTGTTGTCAGTATATCCTAGCTTAATGAAAGTCAACTGGCCCAAGACTCTGGTCAGTTAGGGTCAGATCTGTCACTTAATAACAGCAAACGACGCTGTGAAGACTTAGTCAGAAGCTAAAATGACAGGAGCCTATTTCGTCATGAGTCGTAATGACGAGAGCTATTTTGTCGAGAGCCTACATGTCGGGAGCTTTTTATGACGGGGTCCATTTGTCGCTGGCCTTTTTGGCGGGGTCAATTTGACGGGGCTCTCATGTCGGGACCGTTTTGTAGGGGGCGTTTTGACGCCGCAGTCATATAACATACTATAACAAATCCTGAACCCCTTTGTGTTATGTACAATGATGTAGAATAAGTGGGCCTATACTCTCTTAATGTACCCCTTTTAATTATTGTCCCATATAATGCTTATTACTTTACCTATGGGTGTTCAGTCATTTTAGAGATATAAAATAATAGATTCTATATCAGTATTTCGCCGATAGGAAATTTCGACGTCACTTCAGGCGGAAGTAGCATTATTTTCTAAACAAAGGCAAGATTGAGAAATTAATAAAAATGGAAACTCCTGTCACTCCGACTAATACAAATCCACGTAATTTATTACCCTACTATCTGAATTACTCAGTTAAAATCTCTATGTTTAAACTTACCGATAGATCTAGATCTACAAATACGTAGGCGATTTAAAAAAAAATACTTTTTAATTTTTTATTCTACTCAGTCAGACGGTAATCTATCGTTTTTGGGTACGTAAAATCGGCCGCGGTTATTAATGTGCAAAAACGTTACCTCATTGTCAAGGCTTTAATAGAAGTATATTGTCATATGTTTGTGTCAAAGATTATAGATAAATGAATAATAAACCTAAATCAATGGCTAAATATATCGATATAGGCCAGAAATTAACTTTAAACAGCAGTGTCTGAGAGCAAGATTTGCTATATATATAAACAACAGCCATTTGTAAAATAGAGTGGCTTCCCCCTGAATCTGGCGCTAAAAGCTTATAAAAATAAAACTTCAACAAGATGGCTGCTATAGTAAATGAGCATGGTTGCATCTGTTGGAAACATCGCTAGTCTTCATTTATTACGGAAAAGTTTTAATTCAATTGTTTAAAAACAGGTACATATTAAATGAAACAAGGACACATTTTTGTATTTTAAAAAACATAAATCCTCCTCAAAATGTGAAATAATTATTAAAATTAAAGGAGTCACCTGTTTTTCACATTACTAGTCGCGGGCGATTTTACGTACCTAAAACGATAGATTACCAGTCAGACTTAGTCAGACAGCCGTCTGCTGCGTTGTACGGTTGTAACTCACTCAGCAGTCAACTCTGATGCTGTACTCAGTGTACTGTACACAAACTGTACAGATAGTACAGTAGTTTACTTAACTGTGCAACTACAGTACTGAGCAGAGGCGTAGCGAGGGGGGGGGGGGGCGAGGGGTGCGGACTGCACCGGGTGACACCATTTAGAATTTAGGGCAGGGGGGTGACACCAAGGCAAAAAATAGCAAAATATATAATCTAGAGAAAAATTTGAGGGAGGGGGGTGCAAAATCGAAAATTAAAAGTTTGTCCCCAGGAAGGGTCACTACGCCTATGGAGGGTGACACCATTTAGTGCCGCACCGGGTGACACCCGACCTCGCTCCGCCACTGGTACTGAGTACACTCTACACTACTGTGTAATGTACATTTTTTGTGCAATGTACATTCTGTTACTAGATCTATTAGTATTTTAAATATTAACAGTGCTCAGTTAACATTGACATCCTCACTGTTCTCACTACACACATTACTCACTGTACTCAACTTGTTTTTAGTTTTAGCACTTAGATCAACTATTCAAAGATTTAGTGAACTGCTCAGTAAAGTTAACACTAGCTCAGTAGCCCTGTAGTCTACTGAGTCAGTTACTGGGTGTAGTAAAGTCACTGTATTCTGTTAGACTGTTAGTTATAGATATAGTATTGACTTTTGGTTTACAGCTGCACAGAGTAGGATGTGAGATGAGATAGCTCAGAAGACATTGACAAGTTTGAAAAAAAGGGGGAGGAAAGGGTGTCATTGTCGTACATAAATATTAAGTTTAAATAAAAGAGCTCACACTCCAGTGAGGTGGGGGGTTAGACTGCTGTGATGAGGGAGACTGAGAGTTAAGTTTAGAGAGCATTACATTACGACGGTTCATACTTTCAGTCCCTCTGACTTTTGCATTTTATTATTTAATTGATTTTAAATTTAATGTTGTTTTTCTTACTGAATTTTAGCAGTTATTTAGCAATTATCTTTTTAAAGACATAAAATTGTAATGAACATTGATCAATGAGCCTTATCTTGACATTGCTGATTTGATATCTTGGAAAGAAAATAGCAGGTTCAAAAAAGAAATATTCATATTGCATGACCTCCCTTTCTTTGCTAGACTAATGCTAGCAAATTCTATCGCTTGCACTGACAAAAACCTAATTGCAAATCATATGAGTTGGGAGTGTGTCTTGACCTCTGCTAAACCCCTGAGATGGACTGACTGAACCTCTGGTTTTAAGAATTACTAACCCTAATGTTTGATCTAATTAATGTTTACTTATAATTATTGTTTATTTAACTTCTACAATGTAACATATATGCTAGGATACTAACATGTAATGCAGATTTGATTGTTTTAAGTAATATTTAAAAAAAAAAACAACATATCTACTTCTCACAATCTGTGATTTATATTCATTGATTCTGTTAACAAAAACAAACAAGTATACACTCGTTAGCATTTTCAGCATTATAAAAGAGTAAATGAATTGTTAAAATATACTTTGCATAAAACTACCATATATAGAATAGGCATATTATTTGTTTAAGACCTAGTCAATAGATAATGTTTGTAATATCATTTGTTGATTATGTGCACAATTGTTTCATTAAAGGATTGAAGCCCAAAAAACCTTTAGATGTTTGGTCTGTTAGGGAAAAGCTTTGCCTGGCCAGTGCTGTGTTTAAAATTGGAGATCAAAACTGGTAAATAATTTTTACATTAACTGTAGGAGTTAAAGCTCTGAAGGACTTGAAACCAGGTGTGATGAGGTAGTTGTCTCATTAGCATGTTTATATAAAGATTTGTAGGCTTTGTACTACAGGAAAACTTGCCTGTATTTTACAATTGTTGGAACAACATGATAACATAAAACCTATGTGTTGCAGGGTCTCTGTGAGCCGTTCAATAAAGCCTTATGTGGAACCACATAGACCCCCGGACTGGTTCCACCAGCGGGTATGAAGAAAACAAACTCTCATTTACAAATTGTTTTACTATCTTATAGCATTTTAGTAGCTACAAAATTTAAAGTGTACAGTTTTTATCAATTAATAAGGCTGTTTGTTGATCTCTTCCAAAAAATATTTAGAACTGTCTACTTCAGTACTTTGACATGATGGAGCAGTTGGAACAGCCCAAGTAAGTTAAAAGACTTAAAGTTTACTATAAATTTAATTACATTCTATTGAAGTGCTCTTATAGTCAAAATGTCTCTATCTATCTTTATACAGTAATAATTATCATATTTGTGCAACATTTTGCCATTATGTATCATATTTTTAACATACTATATTTAGATATATGGTAGGCAGTTAGCCCTTAACCTTTTATGGAAGCAAGTTTAATGTTACACTGATGTTTTTAAACTGCTGCTTATCTTTTTAAATTCAAGACGTAAAAGAGGCGGGGACAGATCTGAAACAGACACACCTAGTCTACAGATAATGAGGAAGATGACGATAGAAAGAAGTGAACAACTTAAGAAAGAAATGCTGGAAATGCAACAAGAATTTAAGTATGACTTTTTCTCATTATTAAAGTTTCACTTCTTAAATATTTACAGTCTCAGTTATTTTATATTATATTAGTTTTTTTTTCTAAAATATTAACCTCCCAGAAATAAAATCCAGCAAATATCCATTTAAAACCTAACCTGAATCCAAACTTTGACCTCAACCTAAGGACTATCCGTTAATAATTTGCATTCTAATAAAAACATAGAGGGACATATAGCAATGTGCATGTTGTGGACTACTGATAAAACTAGCCAACTATTGTGTTTGGTGTGGGTAATGTTAAACATAAGCAGAGTTAGCCTCCCCATAAGCATACAGTTGGACATGTAACCATGTTGACCAGTACACCAATGTCCAGGGACTGGGCAAGGTGAAATATGACCCCAATCAATGTAATGACTTGACCCCTTAAACACAATAACAAGCTACTATTTGTACCATATGGGTGAAACACATAGGATCATATTCACAGACGTACAGTAGCTTTCTAATATAGATATGTTTGCTATTGGAGTTATATTTTGTTTGCAAGTTACAATCAGTATATTTTCTTATAAAATGTGTTATTATTCTAAAAACTTAATTTTTTTTACTTGTGTAGTCATCAGTTTTCTTTATTTTAAAGGACTTTGAAGGCTGAAGTTGAAGCTATAAAGGCTGGGGAATGGGATGACAAGATCAAAGAAGTTTGGGAAAAAATTCAGGAGTAAGTTTTAATTGAATTCAATTCTAACCAAACACATTCATGCATAAGCACATGCAAATGTAAGTTTTAATTAAATTAAAAATAATTTATTTTTAATCTCAGAGATATGAGAGCTAAGGAAGAAAAAGTGAATACTGAAATAAAAGTTGAGATGCCAGAGGAAGAAGAAGATGAATTGAAGGTTGCAGGTATGATTAAACAGTCACTAATTCTATAGGGTCTACTGTTAAAGTTTTCTGTTATTTATATCTAATGTTTAACTTACTGCAAGGTGTTAAAATATGTTTGATAAAATGCATTAAAAAGTGTTTGTGCTTGATTAAAAGAAATAATTTTGTGTCAATCAGCTGGTGAAGAGTCAGATGTGGTGGTACCAACCCCAGAGATAGATGACAGCACTCAAGATTCTGTGGAGGATATTTCAGTGGTAGGCTTTGTATTTTGATAAGTTATTTATTTTATCAGCTAAAAATTATTTATTTTCTTGCTAAATCACCCAATGTGTCACACAGGTGAAAAGAATTTTCCCATTTCACCCAATGTGTGTAGCTGACAATTGACAAAACTTTTCCTATTTTATCCAATGTGTAGCTGACAAATGACATTTTTCCCATTTCAACCATTGTGTTTAGCTGACAAATGACAATATTTCTCCTATTTTATCCAATGTATGTGCTGACAATTAACAAAAAATTTTCTCATTTCACCCTATGTGTAGCTAACAAATGACAAAATTTTTCTCCTATTTTATCCAATGTATGTGCTGACAATTAACAAAATTTTTTCTCATTTCACCCAATGTGTAGCTCACAAATGACAAAATTTTTCCTATTTTATCCAATGTATGTGCTGACAATTAACAAAACTTTTCCTATTTCACCCAATGTGTAGCTAACAAATGACAACATTTTTCCTATTTTATCCAATGTATGTGCTGACAATTAACAAAACTTTTCCTATTTCACCCAATGTGTAGCTAACAAATGACAACATTTTTCCTATTTTATCCACTGTATGTGCTGACAATTAACAAAATTTTTCCCATTTCACCCAATGCGCGCAGCTGACAGATGAAGAAAGCATGCAGATATCCAGCACTGAAGTGGTGACGTCCACACCCACAGTCCCAGCCAGCGGTTCCACTGTAGAGCTACCCAGTAAAATGGCAGCCGTCTCTCATCTTTTGTCTTCTCTCCTTAAAAGTGATGTCAAAACAGCAACAGGTCTTCAACAGCTCAAAATTGTAGGCCACTTTTGTGCTTTAGCTATTTTAGATGGTTATATTTTTAGTTCAAATTTGTTTTCTAAACACCTGTAGTTAGTTTATTAGGACAGTAATGTTGAAAGTGCTGTTGACAAAATTAATCCCTTTTTGTTGACAGAATGAACCCCTTTTGTTGACAAAATGAACCCCTTTCTGTTGACAAAACTAAAACCTTTCTGATAACAAAATGAACCCCTTCTGTTGACAAAATGAACCCCTTCTGATGACTAACCCCTTCTGTTGTCAAAATAAAACCCTTCATTTGACTAATCCTTTCTGTTGACAAAATGAACCCCTTCTGTTGATAAATTATCCCCTGATGTTGACAAACCTAAATCTGTTCTTGCTTCATGTAGGAGCAGGAACAAGGTCAGCTACAACAAGCTCAGAGCATTCAGCAGACTCTAATAACACAGAAATCTTTACTCAAAACCCCAGTCACTCAGGATGATCCCCTTCAAACTCCACCCTCCAGCAGTAAGTTATTCCCCTTTGTTGTTTCACCTATCTGTCATCTCAGTGTTTTATTCTAATAAATAATTCAGGTTTTCTTGTTCTCATTCAAAGAATTTTTAATTTTAATTAAGAATGTATTGTTTGTTTTTAACACAACAATTTTTGTTCCTGAGATAAATATACTAAAGTAAGAGCTGTTGAGACAGCTTTCTGTCAACAAAATTCTGCTAAAACACCTTAAAACCACATTTAAGGTAGTCATAATTTGCTTGTTTCAAAAGATATTTTGGAATTTCTGAAAGCCAGTTTGATTAATAGTGTTAATTTAGAGATTTTTTTTTTCTAGCTAAAATACTTAGAAAGTGTTTAATATGTAATTGTGGGTAATGACATGGTGATTTTGTGTGCTGGTTGAGGGGAGGGGGAGAGTAGAGTGAAATACTGTGTGATAAATAGTCCATTCATGACATGGGAAATCATAGAATGAAAAATATATTGAGTAACAATCACTTTCACAGTTATTTGGTAATTACCTGCTTAATATACTTAGTTACCTAACAATTTAGATGGTAAATTGTTGTTTGCTACAATTTTTGATGATATACCTTGTTAATTTCTTTTTATGTTTATATTTGGATAAGAATATACATATATATTTTAATTTAATGTAACGATTTGGTGTTATCTGAGTTATAGGTGTTTTTAACTTTTATTTTCTTATGGTTAAATGTTTATTTTTTTATGTAAAATTCGGTAACATTTAAGTTAAAGAATCTTCTAAAAAATATATTTTTAAAATGTTGATGCTAAATTGGTATAGATAAACTAAGGTGAAATGCAAAAAGAAAAACTAAACAGTCCTTAACTTTGTACCCATATGCAAATGAGTTTTTACAGTTTTTATTAAAAAGAATAAATGTTAAAATATTTTTTTGATTTCAAACTTTTAAAGAATCTAGTTAATGTTCATTTTTAAAATTAATTTACATAAACATAAAGTATGCGATGTACTTGTTTCTACAAAAAGTGCATACTATTCTGCTTTTAACAGCTAAAATAACCTTAAAATATGTAGAAAAAAAAGGAACACTTGGAATTTCCTTAACATCACCACATCCTTTTTTTCACTTTTCTATTGTTTGTTTCTTCCATTTATTTAGTTGTATTAGCATGTATGTAACTTTTCTAAGCATATTGTCCTCAGTTTAGATTTCTGCATGGGTTTGTTGTTTGCACATTTGTTCTCTCACAGCTGCTCCAACTCTGTCTCGGTTGCTGTCCACAGCCAAAGGTCAGAGTGTCATCTGCAGTGTCTTGAAGCCAATGGTCTCCTCCTCGGAATCAGAAACTTCACATCTAATTGACGCAGGAATTTTTGAGCTTGAGGATGGCAGTAAAACTCTTGATGACATCATAGTGCCAGACAACATTGATGATGTTGTGACAGGTGGGTGTCTTTCTTTAGCGTTGCCAGTACATTCTAAAAATCTATTTATGGAACTAAGACATTACTTTCTTCAGTCAGTTAAATCACTTATGGAACTTAAACACAGCTTATATTTGCCACTACTTTTTTTAATCAATGAAATTCATTTCTGTAAAATTTGTTTAATTCCCTCTGTAGCAGATATTTGACATAAACTTTTTAAAGCACCATTCAATTAATAAAATACATTTCTATAAATTTTGTTTCATTCCTTCTGTGTCAGAGAGTTGACATAAATTTTTTAAAAAACCTTCCAGACATGCTAGTCAACAGTGAGCAGCAGGACAGTATTCTCCAAGACGAGGCCCTGGAGGTGATAGCCCACACAACAGAGGAGGAGGTGGTGACAAGCGTCGTCGTGGAGGATCTGATAGAGGACCAGCTGGAGCAGGAGTTTAAGGAAGAGCTGGAGAACAGCCAGACAGCACCGCAGGTGGAGGAAGTTGTGGCCGTCAAAGAGGAGGTACAGAAAGTGGTATGTAGATATTGGTCACTTTCTTAAATAGGGGGTGGCATGGTTGAACAGTAGACCGCAGGAAAGTTAACCTGAAAGTCTTTAGTTTGGATCCATGTACCGAGCTCTAATGGGTTGGGTACCTGACAAACATTAGAAAAACTTAAGGTGTCTGAACATAATGCAGACAACACTACCCCTTCATGTGACCTCTAATGGGTACAAGACAAACATCTTTGTGTTAGCACCTTTGTACTAACACAAATTCAATGAAGGATTTTAATATACTATCAATGGCTATGCAAATAAAAAAAAAACTTGAGTTAAAATTGTAAAGCTGATAAACAATTCATATTTTTTAAAATTATCATATTTTAAAATAATTTTTCATGAACAAAAATTTATGTTTATTTGGTAATCTAACAACTTAGAGCTAATGGAAAATATATTCAAAATTTTTTATTTAACTTTTTCAGGAATATGAAGAAGAAGAAATAGCAATAAAAAAACAAGTGGAAAGTGCAGCAAGTGAAACTGAATTAACGGAGTCATCCATCAAAGATGAGTCCCCATCACCCACCAGTAGTATCAGCTCAAGACTCAGTGAGGCTGGCAGTAAGAAAGGCAGAGGGCGAGGTAACACATCTTGTTTAAACTACTCTAGTGCTTTTTATCTGCTATTATTTGTGCTATATAAACTCTGGTTCATCTTCACATAATTTCATAACTGCATCTCAAGAACTACTAATTGCTTTTGGTAAACAATGGTACTTCCTGCTCTTTTCTGTGACAGTGAACATCACAATATTAAGTATTAAGTTTTTTTTCTCAAACTTAATTAAAATTATATTTAAAAAAACTGTTATTTAAAAAAAAACATCCTGGGGCCATCTCCTATTCTTTTTACCTAGCCTATTGTATTGCATTTCTTAATATCTTTGTGGTAATTATTTATTTCTTGTCTTCTTTCCCCTGGGTAGAATGTATGATTTTTGTAAATCCTTTAGGATTGTTTTTAAAAGACAAAATGAATAGAAAACAATGTATTTGATATCAATATAGTAGGATTGACTAAAAACCCAACTATGATAAAATTCAATGAAGTCTACATATTAGCACTTGTGGAGTACCTGTAATCAGAGTTAATTAAACTGCCAATGTTTTCTTACATCTTACAGGTCGTCCAAGGAGTGTCAAACCCCCTCGGATTGCCACAAGAAAAATCTTCTGTAATACTGTAAGACATAATTTCACTTTGACTTGATTATTCTTTTTTTTTTTTTTTTTTTTTACTTAAAGTTCATAATCATTTCAGGTTTAAAAGGATAATATTCTCATAAAACACCTACATCTGAAAAAAATTTCATCAACCCAATAACCTCATTTGAGCTATTCACTGAATATTCTATGTCCAGTAGTTGGGTTGTTTTTATTTTATTTTGTTAATTATTTAATCAGTTGTTTTGATAATTTACAAATCCTTTTCAGGAGGAAGATAAAAAAGATGACGTAGCCAGCGTAAGGCACAGTGACATTGATGAGAGTGAAGATGATATTCGAAGTGATGATCTTCTGCCTGGGCAGTTGGCATCTGTCAATCCTAGCTCCATCATGTCAGAATCTTTCCCCAACAGTCCAGCTTCCTTGTCAATATGGTAAGTTTTAAACTGCTAGAAAGTTGTAAATATTTGGTACATCAACTCTATCTGACACACCAGATCTGTCATATTTTTTCACTTGGCTTATGAATCTCCAGACTTAGGTAAATTTTCTGGTCTACTAACTAGCCAGGCACATTTTCATCTTTTTAAGTTTTAAAATGTATCAATTAGCTGATGAGATTTTAAAAATAATTATAACAAACGAGCTGACCCGCTATCTAGTTGTTTTATTTTCAACTTATCAACAATTCATAATTTGTGAATTCGACACTACCCCACCCCCTGCCTCCCCCACACCACCCCCTCCCCCCACCACGCCCCAGTGAAAGCAGCAGGTTACAGACAACAATGAGCTTATTATCTCCCCTTAGTATGGTCCCCATGAAGAGAATTATATATATAGATATTTTTAAATTCTTATCCGTCTTTAACATTTTCAAAATTGTGTGCCTATTACTTTGTAGCTGGACACCATAGTTAAGTGATAGTGTGCTTGACTGCTAGCTGAAGGACGAGAGTTCAGTCATGTATTCATGACTATTTGACGTCCCTGAGTCCACTCAACCCTAATGGGTACCTGACTCACATTAGGGAAGTAGAGGTGGCTGGGCATAGTGCTGACCACACCATCTCTTCTTACGCTGAGGTCAAGAAACATGTAAACTCTACTTCATCTGCCCTATGGATCTCTAGGTCTAAACTGGGAACTTACTTTATTCTTTGTTTGCAGAATGTGCGAAACCATGTGCATACCATTATCACAATTTAATTATTATACTTTAATAGTTTTTGCTTTTTTTTTCTCTCACAAAAAAACAGCAGTGACACTGAAGAGGAGAAATCTCTTAAGCAATGGAAAAAGTCCATTATGCTGGTTTGGAGAGCTGCTGCAACTCATAAGTAAGACATTTTTTTATGTACACCATGTGGACATGGTTTGAATTAACAATAAATATATAAAGCTAAGCGCTATCAACATCTATTGGCTATAAAATAAAGCTCAATCTAAAATACTTGCTGTTTTCTTTTGTGTGATGTAAAATGTTTGTACCAGACACTTTTTCACTTGTATTTACATTTTTATTATCTTTTACAGGTATGCAAATGTATTTTTACACCCTGTCACAGATGAAATAGCTCCAGGATACCGCAGTGTTGTGCTCAGGTTTGTTTCATTAACAAATAAATTAATTGGCTCACCTCTTTAACAGGTAACTTGATTGGAGAACCAATACAATTTTTCCTTTTTATTAAATTCCCAGTTGTGTTTTGGGCTGCACTAAGCAGCATTTTGCTACATCGTTCCTTGTCATTTAATATTTATAATTAGGTGACAAACTTCATTGACACTTGCATTTCTGTAACGCCATATAATATTATGTAATCGACATTTGTTTAGGCCTATGGATCTGAGCACTATAAAGAAAAATATTGAAACTGGAATGATTCGCACCACAGTGGAGTTTCAAAGAGACATGATGCTCATGTTCACTAATGCCATCATGTACAACTCATCCAATCATAATGTGTACAAAATGGCTAAAGAGATGTATGATGATGTCATGCAACATATAGAGGTATTTTTTTCACTTATACAACATCAGAGGGGAAGTTCATAAGACTGATTTTTGCAGTTTATTTTGAATTGATTCTCAAATGTTAATCAATAAGTATTGGTTTGGTGAAATCTGATACTGTTCTACTAACACTGCATGTGGCCTAACAATCATGTACTTCACCCTCCATCATTCATTCACTTCTTCAAACTGCTGTAGATTTCTTTTAAAAAAAAACTCATCGCATCACAACTCACTTCATCCCTACACTTTGCTATTGAATTTTAGCAATATGTCAACACACAGATGATGATACAAACCACAGACTCAAAGAATCTCCGACAGTCTCGAAGGACAGACACTTCAGATAAGGTACTGTATGAGCAGGTTGTTCTGTATTAGCCAGCAAAGTGGGTATGTTATGAAGGCAGTAGTGGACTGGTCAGCCTAGACGATTGCAAATGAGCTGTCAGGATTTGAGTGTTAATAGAAAACTGAAGTCAGATATGGCAGCCGTATTCTTCCTGAACTACTCGTCCACCCCTGTATAAAAACTTTGAAAAACTAGTTTGTTATATTAACCCCCTATTACGTTAAATACCACACATTAAATTATTGTTTTAACAGGAGGATGAGAATAAAAAGAGGAGACTTTCAATAGATCAGTCAGAATCTGGTGGCCAAACAAAGAAGAGGAAAGCAAGACTGGATGAAAGTATTTCTTAGATAGATTTTTTTTATTTTAGTACATGTCATTTGTTGCTATTGCAACTCCAATAAAATATTGTAATTTCTATATACATAAAGAAGTTATTAGTCTTTATTTGAAATTATTTTTGTTTTAGTACCACAACAAACCAGTTCTTATGTTTATAAGTTTAATTAAATTTTAAAAAATCCTTAAATCTTAAAAGACATAATAAAAATAATTTAATAACAAAAGTAGAATAATTTAATAATAAAACAGTAACATACATGGTAATGTTTAAAAACAGATTTGTAAAACATAATGTAAATGATCCTATTATCAAAAACATACATGGTAACAGGTTTTCAATGCTGTGAACATCTTCTAAATACCAAGAATACATTGTGAAAAACTTTGTTACATTAGTTACAATTTGACTAAACCTTCAGATGCAGCTAAACTAAACAAAAAGTTTTCTGTGGCTGGGGGCAACTTTCTTTCCTTGAGTGTCTCCAGCGTGAATGAAAGTTTTCCATCAACATCTTTAGTAGCCAGGGACTTGAGGTTGTTTAATAAATCACTCGTCTTTGATTCAATAGCCTAAAAAATGAATAAATTAATTATATCATTTATAGAGGCTTGCCAGATAAAAAGCAAAAATTATTGTTAATTTATTAGATACATTTATTTACTCGTGGCTTGTTCACAGTTATACAAGTTACCTTAATAACATCCATTTCTGAGTTGTCTTTCTCGGTTTTCTCAACCATCAACATGGCAATATCTTTATGTAATTTACCCATTGCCAAGGACTCTGAAAGAATAATGGTGTTAGAAGTTTCACTTTTGAGGAATTTCATTTTTAGTTTTATAGTTACTTTTCAAAACAAGTATTAGGTGGCTGAATTTAAATGCAGCAATTAATACCATACACATTAACATAAAGATTTTAAAAAGTGTTACCTTTGGCATGAGAGGCAACAATAATTTGACCATTGGGGGCATTCACGAATACATCATATAAATCTGTCCTGGTTCAATTGAATTTAGAGAAAATATGTTATTAGGAAAACATCAAACTTCAAAATTATGTGTATACTGCATCGGTGATGAGCTAGTTTCAATATTTATGTCCTCAAGTAAAATCTTTTTTGTTTATTCATTAGGCCACACATGATATTTCAAAATCTATTAAAAGAATGTTTTAATATGTCACAGATCGGTACCTTACTGAGTCAGAAAAAAAACCCCAGTCAACCACCAGAACCCATATACTATTGTCAAAGAAATAGATGCAAATAGACTAAATAAATATTTTTCCTGTGATTTTGATGCACATATATGCACTTTAATTCAAAGGAAAATTAATTTCCAAATAAGCCATAAATTTCAATTTCTATGAATTCATAGTTACCTGCCCTCAACTGCGGCTTCTGTGAAACCTGCTACATAGTGAGAATTTGATGTTAGATTCTCTATCTCAGCATCTGTCAGCTGCACATTCGGGTGTAAAATATTCCAGTTTTGTCTGTGCCAAGCAAAAGCAGGGATTGACCTGTAATACAATTTTTTTACCACACACATGAAATAGTGAATATCAAAAACTTGCAAATAAGTTATCATTAACAATGTATAAACATATATAAGGTGAACTCATAATACCTACCTTGTATAATCCAATAAATTGCCAATTGAATGAGGTGGGAAATAAACAACAATTTTTTTCTTCAACAGTACAGCTGTGTAAATCAATATGGTTTCTACTCCAAAAGTCTGTATGATTTCTGTAGCAAAATAATTTTTTATAGTGGAAACACACTTTAAAATCCCAATTAGTGCTGTTTTTACTGTACAAGAAAACTTAAAAAATGCAAGGGTGTTAACCAACCTTTGATACAACACTTGGCATAAGCTTGTTCTGGGCTAAAATTGTTGATTACAAATTTTCCATTCTCATCATTGTTGCATGAGCCATTGGTTACAACAGAGAGATACGACTCAAGTAAAGAAGCTGCACTCCCAGTCTTCTTGTACTGTCGACCAAAAATCTGGCAAAGTATGAGGTACTTCTCAGGGTTGAAGTCTCGACACAGCAGCACCACGGCAAATTTAACTACCTGACGAAAAAGAAATTTGCAGAACGAAATAAGCTAGTTTATTTTTTTCATTACATTATTAGTTAGTTAAATATACAACCCTTATTAGAGTGATTATAACAATTTTAAAATGTAAATTAAAACATGAATTTGCCAAATTAATCTGTTATTTTGGTTTAACTAATTTAATCATGGTACAATACAGTGATAGTTTGGGGGGAAATTTTTACCTGAGTTAAAGATGTTTCTTCACTGGAGACATCAATAATTTGAATATAATACCATTTCTGTTTCCATTGACCATACAAAAAATTGATTGGCAAGCCAGTATCATTGCTCAGACCAGATTTGGATACTAGAAATTCCCTTTGGTCCTGTGAAATAGATGGGTATGACCAGGTCCATAGAACATCATTGTTTCTGTCCTTCTCTTTAAAAGAAAAGAAAGAGTAGTAATTATTACATTTAATAAAGGATCAATAATAGTTTTAGTAAGTTTCCCTTTTGGACCTCACAATCCATAGGGCAGATGAAGTAGAGTTTATCTTGTTTCTTTACCATGTAATATGAAGGGATGGTGTGGTCACCACTATGCATAACAGCCTCAACTTTCCTTGATCTGAACTTCAGGATCTGAACTCTGAACTTACCATTTAGCAATCATGCACTCTAGCACCTGACCAAGGCACCATAATAGTTTAAATAAACAAAATAAATTAAATTTATTCACTTTAATGATAATGAAGCTATTTGTTGATATTTAACTTGTTTACTAATACAAATCAGGAAAGTTAAATTATAAGCATACATAAACACTAATAATAATTAAATATAATAAATATATAGGCCTTGATCTATGTACCATATAACATAATTAATAGCTATTAAACAAAAATTATACTGTTGACAAATTAGTACCAGACTTGATTTAGTTGCCCCCCTCCCCCAAGATATTAGGCCAAGCCCTATAATTAGGATATTTTTATAATAATGTTAGGATTATTAGGTTAGGTAAAGATTAATAAAATAGAATAACAGATATACTATAGTGAGTATAGAATAGGTCTCCTTGTAATACATGAGTCACTTGGACCAACAGTTAAGTAATTGTAATTAAACAATACTAGTAAGTATTGGTTGTAGTACTACTCAATAGTAAATTAGTAGTACTAGTATATAGGCCTAAGTAAAACATCAATTTGTTTGTAAGTTTCTACAGTAAGCTATGTAGTGGACGAGTGAAGGGGGATGTGATGGCCTCAGTTTCGTCCAGATCTCCAAGGTTAGTAGAGGTTAGGTCTATACTAGTTTTTAGCCACCGTACATAGTTTTACTAGCTTGTGTATTTTGTGTTTAGAATAGATTGTGTTAGGTGTAGATAGTGTAGATAGCATTAAATTCTTTTAGTTTCAACGAGCCTTTGTTTTCATTCAGTCTTGTTTTGTAACCTGTTTGTGGTTGTTTGTCTTATGTGTTGCGCTACGCATCGGATCATCCGAAAGGCGTGTCCGTGTGTTCACAACAGGCTACCAGTATCATCAATAGTTGTATGTAGATGATAAATTATTATAAATATTTAAAAAATATAAAATAATTAGTATTAATATTACTAATAATTATGCCTATAACCTGTCTTAAATATATTCAAATATAATGTTTTTTGGTTATCTATCATTTTAGGTGCGTAAAATCGACTGAGGCTAGTAATGCGAAAAAAAGGTGCTTCATTATTAAGGCTTTATTAGAAGTATATTGTGATATATTTGTGTCAAATATTATAGATAACTGAATAATAAACCCAAATCAATGGCTAAATATATTGATATAGGCCAGAAATTAACCATAAACAGCAGCGTTTGCTAGAAGATTTGCTATATAAACAGTGGTTATCTGTAAATTAGAGTGGTTTCCCCTGAATATAATTATAAAAAAAAACAACTTAAGATGGCTGCTAAAGTAAATGAGCTTGGTTGCATCTGATGAAAACATTTCTAGTCTTTATTAATTACTGAAAAGTTTTAATACAATTGTTTAAAAACATGTACATAAATGAAACTTTTAAACTTTTAAAACATAAATCCTCCTAAAAATGTGAAATAATTACTAAAATTTAATGAGTCACCTTTTTTTGACATTACTAGTCTCAGCCGATTTTACGTACCTAAATGTAAATGGATACAGGTACAGTGATAAAGATTAGGCCTACCATTTTTTTAAAAGTTTTGGTAAACCTATTTTATTTTTTTAAATATTAGATACTCTAGGATTGATTACCAAACAACAGGCCTAACAATAACAATTAACAATAGTACTTAACTTAACTATACTATATATAACTATATTAGTATTAGACGTATTATAGTATTAGTATTAGTTCACACTCACAGTAGTGTGACAGTAGATCTCTAGTTATAGTTAACCTTAAAATTTAAAAGGAAGTTAAAACTAGTGTTACTATTACTAATTAGTAACTAATGTCTAACATGACATACTTTAAACTAAATTTAAACATACTATAACTAATACTAAATACTTAGTAACTAAATAATAAGTTACTAACTTACTAAGTACTAGAATCTAAGTACTATACTAACTTACTTTTACTAACATAACATATTAAACATAACACTTGATAGTTGATAACACACATAAACAAGGACACGCCCACTTTTAGTCTAGCTTCAGGTAGCTGAAAAAAACCTTCGTTTAAGTAAAGTTTTTCACTACATTTAAAAAGCTGTTTTGTATCAAGTATATCCAATAAAATAAAACAATAAACTATGTCAACAACACGTAGACTGTATTTACCTATAATACCAGCACCACATAAATCACACAGAAAAGCCATTCATCGAATTTTGGTAAAACCAAATGCAGTCTTATCAGGTTATGTCCCAAAAACCCGCACATCACAAATAGAGCGAGTGTTGCTTTTCTACCCAATCAACAGAGCAATGCTATGCTAAAAAAATTTAATATATAGGCCCCTACATTTAATTCTTAATGTAAGCTTTTAAATATAAATATATAATTATTAATTTTCACATGGCCTTCTGTTTCGTTTTTATATTATAGGCCTATACTTTACTACTACTTTACTTTTACTAGTTTACTAGGCTTATGTCCAAATTTATTGAAAACTAGAGAAATATTCTGCATCTTCATTTCCATTTCCTAAATCAACGATAATTTGATTTAGAGTTTATAGATCTAGATAATTTAACCAAAGAAACTACTTATTTATTAGTCTATGCACATTTTAAATAACTACTTTGTTTAGAAGCAATTCCAAAAATTATGGCTGCTTTCAGGTTAGAAATACTGTTTTCTTGCAGTTAGACTGAAAATTACGTGTACACAATTATTTGGTGTTTTTCTTTAATCATTATTTAATTTGACTGGTAAAATTATGTTTTTAGTGTGATCTAGACCTATAGCAATAAAAATATAATGGTGCATATTTATTATTTATGCCTAGCATATGATAGATTATGCATGATGTTTAGTAGTGTAATAGTAGATCTAATAGGGCTGTTAAAAATGTGTTAAAAATAAAATAATGACTGTTTAAATTAATTTATTAAGTTTTTATTTTTTAATAATATTATTAAAAAAAAAAATATTAATTATTTATTATTTATAAATAATTATTAATTAATTACTTAATTAGCCCTAGATTTCTAGTTTCCACTAGATCTAGATCTAGTTCTAGGCCTAAATCGCCTAAATTTATGATTTTATCGTTGTATATTTTATAATTATATAAACTTTATAAACACAACCGAAAGTACACAAAAACGTTGGGAAATCACTGGGCCCATTTCTTTATTAATTTTTTATTACTTTATTACTATTACTATATGCAAGGCATGACACTATAAATTAACTTACATGAACTCACAATGACCCTAAGCTATGAATTATGCTGATAATTATAATTAAAGTCAATGTGAACTCACGGTGAACCCTTGACCATGTAGGGATTTTTCTCCTGCCGAACTGTAATGCTAATTCATAATATTTTTTACCTTTTCTAATTAAAACACATTCATAAAAAATTAGTAGATCTATAATTTCTATATCTATCATCTAATGATTCTAACCCTGGTGTTTTCCTAACATTTTTGTGTGTTTTGGTTGAGTTTATAATAAAATACGCTTAACCGGAGGTGAACGTTAAGCGGCGAATAAAATACGCTAAAATATAGTTTTACCGTATTATTATATTACTATTATTATATTAGGCCTAACTAAGTCACTAAAATCTAATAAAAAAATCATTAAAATGGAAATGGCTGATATCTCAAAAAAAAAGTGTCAGACTGTCAGTGTCAGATGTACTACTAGATTCTACTCTAGTAATGTAATGTAGTTAATTTAGAATAACATAGATCTACTAATTAACTAGAGTTGACCAGAATCCTTCCTTTTCCATTCAATGACATGGATAAAATTAATTAAAAACATGTATTTTTTTTTTTTTACAAAGCCACCGTAAAAATAATAAAAAGTACAAAATTGAAAATAATTCAGTGATAACCTGAAAAATTATTCTAATTCTTGAATCTAGAGTGAGGCCTACAGTTGTGAGTCAGAAGTTTACTAGTTTAGTACTCTCATACTGACTACTCAATACTATACATTATACAAGATTACAAGATATTTCTCAGTTTTGGGCTTGCCTGGTGTATATATTATATAGAAATGGCTTCTATTTCAGTATTTTCAGGAAAAAAAAACCATTTTAGAATGACGTTGTAATTCAAGTTTTTCATTGGAAAAATACATCATGCGTCTTCCTAGAGTTCGATTTGTTGTGAAGCTCGGAATATTTGTCATAATACTCCTGCTTCTAGGGCCCTACTTATTTCACTTGAAGCTAAGTGAAGATTCTGCTGATGAAGCTGAAGAATACAGAAAGTGGCAGGTAAATAACATTCTCTATATAAATAAATTTAAAGACTATTTATTAAATATTTATTATTTATGTAAGTCGAATTTTTATAAACCCCCCTCTCCCAATAATAAAACTTTGCCTTCTCTGCTGTAATTTGGTGTAACTAACTAAAAGTAACAAGACTTATATACTTCAAAATATAATGACCACAGCTTCATTTGTTGTCTTGTTTAAAGCAACGACATAAAGATGAACAGAAGAATAAACTGAATGATCTTGAAGACCTTCACTCTGAAGACACTCCAAAAATGATTGCACGTAAATCTGAGACTGCTGTACTAAAGAAAAATGTTTTTGGAAACTTTGAGCCACCTGACCTCCCCACAAAGGAAGGCCCAGGTTAGTGTCTTAACCCTTTGAGCCCTGGCCTCCCTGGCCTAATTTCTCCTATTTCCTGAGCTCCCAGGGCCAAACCAATTTTCACTTATCTGCTTCTAACTTTGCCTATAACTTTTGAACCATTTGAGATAATCAAGCAAAATTTGGTATCCACACTCAGGATTAAACAACAATGAAGCAAGATTCTGAAATTCTTTATTTTTTTTACAACGTTTGAACAGAACAATGTATATAAAACAAACGCATAATTATTGTTTTGATAGAACATAGAAGAAACCAATTTACATTTAGTAACTGTTTTGTTATTATTGATACCTTGCCATAATAGTTCATCGCCAGAAGTCCACTTTTGTGTGATAACTTTCAAAACAGTTATCACTGCTGGACCCGATGCAAAGAAAAACTTTGCATGTTTTGCACCAGTAAACTTTTTTTTTTCATTTCGGCAAGTTTTGTCCTTGGCACTACGTGCACCAGAACGTACTTGAACAGTTTCATTGTCACTGTCAATTTCAGTGTCACTGTGTTCAGTCTCAAATTCAACGTCACTATCATCACAATATAGACCAGGAATATTATCTTCATCAGAATCAATAAGTAGTTGTATTGCCTGAGATGCAGTCATTCTACTTCTTTTGTTGAAATTTCGGTCTTTCGCTTCATCTTTTGCACCAACTTTATGTGATGAAGTCGATGAAGCTTTTCGTTTCGACGGCAATTACTACGAAATATAAACACTTTCACTTTCACTTTTCCTAAAATTCAATTTTTAGAATCATAATCCCGCACTCAAAAGACATATGCGCAGTTTTAGTCAGTCTTCCGCTAATTATATTTAATTAGACGGTATACCGGCCGCTAGGAATCTGACGCTAGATCACCGGGCCGGAAAACCGGCTTTTCGGACATATATGCCTAATGTTGAAGCCGGTTTACCGGCCTGGCGGGCTCAAAGGGTTAATGACAAACATGGTTGTATGCAGTAATACAATATCCTTTTGCATGTTGGAATTAAGTACAGCTTTATAAATATATATTTAAATCAGTTTAGAGCACTAACAGTACAGATAGTTGGATTAAAACTAAATTAATTCCTTGCTTTTCTTTTATTTAAACACCTGGTTATTGTTACTATTTTGACACAATTATTTTCAGTCTGTTTTGAGGTTTCAATAATAGTTTATATTTTCTTTATGTAGGAGAAAATGGAAAGCCTGTTCATCTATCTTCGGAAGAGAAATATCAGGCAGAACAATCTGTTACAGAATTCGGCTTCAATATGGTAGCTAGTGATAAGGTAGCAATGGATCGATCTATTCCAGATACCAGGCCTGAAGAGTAATTTTTTTTCAATTTGTTTACAATTTTAAAAATATTCACAATATTACTTGAAGAATATGAGTAGTAGACTTTTAGAATAGATCAGCCACCTTTGATATACCTATTGGACTATAATAAGCATGCAAAGAACCTTTCTGCTATCTGAAAAATACGGCAAATGGAATATAGTACACCTGTTAATATGACATTGGTGTTGGGAGAGATTTTGTGGTTGCTCTATGTCCAGCTACCCAGAAATGTCTTGAGTTCAAACTCCCGGGCAGATAAGCTCTGTTAGCTGGGGACACCAACTTGTCTTAAATCCTAAATCAAACAGGAGTGGTGGCGCATAGGCAATAGGAATACCCTCTTTTCTTCTGTATCTTCTGTAACACAGCTGATACCAAGTTGTATGGGTAGAGGGGTAGACTCTTGTCAATTAGCTGTCAGGGCCAGGTGCCTTGATTTTCAATGTTTAACTCTCCACCAATCATCTGTCAGACTATGTAGCCATTAATTTAATATGCCCAGCTACTTTTACTTTCCCTGACTGAAGTCAGAGCTGTGTGGACACCTGGTACAAATCAAGGCATTCATGTTTGTATTTGGATACTTTAGTGTATCAAAAACTGAGCTCCACCTATGAGTTGAGAGATCAACTATGATAATTTATGATCAGAGTTTCTACACTAGTTTTTGGGATGATTTATGATATGTCACTGTAAGTTCATTCTGTTTTACTAAACATCTTAACTCTGTAGGTGTAAGCACTGGCACTATTCAACAAAACAGCCCAAAGCCAGTGTTGTTCTAGTGTTCCATAATGAAGGATTCTCCACTCTAGTGAGGACTATTCACAGTGTTGTTAGAACCTCACCAAGACAGTTTTTGGAGGAGGTTGTCTTAGTGGATGACTTTAGTACCAAAGGTGAATGTAGCTTTAGTGGATGACTTTAGTACCAAAGGTGAATGTAGCTTTAGTGGATGACTTTAGTACCAAAGGTGAATCTAGCTTCTCTCATTGATATTCAGTACTAAATACCAAGTTCTTTGTTTAGTACAATAGTAGCACAACATGGCACAAAGCTGCACATATATTTTAAAAAGAAAGAAATGTTAGAAGTACGATTTGGATTTGAACATTATTGAAATAGCTTCTAATGCTATTTAAATGATGATTTAGTTCAGAATTTACTTTAACAATTATAAAATTATTTTAATGTAGATTATAGGGCTATTATAAATAGAACTGAGAATCTCCTTTTAAGATCACTGCATCTGTTTTATTTTCATTCCACAAATTAGAACACTTGAAGAAAAAACTTGAGGATTATGTTGAAAAGGAGTTTAAAGGGCTGGTAAAAATATATCGCAATTCAAAGCGTGAGGGGCTTATAAGGACACGTACAAGAGGGGCTGAGGTTTCAACTGGGGATGTTGTTGTTTTCTTGGATGCCCATTGTGAATGTAACAAAAACTGGCTGGTACCTCTGTTGGACAGGATCCGTCAGAACAGGTGATATATTACGTAATTCCTTTATTATATTTACATTTTTAGCTTTATTTAATTGATTAAATTTGTAACTAAATTAATATTCCTTACAGTGAAATCTTTATTTAAATTAATTCAACCAATGGAATGCTTTATCCATCCTACAGGACTACATTGGCTGTGCCCATAGTGGATGGTATAGATTGGAATACAATGGAATATGCACCAGTTTATGGCAGAGTTCTTCATAGAGGAATATTTGAATGGGGATTTTTTTATAAAGAGACAGCAGTACCTGCAAAAGAGCTGATGAAAAGACAGTACAACAGTGAGCCTTACTGGTATGCATTCATTCAGATTGTTTTGCATAGATTCATCTGTATTTATAAATGTATAAGTATAATGTATTAATTTAACTGTAAACTTAAATTGTATTAGTTAATGTTAACTTTTAAAAACCTATGTCTGACTATCATTTATTCTCTCTAGTTGCTTTATCTCTGTAGTATCCTGTATTATTTTCTAAAATAAATCCTATCCGGACCATCCCAATTCATTTTTGTATAAATCATGCCACTACATGTTTGTATGAAGTAAAACCTGTATCATGTTTTTTTAAATTATTTTAAGGTCACCAACTCATGCTGGTGGACTTTTTGCTATTGATAGAAAATATTTTTTTGAACTCGGTGGATATGATCCTGGATTAAAAATCTGGGGTGGAGAAAATTACGAACTTTCCTTTAAAGTGAGTACTTTATTTGTTACTATGTGATTTCAGATGTAGGAAGGAATGTAATCTACAATATTTCAGATGTTTAGAAATTATTTTGAAAATATTAATAAATTGTTTGTATTGATCACAACATAACTTAAATGTCTAGTATAAAAATTTCACCATAAATGCCATCTTGACTAAAATATTGAGTATAAAAATGCCATTCAAAATGTCAACTTCAGATATGGCAGTGTGGGGGCAGTGTTGAATGGGTGCCCTGCTCACATGTGGGCCACATATACAGAAACCACATGCCTTATGGTCTAGGCAAGGATGTTGATCCATTTATGTCTCCTATTTATATTGTAAGTTTTCTTTTTTTATAATTTATAGTTATAGCTGTTTAGATTTGTCTAGAAAATTCAAGCAACAAGGGTTTAAAAATGTGCTAAATAACAGGGGAGAGAGTTAGGAATGGAAAATGTTTTCAGTATTTTGGAGGGATGTGTGTTGAAGTTAGTGTCATCATTATGTATATGGGAGTGTTGGAGGGCTTTTTTTTATAGGATGTGTGAGGATATGGGTGTAAAGATGGGTTTATTGTGTGATGTTATTTATAATGATCACCCTTTTATCACTAGGAATGCACAAAAAACATTTCTGATCCAAGTAGGAAAAAAATGAATGGTTTTTAATGGATTTGGTAATCTAAAATTTCATAATCAGTAGAATTGATAAATTGTATTTTGGTATACTAAACAGAATTACATGAGAGTGGTTGAAGTTTGGATGGAAGATGAATTCAAGGAGTATTTTTACACCCGTGAACCAAGTTTTAGAGGATATCCCTATGGTGATATATCCAAGCAGTTGGCTTTCAAGCAGGAACACAACTGTAAGAGCTTCAAGTGGTTCATGGATAACATTGCTTATGATGTGTATGACCAGTACCCCAAACCACCTCCCAATAAAGCTTGGGGAGAGGTGAGTTCTATTGTTTAGTTTTTATCTTTTTTACAGGAGAGGATAGTTCTAATGTTTACTTTGTTTGTGTATCATTCACAGCTGGGAAAACATTTTAAGAAACCATCTGTGTATTGTATTGATCTTGAGACAGCTTGAGTCAATATAACAGTTAATATATTTTCTATTGTCTTTTCATAACGTTATGTTAGTAATGTGTGTTGAATTATTGCATTCATGTATTTTGTAATGTTTTTAATTTAATCATTTAGGGAAGCGGATAAGTTTGTTTAATCCATGCAAGTCTCAATTATTTTTAAGTAATTCTAACCGTGTAATTAACATTAGTTGTTAATTTCATCTACATCTTACAATTAAAGTTTTAAAAAAAAACCTATGAATTAGTTTGTTTGTTCAGTATCTTAATCAGATTGAGCTTTAATTAAAATTTATTATTTTTTGATACCTATAATCTGACCAAAAAAAAGAACACATTCACCAAGTTTATCAGTTGGGAAAAATTTTGTATCTTATTATTTATGCCCCAAAAAATGTATGTCCAGATCCGAAAGAAAGGCACCAATGACTGCTGGGATGCTGGGTCCATGAATGTTGATTCCTCACACGTCAGTTTAAGTGTATGTCATGGAATAGGCCATTCACAGGTGGGTGCAATCTTCAATACTGGCGACGATTTTGTTTTCTAGCTCTTTAGTCATTTTATTTTACTTTTTAAAAAACTAGGGCATATTTGGCCCCGTAGGATAAGGGTTAAAAAAAATGTCTGATCTGTCAAAAAGTCACCTTCACTTGCATCAGGTACCCAATCAAATAACTGAGTTATAACCAGGGATAAACTCAACAGGTTACCAGTTATATACTCAGCTGTGCAATGCTATTTTGTTATTGTTGTTCATAAAAATAAAAAAGCTTTTTGTTTCTAGTTTTCTATGCCTCTAGGCAATAAAGAAAACCTCTAACAATACAATACTTTAATTCTATCTAGTACTTAAGGAGGGTTGCTTTTTTTAACTCTAAGACAGTGCCATTTTGAATATAACAAATTTCTCTCTAGAAATATTAAAATTATATGAGAATTATGGATCTAACCATAATATATCACATTTTAAAAAAATGGTTAGTATAATTGTGAAAAAAAATGTCTTGCCCATACTTTTTATAAAAATGATTTAGTTTTCAACAAAGCCTTTTTTTTTTTTTTTTGCAGATGTTTAGATTAAATGTAAAGGGACAAATCGGAATCGGTGAACGTTGCATCCTTGCCCAAAACTCTGGCAAACTTTTTCTGACCTACTGTAATACACAGCCCACTGGACCATGGGAATGGGATGAGGTTTGATCCAGTTACATTTTATATCTTAAAATTGTATGACGTGTTTCAGCTTTTTATACAACGGTCTCACAACTCTTGAAATAAGTTGATGAATTTCTTCTTAATCATAATGTTGGACTGGATTTCCTTCAACACAATTAAGTATTAAGTGCCAACATGTTATGCCCCATAGGTCCTGTCAATTGAGCCTACTTTTCTTTCTGGATTTGCTTCCATAGATTAGCTGTGTCCAACCAAGAACAAACTACAAAGCAGTAGTTGTTTGATTTAGGAGTTTTCTTTCCCAGCTAGGATGCTATCCCCAGCTATTGAGCTTTATCTGCCCGAGGTTTCAAACTCAGGACTTTATGGTTTAGCTTCATTGGACCAACCGTGCAGCTGACCACTAACGATGAATATTTTTTAATATTATGCTAATATTGATGACATTAATTTCACTAAACAAATGAGTTTTAAAAAGTCAACTTGTGTGTTTGCAGAAGACTGGAGTAATGCGCCACACAGAGCTAGACAAATGTGTGTCGGTGGATGAGAGCAACAATGTTTACCTTGACAAATGTTCTGGCAACCCAAGCTGGGACATTAAAGAAATTTACCCTTGGAAAAGATCTCGCCGACTCTAAAGCTGATGAAGCTTTGAATAAAATAATACACGTTTATATCCCTCCCATTCCAATGCATGACAATCTGTAATTTATAGTATAAGAAATACTTTATTGCAAGTTATTATTTTAAAATTACATATTTTTAACAGTCCATTTTTATAATAATAAATCTTAATAACTATTTTTTAATTAGAAAATTTAATAATTTTAAAGCATTATTTTCTGTTAAATTATTGATTAAAAATGATTTCATTACATTACATAAAGTTTTTAAACTTATGTTTGTTATTAAAAAAAATCAAAAATGCATATTTATAAGTATTGGTAGATAATAAAATTATTTTAGTATAACTGGAATATGTATGTGTTTCTCCTACATTATAAATTGTTTTTAAAAAGCAAATAGTTAAGTTAAAATAACTATCACAAGTTCAAAGATCACGCAATTTACAAATTATTTGTTTATTAAGATAATTTTTTTTCATACTTTTGTATCTGATTAAGAAGGGTCTATTTTTTTATCATTTAAAAAATACATGAATGTGTTCATTTTTTTTTACTTTAAGTATGCATATATTTCTGTGTTAAAATCAAATTACAAGACCATCAGAATTTAGTGGCAGCGTTTTATAAAATAAAATATGTTCACTTGAACATTTTCTTTAATTGACTGAGGAACATTTGACAGTATGAAACAAGACTTACATATCTGACCAGTCAATTTTCTGAATGAATAGCTTCAGCCTATGGGTCTCGTATTTTTTATGTGTACATAAAAAGGGATTGGAAATTTTGTTAGTGACCAAAGTCTTTAATTGATTTGTCATCAGAAATGTTCTTCACAAAGAAAAAAATAATTTGAGGTGCCATATTTTACTGTTTTCTTTTTTTTTTTTAGTAATTCTCTAAGTATATTTAGTTAAATATTTGCCTAATGCACAAATATTAAGCTTAAACATGAAATAGCATTGTACTAGTCCATTTACTTGTCTTCTATTTAATAATGTAAAACTCCAGAAAATTTTGATACAGACTTTTGTGATATTTATACCAAATCTAGTCCCTCTGCTTATGTTCTAGGTGACAGGCTGTTCTCTTATTTACAGGTGAAACAACAAATATAGTCAAAATGCTACACGTTTATTTTAACATTTGAAAAACAAATAAGCTGATAAAATTATACAATTTTTAATTAGAAATTCATGAATATTGTTTTAAAAGCAGACCAGTTTCTAATGTACACATTTGATTTTTAACATTATAAATTTGTTAAAAGTGCCTTCAGCATTAACAGAATGTTTTCTATGTGGTTGTGGATAATCAAAAGTCATTTACTTATGGGGAAAGGGAGCTAACCTTTCTCTGCCATAATCAATTACACCTTAAGTGTTCTGGTGTGGTTTATCATGTTCTTCATGGCTTGGCATTAAAGAAGCGTTTATATTTTATTTATTTTTATTTGTACTTGATTGTATTTGTATATGTGTTACTTTTAACAGATGTTGCCACAGTATTATCACATGTTACTGATATAATCTAGTTACCCAATATTGTCATTAATCTTGCATGTATCTTAGTTGTAGAAATCTTATGAGATTATTTTACTGAATACATGTGATACCAAAGAAGATTTCATATTCAAATTGAGGAAATATATTTTAAATAGTACTCTCCTGATATAGAAATTGTCCCCTTGGTAGGCTCCTACTAGTGTTTGCGGTATATCAGGGGAGCCAATCTTAACTACTTGCCATTGCCCCCCTACCCCCTGTCATTAATAAATACAACAGCAACAAAAAACAGCACTGTACAAGACAGAGAATTGCTAATATGTTCTAATAGCTTTTTTTGTAATAGACTGACTCACAATTGAATTTGTTCTGTCTAAAAAAATAATGTTGATTTGAAATAGTTTACTTCTGCTTAGCTAAGGTTATGGTTCTTTAAGTGCTTTGTTTAAAATGATCTATACTCTTGAGTAGTATCATGAGATTTTTTGCTTTTAGTGTTTAGATTTGATCTCTAAACTTGAAATTACCATTCCTTTATAACTTATTTAAATAGTTCTGTATACATTCATTAATTTGGTTATTTGTACATACATTTGGCCTGGAGATTGTTTTATGTTTATTTTTAAAAAGTAAGAAAGGCTGAAGTTTAAATCTTCTAGTTGATATTAAACGTATCACTATAACTTGGTAAATTTATTTTTACTTTTTTATTGCTATTTGTTGGTTTAATTAAATTGGTGTGATTGTATAGATAATTTAGACAATATCAATAGGTGTTGCAATCTTTAGTCTTTATACTTTATGCCGACTGGTTATGGTTTTCTGAAAAAATTAATAGAAAAAACATAAACAGCTTAAGTAATCCCTTTTATGTTTAAATCATGTAAAAATTATGGTTAAGATATACAACTCCCCATTGGTATTAAAATATGGACTTCCTCTGACCTCTATGAAATGTTTAATATTAATAATAGCCCATGCTGATGGGATGGTGTGGCTTTGCTAAAATTTTCTAGTTCGAATCTGGGTTCAAGTCAGTAGAACGTCCTTGAGTCCAACAGTTCTGATGAGTACCTAACTCATGTTAAGGAAAGCAAAGGCCGGCTGGTCATAGTGCTGACCACACTATCCCTTCACATGCCAAGGTCTCTGAAACAAACGAGCTCTACTTCATTTGCTCAACATACATATTATGGTAGGCCTAATTAGGAGAATGGTGTTTGAATATAGAAACATATTTGAGAGGAGGGGGTGTTTAAATTGGACTAATGTGTAAAATGCATTTTGTGTTATGAACACTTTAAGGAGCTACCCATAATGTGTTTAGTTTCGAAAAACCAAACTATAACAAAATCGCTATAAAGGAAAATCATGGTATCCACTAACATGTCACGCAACTTAGCAGACTCCGCCCCCCACCCCCCCCCAATCGTTACAAAAACACAGACCCGCCAATTTGAATCAACGCAACAAGTAGGATAAAAATCTCATTATTCCCATCCTCCAATTAAATATATAGTCTATGGGCCTATATAATTTTAACAATCAGAGTCTTCAGCTAATGCGTTTTTCATTGTTTCAATTATGTGAGAAATTGGGAATATCTACATCGTCATACTCGTAATCCAAATCCCCACTACCAGTGTTATTAGGCTAATGAATAATGCTATTTGAGTCCATCTTAGATTTGTTACTTAATTTTAGGGATTCTTGTAGGCTATATTTGCGATTTTAAAACAAAAAGGCCTTTGAATCGTTATCCTATTTTTGACTCAATATAAACAGATATAATGTGCGGCCAATATAAAAACCTTAGGCTCTATGCCTTGTCTAAATTGTCATAGCCAATCTTAGCCTAAAAGAAGATTGGTCGAACCTGTGTTAAGAACACCGGATATAGTATCACGTCACAAATTTATGGGTGGTATCGATATTGAACAATGCTTTATGCCTACATTTTATAGTACATCATACACTAGTCTAACTTTAGGCTAAGTTCAAAGTTAGAAACGATAAAAGCAAAATTGTATTAACTTTATTAAGCCCTTTATTAAAAGAGCCAATAATTTATTTATTCTTTTATGGTTTAATCATCATTCAGTCATAAAGTCATCCTTTGGGTTATTAACAACAAAGTTAGCTTCATTTAAACTGTATCTTTTTATCACCTCCTAAATATTAATAACAAAATATATAAAGGAAAATAAATTAAATGATATAGATGTTACTAGTTTAACTAAGTAAGTTATTTTTTGTTTATATTTAAAATTATTAAAATGTTTAGCAATTTATGAGTAATCGATCTAGTAAAAGTATCGGAAATAATTTGTAATGAAGTCTGAAATCGTCCATATACCATCGCCATTTTGGACGGCATTTCGCACGAGTCGGGAGGCTTGATCCTATTCCTTTATTTATCTAAAATATCTTCATTTAATTGAAGACTGGATGTATGAAATGAACTGAAAATGCCTACCTATTTTCAAAAACCCGAAAACGCCCTTAAAAGGGCAGACGGTATTATTTCTTTGCTTTATTTTTTTGTTTACTAAACTATCAAGAACAAGCTGCAATATGGATTTTCATTTGTCAGGGTTGGGGTTGAGGGTGGATTGAACCTTCCTCAGGGGAGGCTCATCTCTGACGGTTTACTACTTAATACTTATAATAAGTGAAGTTTCAGTTCGATCATTTTATAACTTTCGTCTACTCTGAGTGATTATTGCTTAATTTAGATGTGGGCTTAGATTTATTCTAGATCTGAGATCTTATCCCTGACTGGATGCAAAAATTTGCAGATTTCTTACTTTTTAGTTTGGTTTTTTAAGCGTAACTTCTTGCACTTACTAAGAACTGTGGGACCACAACTGTTTGTCTACCGCTGGATTTCAAATGCTGGTATTTACCTGACATTTAGGTCTACTTAATTATTTTATATGGACACACCCACATCTCTTGTCTTACCTGTCACTTGTTTGCATTGCTGATTGGTGGCAATTCTTTTTTGTAAGCTGGCTAGTATTCAGATTGACTCAGAGAAATAAATAACAGTTTGATAGATCTAGAGTGAAGTTCCACAACCGGTCACACATAGCGAAATCCCGACTTTCATCGGGTGCACATATTGTAGAAGCTATTTATAGTTAACCTAGTTATAAAAAGCTTTGATTGGTTGGTTTATTCATCTCATCCGGGACCTAGTGTTTTTCATATGGGGAACTAGAATCGCCTACGACGTCATACCTCGAAACTTTAAAATTTAAAAACTCGACTTCCAGAAGGAGAAAATCAAAAGAATTTGACCTGGATATATTTAGAAATGGACAGGTTTACAGCAGATATCGGTAGTTTCGTATAAAACATCAAAACAAATATTGTACGAAGCAATAAACAGGCGATGGCCGCACTCGGGTTTTATCCGCGCGTGGAACTTTACTCTAGGCCTACATGGAAAATTGACAACACTTGTAAAAATTATCCTAACCAATCCAAACAGGCCCTGGTCTTTTCCTTGGAAAGTACCTTGTTTCATTAAGTATGTGTCATTAAATAAGGAAGCAGTGTCCCTAGAGTCCTCAATAAAAATATGGATATTAAATTCCTATTAGGCCCTACTTTCTGATTAATTTTTGGGAGAATTTTTACAATGGTGTCTAATACTGGAATCTTTAAAAAAGGGGTGTTAGGTTACTGGTAGTTAACAAAATACACATATGGCTGGCTAATGTCAATGCTTTACTGGTAGTTAACAAAATACACATATGGCTGGCTAATGTCAATGCTAACCCTATCCCTAACCCCAACCCTGGTCCTACCATACGCCTAACCCTAATTTCTAACCATGAAATTAGTCGAGATTACAATACTACTAACAACCTAACACACCTATTTTATTTTTATTGAAGAGTCTATTATCGGTATCTATAATCATCTGTGAAGGTCAGTTTTTGGTCTAATATACAACCAAATTCCTGTAACATTTTCAGTTATATTTGTAATATAACTTCATGAGAAAATATTTCTCATGAAGTTTGGGGGTGTATTTTCTGTAGGTACATAATGGTTGGCACAACATATTTGAGGCTTACTTTCACTACATTGGGTTTTATGATTTGCAGAATCATTAACTTTTTTAAGTTCCCTATGCTGCAAGGTTGAAATGAGGGGATGTGTGTTTAATCTCAATGGACTTAAAGAATTTGTTTAATAATTAATTTGTCTAAGATTTGAATACAAATCTGTCATATGTGCCCATAAATTAAACTGTAGAACCTAAGTAGCCCTGTAGGCCTATTAAAAAAATCTTTTGTTTTTCAACAAGGACCTTTTTTTTAATTTGTAGAATTCATCGATGTTGGTAAGAAGCAGAGAGCTCTTGATGCATTGTATGATGTCATCAAAAGTAAAAAGCACAGAACATGGCAGAAAACTCACGAGCCCATCATGGAGAAGTACTTGGAGCTGTGTGTGGAATTACGTAAATCTCACATAGCAAAAGAAGGACTTTACCAATACAAAAATATTTGTCAGCAGGTACCTTTTTGTTTGCTTTCTGTCAAGAAGTTATTGCAATTAACAAAATGCTTTTTTATCATAGACTTTTAATTTTTAAAAAAATACCACTTTCCTTAGGTCAACATCAGCTCATTAGTAGAAGTGGTTAAAAATTATATTGCTTTGGCTGAAGAAAAAACTGAAGCTGCTAGAAAAGAGTCTCACCAAACTGTTGTAGATATTGATGATTTGGATTTGCCTGATTCACCAGAAAGGTAAAATGTTTCAACTGCTTATGTAAACTTTTCTTGTATCATGTTTTGTAGCTAGTTTTTAAATGGTTATACTAAATGGTTAGTAATTGGATTCAATTTTTGTTATTTCTAGCCTCTTATTGAAAGCTGTGAGTGGTGAAGACCTTCAGGACCGTACTGATCGTGCCATTTTGACACCATGGGTCAAGTTTTTATGGGAATCTTACAGGCAGTGTTTAGATTTGTTGAGAAACAATTCACGAGTGGAAAGACTCTATCAGGACATTGCACAGCAAGGTTTGTTGTACTTATCAGTTGTTAAATAAACGTTTTTGTTCTAGTACTGACAAAAATTTAAAAGAATGTTTATAATTTATATTTTTCTCTAACAGCTTTCAAATTTTGTTTGAAATATTCAAGAAAGACTGAATTCAGAAAATTGTGTGACAATGTAAGTTATAAGACATATATTTGGTATGTATGTAAAAATTTGCCTAGTAGTTTTTTTAATAAATCAAAAACAATTTTTTACATTTAAATCTATTAAGTATTCACCATGTCCTAATTTTTTAGTTTCATCCAATTTTTGTAAAAAATAATTGGTTTCTCTAAATATGTTGCGTTTTTAAAATGTATAGTTGCGTACACACTTGGGCCACATTCACAAGCATCAGCACCAGCAAACAGCTATCAATTTGAATAATCCAGAATCCCAGGCCATGCATCTAGAGACTCGCCTAGTTCAACTGGACAGTGCTATAAGTATGGAGCTATGGCAGGTAAATATTAAAATCCCATTTCTTTTGGCCAAGTTTCTTTTGTTTTTGAATTAATTTGTGTGGGTGTTAATAATTAACATTTAACTTGCACTGTTTTAGGAAGCTTTTAAAGCTGTGGAAGATATTCATGGGCTGATTACATTATCAAAAAAGCAGCCAAAACCATCATTGATGGCCAATTACTTTCAAAAGCTTGGGCTGGTGTTTTCTAAATCAGGAAACCATCTGTTTCATGCATGTACGTTGCATCGCTTGTTTAACTTATCTAGAGAGCAGCGGAAAAATCTTTCACAAGATGAACTTCAAAAGTAAGTATAACAATTTTTAGAAATTTAAGCTGCCAGTAATATCGGCTTTATTTGTTACAAAATATTTGCTGGATAAAAGCAGTTGTTATCAAGGTTGATATCCATTTAAATATGACTGTTTTTATTTTATTTGCAATTGTTTCCCAATTTTCAATTATACATGTATGCTTGCAGAATGGCTTCTAGAGTCTTATGTGCAACCTTGGCCATTCCAATCCCACCTTCAAGAAATGTGATTGGAAATCTTTTGGTCATGGATGAGAGTGCAGTTGAAAAGCAAAAAAAGTTGGCCACTTTACTGATGCTTCAAACGCCCCCTACAAGACAATCTTTGGTCAAGGATCTGGTAAGCTTAAGATTTTGTAGTTAAAATCCATTTTCAAATATTATTTTGACTAACTGTAGGGTGCATTCTAGCTCAATAATACGTTGTAAACATTTAATTCAGTAATCTTAATTCTAATTCATTTCATTGTGATTTCATTTTTTCATAGGTAAAGCATGGTAGCATTCAATACGCCCATGCAGAGCTACAAAATTTGTATCAGCATCTTGAAGTGGATTTTCATCCTTTAAGCCTGTATAAAAAAGTCAAACCAATTGTGGATTTTATAGAGAGTAATGAAGATCTTGCTCAGTATGTTCCCCAACTGGAAGATATTATTATTACTCGGGTTCTTAAACAGGTTTGTATGAAAATTAATACACATATTTATTTCAGTTTTTAAACAGTATGTTGAACAGTTTATTTTTTTATATATTGCCTTATGATTCACCTACATTAATATAGCTGGGTTTGAATCTCAGTTGTTTAATTGTAGTGTGGCATAAAGAAAATGTAAACCATTCTCCACGGTTGGCCTGTTTAAAAAGCTGATCACTATTATAATGGGTAACATTTACATATCTCACATATTAAATATTACTTGATAGCTAAATTTGTAAACTATTTTTCAAGAAAAGTAAAATGTTTGTTACAGGTGGCTCAAGTATACCAGCAAATCAAGTTCAGTCGTTTTGCATCACTTGTTCCATTTGCTGCTGAGCATAGACTAGAGGGTGTCATTGTGGATTCTGCTAAGACTTTAGAGCTTCAGGTACTGTATAGTTTAAAATTTTTTTTAGGCATTTAATAAATTGCTATGTATTGTGTGGTTAAAAATTGAATTCTTAAATTTTGTAGGTGAGGATTGATCATCGTACAAGATCGTTGAGTTTTGGTACTGACTTGGGTGTATCACAGAAAGAGGACATCCCTGAAGGCCCATATATTCAGAGTATGCCCAGTGAGCAAATTCGCAACCAGGTTATTAACATTGCTCAGGCACTAAATCAAGCAAAAGAAATCATCGGACCAAAAGAAACCACTGTAGTGAGTATATTAGAACTTTAAAAAAATACTTTATCATAATGTAAAAATTTTCTGTTTTCTAACAATGTGACAACCTTGTAATTTTTTCTTAAATTTCATATTTCAGGCTGAGGAAGATGAATTGAAAGCAAATATTTTAAATGCATACAGACTAACTGCCAAAAAAGAGCATGCTCGAATTCTTCAAAGAAGACAGATCATAGAGAATCGAAAAGAACAGCTTGAACAAAATCAAGATCAGAGGGTAAATTTACACAAATGTAAAAGAAAAAGGATAGTTGACATAGTTTTTCAAAATCTTTGATATTAAAATTTCTGTAATATTCTAGGAGCGAGAAGAATATGAGCAGGCAGAGGAACAGAGGCGTAAAGCTTATGAAGCTGAGATGGCCAGGCTGGAAAGAGAGGCTGAAGAGCGTAACAAGCAACGTCAGCAAGAAGAACACGAGCAGATAAAAAGACGACATGTCAAAGAGCGTTTAGAAGAACTTCGAAAAACTCCACATGGATCCAAGATATTGCAAAATATTGATGAAGAGGTGAGTTTTATTTCTTTTATTGTTAAAATTACAAGATTTAAAAACAATATTCTTTCTTTCAGTTACCTATTTTCTTTGAAAATATTTATTTTGCTTACACATTAAATTAGTTAGAAGGGAAAGTGAAATGATTAAATAATTTTAAGGAACAGATGTTTTAGTTTTTTCAAGACAGCATTAAACTTTTTATCAGTTTACATGTGCAGTTATCAGTACATTTATGTTTGCTATGGTAAAATATGTTAAGTTGGATGATTAGTAATAATTGTTAAATCTTTTAATATAATTTTAGGAAATTGCTGAGCTTGATGTTGACGAGATTATGGCTAAACAAGTTGAGCAACTGGAGAAGGAGAAAAAAGAGTTACAAGAAAGGCTAAAGGGACAAGAGAAAAAGGTTTGAGTTTTAAGATCAACATTTTTAGTGGTGTCTTCTTACTAAGATGAAAGTATGGTAGTCTTAAAATAAAAATAAATCATTAGACTTGACTTATGAAAATGGGACTTTATTTCAGGTCTTACATTTTAGCCCATTAATAGTTTATATTACTTCTACAGAAGTTAAGTTTGATGTTACTTTGCATATTCTTTAATAATTTAAAATTTGTAAAATTTCTTTATTTAGGTAGACTATTTGGCTCGAGCCAAACGCATTGAAGAAATTCCACTCCTTCAAGAGCAATTTGAAGAAGATCAAAAGGCTGGCAAGAAATTCTGGGAGGAGCAAGAAAAAGACAGAGTAAGTTTTCTGAAACAGCATGTTTTTGGAGTTAGGTTTCTGAAACTTATCTAATATTTTAACCTTTACTTCTTTTATCAGCTTGACCATTTACATATCAAACTTACTTGAAATTTGCCTTTGGAATGAAACTAATGCTAGTAGCATTAAGGATTATTTTCCTGCTTTTGCATAAAGGCATAAATAAAGCGAGGCCCTTTCTCCACGGTTGGCATTACTTTTCTAGGTGCTGATCACTATTATATTGGGTTATAGTTTTATTATTGTGATTTTTTTTACCCTTTACCATCCAAAAATAAAATAAATAATTGTACTTTTCTTAATTATATTCTCATTATAAGTGCAGGAAAGTATTTTCTTATAACACTGTACATTTTGCGCCAGACTACTTTCAATCTAAACACAGTTAAAAAAAAACTGATTGTAAGGGGTGAAAAAATCTTTCATATTTTGTTTTTACTATTAATTCATTTTCATTTATTTGCTTTTATTTTCTTGTATTATTTTCTTTATGCCTTTTTTCTTAGAATAAGACAGTTTTATCTCTATTGTTAAAAAAATTGGCATAAATTGTATCCAGATCCATTCTCCACGGTTGGCAAATCTACATTTAAAAATGCTGATCACTACATTAATGGCTCACATTGTCATTATATTTGTTTCATTAATGTTATTGAAGTGATTTTTTTTTGTGTGGTCAGATCAATGCTTTTTACTTTGCCTTCAGTTTAACTTCAGTAGTGGAACTGTTTATTTGTCAGTTTTTTACTGCAGTTTGGCATAAATAAATCTTAACCATTCTCCACGGTTGATCTTGTTGTTCAAAGGGTTGATCACTTTAATAATGGCTTACATCTATAGCTGGTTTCTGGTATTGTCAGATTTTTAAAGTTTTTTTAATTGGTAAAGTTGACTTGTTTGTTCGGACATGATTATCCCTGCCAGTCTAATTTTTTCAGAAAATTGCTTTTTACTTTGCCTTCAGTTTAACTTCAGTAATAGAACTGTTTATTTTCAGTTTTTTACTGTAGTTTGGCATAAATAAATCTTAACCATTCTCCACGGTTAACTTTGTTGTTCAAAGGGTTGATCACTTTAATAATGGCTTACATAGTCAACCAGCTGTATGTTTCCCTCAAAATTTAAAAAGATTTTAAAATAGTAAAATTTAAATATTTGTTTGATATGTATGATTTTTTACTTGTCTAATATGAATTGTTTTTAAGTCGACAGTAGTCTTTATTTGCCTTTACTTTTAACTTCAGTAATGGAACTGATGTTGTATCTCAGTTTTTTACTTTAGTTTGGCATACAAAAAATCCACAACCATTCTCCACGGTTGACTTTGTTCTTCAAAGGGTTGATCACTTAAATAATGGCTGACATCATTACCTAGTTTATTTTTACTTGTCTAATGTGAATTGTTTTTTAAGTCGACAGTAGTCTTTATTTGCCTTTACTTTTAACTTCAGTAATGGAACTGATGTTATATCTCAGTTTTTTACTTTAGTTTGGCATACAAAAAATCCACAACCATTCTCCACGGTTGACTTTGTTCTTCAAAGGGTTGATCACTTAAATAATGGCTGACATCATTACCTAGTTTATTTGGTTTCTTGTTATACAGCAATTGTCTATAGGTTAAATGATATTCTAAAATTCCTGAATTTTTTTTAGAAATAACTTATAATGTTGAATTTCATGTATTGAACTCCAATAGCAGTGTTCTGTCACTGTATCTGATGAGGATAAAATTAGCCAAGACTGGTTCCTGCTTTCTTTTAATAGTTAAATTATAAAATATCTTACAGATTGAAGCTTTGAAGCAAGAAAGGACTTATGCGCTAGAGACAAAGTCCCGTTTAATTCAAATGAAAGCTGACTTAGACAACTTCACAAGTACTCTTAAAAAAGCTAAAAAGTCTGAGTATGAGGTAAATCCTAATGTTTCTTTCTACTATAATGCCAAATAGTATTGTTAGTAGTGGGATTTAATTTTATCGTAAACATTAAGTTGTTTTAGTGATTTTCGTACCAAAAGTTATATTTGAAAGAAAATTGTTTGTTGTAGGATAAACTGAAAGATTTTGAAAAACAATTAACTGAGGAGAAGAGGAAGAGACTTCTGGAGCGTAAAGTAAAGCGCAAGGAAGATCGTCGACTTAAATGGATTCAAGAAAAAGAAGAAGCTGCACAAAGAGCTAGAGATGAATTGCTCAAGAGAGGTAATATATTGTGTGATTTGAGTGAATTAGAATACTGAGCTAGTCATTAAGTTTTCATTCCTTCAAATTTTTATCATTTGTATGGCTCCGTTGATTGCTAGAGCCACAATTTCTTTGTTGTTACTACTTATAGGTTGAAAAATATTTTTTTAAAATGACTCTATTCTTTATGCTTAATCTAAATAAATGTTATGTTTTCCAAAAATATAATTTATTACAATAGATTTATTTAGCAAAATTTTCAAGCAAAATTAAATTCATTTTAGAAAAAGTGTGTCATATTTTTATGGTAGTTGAGGAAATCCTATGACATACCACATTTGGTCAACTGGAAGTTTGATTTAAGACTGAACCAATTTAAAGAAAAATAATTTAATTACTATTTTTGTTTAAAAACACATAGAAAACTTTGAGTAACTTTCTTAGCTGAACACCATATTCTCAATTTTATTGCACACTGAATAGAAAACAAAATTAGGTAAAAAATAAGTACATAGCTTTTTAAATTTTCTTAGAGCGTGAAGAAAAAGAACGCGAAGAGCAAGAAAAGAGAGAAGCTGAAGAGAGAATCTATTTAGAAAAGAAAGCTAAACTTGATGAACAGTTAAGCAAGCAGAGAGCCAGAGAAAGAGAAATAGAGGAAAAAGAAGCAAGACGTAGAGAGGAAGAGAAAAGGCAGTAAGTAAAGTTGGCCTTTTAATAGTTTTAATAAGCAGAATAAATTTGTTACTGGATTATCCTGTTTAAAAAAAAAATTATAATCTTGTATTTCATTTTATTCCTGATTTTAAATTCAAACAATCCCTTAAGAATGTGGGTTTTGTATTAACTATTGCAGTAATAATGTAAATGTCCAATATGTATTAAAAAAATCTTCAAATAAATTACAACTCTTTAGTGACAGTGTCAACATTATGCCTTAATTTTAACTTCAGTAATGGAACTGTCCTTAATCAGTTTTTTACTGTAGTTTGGCATAAATAAATCTTAACCATTCTCCACGGTTGACTTTTCTTTAAAGGGTTGATCACTTGAATAATGGATTACAATTTTTTCTTGCTTACAAATATGTGACTTAACTGCTTTTTTAAAAATGGGATTTCACTTTTTGAGGAAGAGTACCTCAGCTGACTGAATTTTAGAAAAAAAGTTAGAACATTTCTGAATTTTTTTTGTTGAAAAGGCAAATATTATTTAAAGAACAGAAAAGTGCTTAGACATGTACAGTTGACATTATATTTTACTGAAGTTTGCAGACACTTACTACACTCATCTCTATAACACAAACCATCCCTCACGTGTTTCTCTTGGTTGGGTTCACAGTGTGGTCAATGATGTGTTTAGCTTGTGACCATGTGAACACAAGTGTATCCAGGCAATCAAACTTCTATTAGCGCAAATGTTAAAACCAGGGTTCGTACGTAGTCTGGAAAGTCTGGAAAAAGTCTTGAATTTAGAAAAGTGAATTTAAGACTTTAAAAAGTCTGGAAAATCGCTAGTTTTTGGGCTGTATTTTTTAAAAGTCTGGAAAAAGTCTGGAATCTAGTTTTAGAAACAAAACTTCGTAGTCCATATTTTCCATATCAAAAATTGCTATTTTTAAGTGAATTTACTCCAATTTTTTTTACACTGTGTTGTGACGTTTTTCGCTGGTTCGCAAAAAAAAAAAAGGATGCTCAGTTACTACGTCATTGGGAGAAGAGGGGAAGGGAGGGAAGAGATATTTTGTGGCGCGACTGACCCCGTGTAAATGTGTTACAAGTACTTAAAATTGTCATTTAATGAAATAATGTCGCCCTCAGAATTGTTAGGCTCTCGATTTTACCCGCTATTTTTTCATCGTTTGAGTTTGCTTGTAGGCAGTCATAACAAAAATTATGGGGGAGATGTGTGAGTGGTAGTTTAGATATAATTTATCAGTCTGTAAGGCGTCATCCATTTATGACTTACAACAATTTTTCGGATTTTAGACCCCCCCTCCCCCTTTCCCCACTCCCCCCTTCCCCCCACCCTCTGTCCACACGCGTTCACTTACTTTAGATTAATATTAGCATTTATAAGATGAATAAGTCGCAAGGCCTCCTTTGGTTCATAGCTGTATTTCTGTTTGCTTCAGCTTACCAAAGAGGTACTATTTTTTATTTAGGAGTCGTCCATAAATGACGTCACACTCCGGAAAGTCGGGAGGAGGGTTTCAAAAAGTGTGACGACCTGCTCTTGCAATAATGTTAGGGCAGATATAAATACCGTGTTTTGTTTACACGCTGGGATGGTTTTTAAAACACCAGCACAGTCGTCTTAATTTTACTTTCTACTCGCAAGATACAATTTTTATATTTGTTTTAGAATGTAATCACAAACTCTTCCGACCCCTTCCCCCCTCCATGTGGACGTCATAAATGGATGACCCCTTTAATTTTAATCCACCTTCCATTAAACTGTCTTTGAAATCTTTGCAAATGCTGACGACTAAAGTTAGACTACCCCGCCCCTCCTTGTAACATCGGTCACTTGTGTGAACTCACCGTGACCCCAAGTGGGTAGTTGGTACTGCTTGGTAAGGAGGGTGGGAGAGGGGTATAAGTCACAGCACAGTTCATGTTATGACGTATTAAACAGGCATACTGAAGTCTAGACTACTATGACCTCACAGTGACCCCTTCACCGTGTTGTGTGTGTCTGTGGGGGGGGGGGGGGGAAAGGATACCGGCAATTTTTTTTTATTGCAGACCCGTTTCTGGGCTATTACTATAAGCACAAACAGTGAATGATGTGGTTTTTTTTTTTTTTTTTGCTCCACATTTTTTTACAAGTAGCCTATATTTATTTAGGCTACTTAACAAGAGCAGACCTAAATTAATACATTACATTATTATTCTTTAGAGTAATTAATTCTCACTATCCAATACCATTTTAATGATAGTTTAATTGAAAACATAAGCAATTAGATCATTAACAGATTACATTGGAAACTATATAGTTGCATCATTTTAATCAATTATTTTAATTGTTAAAATTTTAGGTAGGGTGAAATAGGCAAACTTAGAAAAAATGATTTTCTGTCAATTTGGCTAGAGAAAGTTCAATATGAATATAGCTCAATTGCCTAAAATAAATGTCAATTTAGTATAAGTAATTATAAAGACAGTACAAATAGTGCATTATTTTAAAAAATTATTCGCTAACACATTATCTGTCTAAAGTCTGGAATTTTTCCAAAAAAGTCTGGAAAATGTCTGGAAAAAGTCTGGAATTTTATTTTCAAAAAGCAGTACGAACCCTGTAAAACATGTATCATTCAACCACATTGCTACCACAGAAACCTGCATTTTTTTAGCTTTCACACAGATGCATGTGACAAAGATCAGTTGGGGTCATTATTCTCATGATTAGTGTAGTGCAGTATTAACAAAAAACTGCTTTAAGTTGGTTACAAGTTATTAGGACCCAATTATTTTTATATTTTGAAATGTTGAGTAAATTTTGGCTCCTCATGTAAAAGAAAATTGGTTCTTTTTTTTTTCTTAAGGGGTGTTTTTACATCTCTGTATGTAATATTATATTTTACAACAGCTATTTTTAAAAAAGCCAGTCTAGCTAAAAAGGAATTACATTTATTTAGACATGCACAATACACTTTGTCCCTTACAATGTCCCTTAAATAAAGTACTATATGTTTGAAAAGTAAATTGAACATATTAAAATGTTTACTTTTAAGACTGGATGTGCGCAAAGTTCCTGAAAGGGTGGCAGTGGTTAAAGACAAAGAATTGGATGCCGACTGGCGTGCTGATGGTGCTGGTGGTGATGAGCCTGAATCTGAAAGTAAGGCATGGAAACCTAAACGAGGGTGGAGAGAAAGGGAGCAAGAAAAAGAAAATAGTTGGAGGGCTAGAAGGTAAGAATTTTTTTGTTAACCTAATTGTATATATGATCAATTAATTTTGTATTGTATCATTTTATTTGGTTTGACTTACATACTTAATTTATTATGAGAGCGAATATAATTTTAAAATTCTGTTTTATAGGGAAGCAGGTGAAGAGGACCATGGAGAAGACATGGACGCAGAGATAACAAAAGAGCCAGCTTTTGAGAGGGAGCCAATAAAAGAAAGAGATTTTAGAGATTTGAGAGCTGCTCCAAGAGATAAAGAAGACTTTAGAGCTGCTCCAAAAGAAGACTTTAGAGCTGCTCCTAGAGATAGAGAAGACTTTAGAGGCAGAGACAGAGAAGACCGGGACATTCGACCACTTCGAGATGTTAAAGGTGGTATTCCAAGGGATGATCACGATCGCGATTTTAGGGATGCACCCAGAGAGCGTGACTTTAGGGCTACTGATGGAGACAGAGGTGGACGAGATTTTAGAGGTCCCAGAGATGATCGTGGCCCTCGGGATGATCGTGGCCCTCGGGATGACCGCGGTCTCAGAGATGACCGTGGTCCCAGAGATGACCGTGGTCCCAGAGATGATCGTGGTCCCAGAGATGATCGTGGTCCCAGAGATGACCGTGTTCCGAGAGATGATTGGAGAGGTGGAAGATCAGATGACAGAGACAGAATCAGGCCAGAAGCTGATAACTGGCGATCTAGTCCAAGGGAGCCTCAAAGAGATAGCTGGAGGGATAGGCGTGATGACAGAGCCCCACCCCCTGCCAGAGATGATTGGAGAGGAGATAGGACACCAGCTAGAGATGGACCACCTAGGCCAGGTGGGAGCTGGAGGAGTCGTGAAGATGCTGCACCTCCTAGAGATACTCCTAGAGATATCCCAAGAGATATCCCGAGAGATATTCCGAGAGATATTCCGAGAGATATCCCAAGAGAAGAGCCCAGGAGGAATCTTGGAGACGCTGAAGGTAGTTGGAGGCGAGGTGGACCACCACAAGATCGTGAAGAGAAGCGCTTTGATCGAGATGATAAACGTGTAGGGTTCGACAGAGATGAAAGAAAACTTGATTTTTCAGACAGAAGGGGTCCTGTTCCTGAAAGAAGGCCCATTAGAGATGATAGGCCACTTCGAGATGATAGGCCCCAGCAAGATGATAGAAGACCACCTCATTTGGATGAAAGGCGTGGTCCTCCACTAGAAAGAAAAGGGGAGAGAGAAGACAGTTGGAGAGGCAAACGTGAGTTATTTGATATTGTTAGAATCTTAATTTAATTAATTATTGATTTCATTATTTTGTTAACCCAGAGAAATGTAAACATTTTTAAAAAATGTGCATTTTGAAGTGAACTCAACTTTTATTTTATTTATAAAATTTATACTTATTTTTCTTCATTTGGTCATTTGAAAATGCTGGGCATTAGTTAAGGCTTTATGTGTTGAAGTAGCTTAATATAAAAAAGTTTATTTCATTCAGCAGCTGATGGCCCACCTAGGGGAGGAGTTGAAAAGAGGGAAGTTAGAGAGCCCAGTAAGTAGACTATTTTATTTTGGTGTCGAGTGACTATTTAAAACTACGCTATATCTTATTTATTTGATGTTTGTTTGCTTTTATTTTCAGCCAAACATGAAGAAGATGATGGCTGGACCACTGTTCGTTATTAAAAAGTGCTTTGGTTTGGATTTAAAATGGGAAGTCTGGTTTTTTTTGTTTTGTTTTAAAATTGTATTTTAAATGATTTGATTCTTGTCCACATTCAGTATAGTACTATGTTGAAAGTGGTGTAGTATTTGTTGCGTCTTGCTGTATGTGGAGATTATTTGTGATCAGTATCCATTGTTCTGAGGTTATAGATAAAAAGACAATATACAAAGAACCTCATTTAAGTTAATCTTGCTCGTCTCATAGACATTTGACAAACCTGTGTTAAATTTTAAATAAAATTTCAACTCAAATAATGTCATCACTTGTTAAATGCTTTATTCTGTCTTTTACAACTTAACAAACCTTCATACATGTTAGACAAAAAACAAATTCTATCAAAAGCTCTACCCTGTGTTTCACATAATGCTTTGACCCTAAGAATAATGGGCAGCATAGTGGCAGGGGCATGAAGACACATCAACCTTGTGCCATAAATGAATAGCCCTATTTACCAATATACCATGAATTCAAATAAGATCAACAATTGTGCATCTTTGTACCTATAAGATCAAGATAATGACATGATAGCTAATTCTATAAACTTTGAGGCCATCTTGAGTATGTTCCTGAGTCCACCCAGCCCTTGTTAGTACCTGACACATCAGGGAAAGTAAATGCAGATGTACATAGTGCTTAGGATTATTCACAGAAAGTGCCCTATATTTGGATCATGTCCATAGAAACCACTGAGTTGACAGGTTTTTTTAAGTTACAAGAAATTTAAAACTTTGTTTAATGTATAGAAACAAGCTTATTTGAAGCTTAATTATTGTGTGTTAAAATTGTTGAAATTAAATTGTTGAAATTATCAAGATGGCTGACCAAGAAGTTTTTATCTATACAATAATGAAAAGAGAAATGCTTACAATTACAAGTTATTACTGATGCTATTATTAGAAAAATTAGCCATTGATGTCAGGAGAAATCATTTTCTGTGCAACTCCCAGCATGTAGAAGTAATACTTCAACATTGACTTCTTTCAGTTAAACAACAGTGTTTCCGTACCACATTTTTCAGGAAGTCATAAGGGAAGTAAATATATGGAATTAAAGTGTAACACAACACACAGACCAAATTTAATCACAACAAACTGCTGTCATGAAACTTAAATGCATTTGATTTCTTTTAGATATTAAAAAAAACTACAATCATCATGGGGGAAAAAATGCATTACCAAAATCTGGCATTGATATCTCCCAACTTGGAGCTGAAACCTGATTAAATTAGTTCAGCCGTTCCTTCACCATTTGCAGAATAATTACTGAAATACTGAATTGTTTTAAAAGGAGTGTAAAAATTTAGTTTAACTTTTGGGGAGATTAGGCTGAAATGGATAGCTCAATCTGCAAAAATTGACAAACTAGGAAGAGTTAGAAGAGCAAAGAGTATTTTGGCATTTATAACAATGTATTCATTAAAAAAGTACATAATTGATATGCCTCCGTGAAAGTTAACAAATAACATTGTAATTGAAGTTTGTTTTAAAAAATGTAACATGCATCTATACATAAACATTAAATTCATTTTGCCATATTTATAAATAAAATGAACATGGATTACACATCAGAATGAAAGCCTTGAGAATAAAGGATTTCATTTCCACTTTTCTTTGATCGATAATGATTTGTTTTATATTTTGTTTTATAATTGTTCTGGCATAGCATAAACTGTTATTCTTGTTAAACTATAGTGTTTTATAGCAGGAGTTATAGTAGAATTGTTTTAAAAACTTTCAGACTATAGGTAGACTTAAAACATTACTTCAGTAAAAGAAATGTAAACAGAAAAAATATTTCTTATATTTATATAACACTCAGACATTTGTTCCTAGTTGGCTGTTTGATCAGATTGAATCTAAATGTCAGCTACAAAATGTTAACTGAAGCAGCTAATGAAAGTTGTTTACTTAATTGATATGGAAACTTTAAAAAAAAACCTAGTAGCGTACAACATTTAATCGCTGATTAAGATTTTGTTCTCATTAAAAAAATACAATAAATTATAATTCTGTAATAAAACGTAAGTAAGTTCAGTTTGAGTAATGCCTCAGTACAGAATGTGTGCTGAGGCTTTATACAGTACACACAATTTTTATTCTATAACTAGAAATATCTTCCAAAAAAATTTAGTAAACAATTTACTTGGAAGTTTGTAAATAATACAAAGTATCTTTTTAAAATGCTATATTAAAAATGCAAATATAATATAGTAATTGTCATGATGAATGCAAGTTATAAAATGTTAATAATTGTCATGAATGTATAACTGCTAAGGCTAAAGCAAGTCAATTTCATGCCTCTACAATATTTGGCTGTTACGTTCAAAACAAAAATTTCCTCAAAAAATACTATTCAGATTTTAAGAAATTTTTTGACATCTGAACTGCTTCACCAAGAAGGTAGGGAGGAGGTGACCATTTAAAAAAAACACACTGATTATGCATTGAGCCCCCTCCTTGATAATTGTATTGCTTTTCTATTATCATGGTATCACAAGTCCAATGGTCCAACAGCTAGCCCATCTCAGCAGAAATTATGGCCGGCAGTTGAATTGAAAGACACTTGACATCAGCTGAGTTTGATCCTACTACCAGCAGTTGATGTTTTCAATCAAAGGCTAAAGTTACTATCACCATAGCTAAGACACCCAGACATATACAGCCAACTTGCTTCAAGGATTCACTGAAGAGCAAACAAGTTTTTATAATTAAACTGTATGCACTATCTAGAGCAAATAAGTTTTTATAATTAAACTGTATGCACTATCTAGAGCAAATAAGTTTTTATAATTAAACTGTATGCACTATCTAGAGCAAATAAGTTTTTATAATTAAACTGTATGCACTATCTAGAGCAAACAAGTTTTTATAATTAAACTGTATGCACTATCTAGAGCAAACAAGTTTTTATAATTAAACTGTATGCACTATCTAGAGCAAACAAGTTTTTATAATTAAACTGTATGCACTATCTAGTGGTGTCATGCGAAGGGCTGAATTATGTTAACATTTTTTTTTTGCACAGGACACTAAAATGTGTCTAATATTTAATTTAAAAATATTTTAAACTGAAATCTATTACAAAATGGAACATTTTAATAACTTAAAAATAAATGAGGGGTATTCTAATTCTATAAAAAAAAAACTAAAAATTTAAATATAAAATTTTCCCACTTTGTAGTTACACCTAAGAGTAATAGGCTAAAACGGTGTTTAATAAAAATTTTTAGAAGCGTTTACATTTTTTTTAATACAAGAAAACTTTATGGAAGTCTGTTTCTATGTTATACACAATTAAATATACCCACTGTATGCAGTTAACCTACCCTCATTATACATTTCAACTTAGCCTCATTAAAACCTACTCTTATACAATTAAACCTACCATCATTATCAATTAAACCTACCCTCATTATACAACTAAACCTACACTGATACAATAAAACCTACCCCCATTATACAATAAAACCTACCCTTTATTATAGCACTATACTTACCCTCCATGTTTTTCCTGTAAAAGGTCAGGTACTACAGTAACAAGGGCAATGTACATAAACCCCCCAGATGTGAAAGGCAGAATCCAGGCAGTTCTGTCCCCTGTAAACATGACACACATTTAGATAAGATTCTATTATCTTTCCACCCACAAGCACAGAACTAGCTAGCTCTACTGGACATGTTGCAACTCATGCACCAACCTGCAATTTGTGCTGATTCTGCACTCAGAGCTGTGATAGCACCAACAACCCCACCACTTGCTGTCAGAAACTGAAAGAATATATATATATATATATATATATATATATATATATATATATATATATATATATATATATATATATATATGGTGAAGAGAGGAACAAAGGTGCACCTGGACAAAAGTGTTTATTTACCTGGGCTTTAGCTGCCTTCCACCTGTTGAAGCCAGATCTGAGCAGGATTGCAAAGTCACCGACCTCATGTGGAATCTCATGGAGCAGGATGGCCAAAGTTGTGATCAGGCCAACCTAGGCAATAAAAGTAGAATGGCCAAAGTTGTGATTGGACAATACAAGAAGGATGGCCAAAGTTGTGATTGGACAATACAAGAAGGATGGCCAAAGTTGTGACTAGACAATACAAGAAGGATGGCCAAAGTTGTGAATGGACAATACAAGAAGGATGGCCAAAGTTGTGACTAGACAATACTAGAAAATACAAGATGGATGGCCAAAGTTGTGACTAGACAATACAAGATGGATGGCCAAAGTTGTGACTAGACAATACAAGATGGATGGCCAAAGTTGTGACTAGACAATACAAGAAGGATGGCCAAAGTTGTGACTAGACAATACAAGATGGATGGCCAAAGTTGTGACTAGACAATACAAGAAGGATGGCCAAAGGTGACTAGACAATACAAGAAGGATGGCCAAAGGTGACTAGACAATACAAGAAGGATGGCCAAAGTTGTGACTAGACAATACAAGAAGGATGGCCAAAGTTTTGGCTAGACAAAAGAAGAAGGAGGGCCAAAGAGACAGGTATACTACCTTAGTACTGATGTAAGAGACAGGTACACTACCTTAGTACTGATACAAAAGCTTCCAGCAACAGCTAGACCATGGGTGAAGTTGTCTACCACGTTTGCCATCAAGTTGAGGTAACCACTTACCTATAAAAGGATGAAGTAGATACACATTTTCACACAGTTACCATGTGTAGAATTGTTCATAAATATGTATTAACATATAAATATAACTAATGAAATAAAAGTAAAAAAAAAAAAAAAATTATATATATATATATATATATATATATATATATATATATATATATATATATATATATATATATATATATAGAAAGTCCATATATAAAAATTTACAAAATACTTTGTATACAGGGAAGCATGTCTTACTTTAATGTTGTTATTGCCAGAATCTTCATTATAATTTGCCTCTGTTCTGTTGTTATTTGAATTTGTATTTTTGCCACCATTGGCTAGCTGCTGAGTTTTATAACCATTGTGTAGAGATTCTCCCACTTTTAACCTGGATGTGTTCTGTTTGTGTTTCTTAGAGTTTCCCTTCTTGTTTTTTCTCTGACCCGCTTCCGCTGGGGTCCTGTGGGTCACCTGGGTCTTGTGCTTGACGCCATTTTTTTTTAGCACCTCATCACATGTGTCCTCCAACTGACAGAAATAATTGGGTAAAAAAATAATTTCAGAGAGGAGGGGTGGGGTGAGGTGGGTTTGACCTTGGTTAAACATTATACCAGATCATCTGACTATTATTTAGGTCATGTTTCTATTTTCTTATTTATACGTGCAGTATTTTAGCCCCTCCAACCCTTTTTGTCAAACAGCATCAAAGTGTATCAAATTTTCAAATTAACACCATTTTTGTTTTTTAAATGCTTCCTCCAATGTTACCTTATTTATATTACAAACATTTATCAACCAATACAATTTCCTGGGCAAATGGACCTCAGCCAAATGACTAGCCTTTGATTAGCCAATGATGTTTGATGTATTTAGTTCATTGGTGAAAATATTTTAGTTCACTTGAACTTTAATAAAAGTGTACTTTCTAAATACAAGTGTGTTTTCTAAATACCAGTGTGCTTTCTAAATACAAGTGTGTTTTCTAAATACAAGTGTTTTCTAAATACAAGTGTTTTCTAAATACAAGTGTTTTCTAAATACAAGTGTTTTCTAAATACAAGTGTTTTCTAAATACAAGTGTTTTCTAAATACAAGTGTTTTCTAAATACAAGTGTTTTCTAAATACAAGTGTTTTCTAAATACAAGTGTTTTCTAAATACAAGTGTTTTCTAAATACAAGTGTTTTCTAAATACAAGTGTTTTCTAAATACAAGTGTGCAGACTCTAAAAAGAAATAAACAGCTGCTCACAGGATCAAATTCATGCTCATCTCCCATCAGCTTCTCAATGATCATAAAGGAGAGAAGTCCAGTGATGACCCATAGACCCACTCTTCTGTGTGACCCGTGGTCATCTGGGGATGGAGAGGTACATAACATGACATGCACTGCTAGATCATGACATAGACCACTAGATCATCACATAGACCACTAGACCATGACATAGACCACGACATAGACCACTAGACCACGACATAGACCACTAGACCACGACATAGACCACTAGACCATGACAAGTAGCACTAAACCAAAGACCATGACACAGACCACAAGACAAGACGATTACCAAAATCACTAGACCATGACACAGACCACTACAGCTCCCACCACCTGTACCTGACCCATCTACCTGAACTCACCTATCTCAATGTGGGCCCAGACCTCAGGCAGCAGGTGTAAGAACACGTCCCCCAGTAAACTCCCCACAGCAAAACTCAGCATCAGCCGCAGCTTTTTGGCAGGAGCTGGGGAAGAAAATATGGTAGCCATTGTTGTAGTGGCTTTGTCGACACAACAATGTGTTGGGTGTAGCCCTAAAGTGTGTTTTCGGTAGATCGGTTTTCTACACCAGAAAAAACAAAACAAAAATAATATCTACTGCAAGCTGTATCCAAGCTTTTAACCATTAGCAGTCTAAAATCAGAACCATTAGGCCACAGAAACCAAGGGTGAATGAAAGCGAGTTTATTTATTCTACGGAGTAACTTAGTACAAAAAAGGAATGGGTTCACGGCTAATGACAACTGCTTGTGGTTTATTTGGTTGGAAGGAAGAGACAAATCTGGCACAGAATGTTTAGAGGTGCTAGAAAGTTGAGACAGTTCTGGTCTAACGACGACTGTGGTGAGAGAAGTGGCACGGACAATAGAACATAAAAATAAAGTGTGGCAGATTTGATACACCCCTCATATAACGTTCTAAAACAATTTCAGAGACAATATTTCGTTATAAAAACTACACCATACACAAAAAAAGATTGTATAACTTGTGTGAATTTTTAATTTGTTTTCTAGAGAAAGTTGATTGTTGTAGCTTCATTAGAAGCAAACGTTTAATTATGTTTACAAAAAAATTGGCAACTTTACACCAGTCACTTTAGGCCACTTTAGGCAACATCTCGTGGCCACTTTTCATCATCTCGTGGCCACTTCACATCTCATGGCCACTTTACATCATCTCGTGGCCACATTAAATCTCGTGGCCACTTTACATCATCTCGTGGCCACTTTACATCAACTCATGGCCACTTTACAACATCTCGTGGCCACTTTACATCATCTCGTGGCCACTTTACATCAACTCATGGCCACTTTACAACATCTCGTGGCCACTTTACATCATCTCGTGGCCACTTTACATCAACTCATGGCCACTTTACAACATCTCGTGGCCACTTTACATCATCTCGTGGCCACTTTACATCAACTCATGGCCACTTTACAACATCTCGTGGCCACTTTTCAACATCTCATGGCCACTTTACAACATCTCGTGGCCACTTTACAACATCTCGTGCCAACCTTAAAACATCATGTGGCCACTGTACTCCAGCTAACGAGTAAACTATCTCAAGCAATATCCTTCCTTAATCAGCTTCCGACAAACATCTAAAAATAGAACAGTCCATCAACCATTGACCAATGAAAACGGCGGGAAAACGATTACGTGCGGGGGACTGTCACCCTAGCGTGAAATATCGTCTATAGACCTGTAATGACGTCATGCTAATTTCATGTAGTCGCGCGCTGCTATACGAGCTGAATTTCGTGACGTTCATTGGGTGGAGGCCAAAACATGGAAGGAGGGATGACGTCACAAACATCCCTGCATGCAACAGACGAATTTTTTAAATTTTCAAACATCCGGTCCGTTCTCTGGTCGCTTTTTTCATCTGTTCTTTTTCTGTCTGGCCTGACTCGATACACACCCGATACATTTACTGACCTCTTAAGTATCGATATACACCATATACACACCCTATACATTTACTCAACTATTAAGAATCGATACACACCCGATACATTTACTCAACTGTTAAGTTTTGATACACACCCGATACATTTATTCAACTGTTAAGTTTTGATACACACTCAATACATTTTCTCAATTGTTAAGTATCGATTTTCCTTAATAAATAATAAGCTCGTTGCGCGCTGATACATCTGACATAATCGAATTCCTAAATTGTTGTGTGTGAGTGTGTGGGGGGTGTGTGGGGGTGTCACTTAGCTGGCTTCACGGCGACAAGTGTGCCAGAAAAATGTGTCGTAAAACCTGACGACGCCACATGTGATAGGTCAAAGACAGGCCGTAGACAGGTTAAGATCGCGGAGTTGAGTCAAACAACCGTAAAACAACAACATACCCCAGATGTCAGCTGATCGCGTTAAATGGGACTGAAAGGTCAGACATTCAGGTACACCTATAGGACAACAGTAACCTTCACCCCACCCCACCTCCTACACCACCCCACCCACCCACCCACCCACCCCACCAAACCTCACATTTTTTTCCTTTATAATTTCAATCTATAAAGTAGGAGATTTCTTGAGTTTCTAGACTTAGAAATGTTTCATAAAATAGACGAACAGTCGATGCCCACATATAGATCTACGAGCAAGTCACAACGTTCATGTGGTAATTAAAATTTTCAACTTGTCGAAGTCTAACACTACCATATGAGACAAAGGATCAATCAATAATGGATACATTCATGCTTGCATGGTCACTAATCATGTGCAAACTATCACAGCGGTGGCAACTATTTTCATACAGTTCGACAGCCCACACAATACCACACAACTTTGAACAACCCACACAATACCACACAACTTTGAACAACCCACACAATACCACACAACTTTGAACAACCCACACAATACCACACAACTTTGAACAACCCACACAATACCACACAACTTTGAACAACCCACACAATACCACACATTAAACAACCCACACAATACCACACAACTTTGAACAACCCACACAATACCACACATTAAACAACCCACACAATACCACACAACTTTGAACAACCCACACAATACCACACAACTTTGAACAACCCACACAATACCAAACAACTTTGAACAACCCACACAATGCCACACAACTTTGAACAACCCACACAATACCACACAACTTTGAACAACCCACACAATACCACACATTAGAACAACCCACACAATACCACACAACTTTGAACAACCCACACAATACCACACAACTTTGAACAACCCACACAATACCACACAACTTTGAACAACCCACACAATACCACACAACTTTGAACAACCCACACAATACCAAACAACTTTGAACAACCCACACAATACCACACAACTTTGAACAACCCACACAATACCACACTTTGAACAACCCACACAATACCACACAACTTTGAACAACCCACACAATACCACACATTAGAACAACCCACACAATACCACACAACTTTGAACAACCCACACAATACCACACAACTTTGAACAACCCACACAATACCACACAACTTTGAACAACCCACACAATACCACACAACTTTGAAAATGTGAGTCGACACCCCGCTCTAGATGCGTGCACTCAACATAAAGGAAAACCAAATTAATTTTAATAATGAGATCCTTCCGTGTGAGCGCCTATAGATCCATCAATCGTTCCCCCACCCCACTAACGGGCTCCCCCACCCCACCAACGCGCCAGAGTCGTCCCCCTCCCTCCCCCCAAAGCAATGAATTGTTCCAGCATTTGACGTGTATCACCCGGATCCAGCCAGTATTTATGTTCACAGAACGTAAGGTACACGTATACAGTTGACAAGACATATTCTAGACACAATCTTGACACACCCGGTTTTAAATGTATAGTCAATATCGATACTACTGTTATGGTCAATATATAACAAAATAATCGAATACCAACCAACCAACAATAAAACTGCCAAACAAAACTCACACAGAGAAACAAACTATGAAGAAAAAAGAAAAGATAGCCAACAATGTGAACGTATGTGTACAATTTCCGTTGTCGCATACCTGACGCCTACAAGAAACTTTTTCACGATTGAAAACAAAAGAGTAATAAAAAAAAAACAACAACACATAAACTTTTGATGAAGCCAGCTGGACAATAACGGCTGTATGTTGGATTAGTGTAAGCGTATTGATAGATCCTTTTTCAAAGCTAAAACATTGGACCATAATTACATGGATATCTTGATCTGATGGATTAAAATGTTGGACCATAATTTCATTAATATCTTGATCTGATGGATGAAAATGTTGGACCATAATTTCATTGATATCTTGATATGATGGATGAAAATGTTGGACCATAATTTCATTGATATCTTGATATGATGGATTAAAATGTTGGACCATAATTTCATTGATATCTTGATCTGATGAATTAAAATGTTGGACCATAATTTCATTGATATCTTGATCTGATGGATCAAAATGTTGGACCATAATTTCATTGATATCTTGATATGATGGATTAAAATGTTGGACCTTAATTTCATTGATATCTTGATCTGATGGATTAAAATGTTGGACCACAATTTCATTGATATCTTGATCTGATGGATTAAAATGTTGGACCATAATTTCATTGATATCTTGATATGATGGATGAAAATGTTGGACCATAATTTCATTGATATCTTGATATGATGGATTAAAATGTTGGACCATAATTTCATTGATATCTTGATCTGATGAATTAAAATGTTGGACCATAATTTCATTGATATCTTGATCTGATGGATCAAAATGTTGGACCATAATTTCATTGATATCTTGATATGATGGATTAAAATGTTGGACCTTAATTTCATTGATATCTTGATCTGATGAATTAAAATGTTGGACCACAATTTCATTGATATCTTGATCTGATGGATTAAAATGTTGGACCATAATTTCATTGATATCTTGATCTGATGAATCAAAATGTTGGACCATAATTTCATTGATATCTTGATCTGATGGATCAAAATGTTGGACCATAATTTCATTGATATCTTGATATGATGGATTAAAATGTTGGACCATAATTTCATTGATATCTTGATATGATGGATGAAAATGTTGGACCATAATTTCATTGATATCTTGATATGATGGATTAAAATGTTGGACCATAATTTCATTGATATCTTGATCTGATGAATTAAAATGTTGGACCATAATTTCATTGATATCTTGATCTGATGGATCAAAATGTTGGACCATAATTTCATTGATATCTTGATATGATGGATTAAAATGTTGGACCTTAATTTCATTGATATCTTGATCTGATGGATTAAAATGTTGGACCACAATTTCATTGATATCTTGATCTGATGGATTAAAATGTTGGACCATAATTTAATTGATATCTTGATATGATGGATGAAAATGTTGGACCATAATTTCATTGATATCTTGATATGATGGATTAAAATGTTGGACCATAA